AGAAAAACAAAAAAATGGATGTAACGAGTTTTATTACTCTAACCGTGGATTACCGTAGTTAATCATGAAACATAGTTATTATCTTAAGTTACTATTTATGGTTATTCGAGTTAATCTGGTGATGGCCACACTAGACAATGCCATCCTGGCCAATCCTGGCCAATGGTATCCTGGCCACCGAAATTCATATATACTCTCCGTATCCATACACAAAATTACAGAAACCCACACTCAGGGCAGCGTTATAGCATTTAATTATAAGTACAAGAAGATATTCAAAACATTTATACAAAAACATAAAATAATCTACCCTATTTGAACAAACAATATGAGAGAAGAAGCTACATGAAATAATATAGTTACTATCTAGCCAGACAACGCACATTATAACAGTGCAAGGTAATCTATTTAAATATTACAGTAAGAAACAACAGTGTACGAATCTACATGATTGCTCACTCAAGTAAGTAAATTATGCGACAAGCTACATGCTTCATACGGGTCGGGATTAACTCCATGCACCTCTAAACGCCCTTGAACGATTCAATAAATAATCCAATATTAAATCATATCTTAACAACTTTATACTCGCAACTTATCTAATAAACAAACCATTTATAATTAAACTTAACTAAAATGGTTTTTTTCTCATTAAAAAGATATAACAAAGAAATATAACTGCATTTTTTTTGACCAACTTCTCAAAAGATAGAGGTACTCAATTCGTCTGTATGTTTTTTAAACGTTATAATTCCATCTTCACGAACATGAATCATTGTCACGTTCCGACTGAACCGAACGTGCAAGCGAGAAAGCAGAACAAACGATAGAGAGGCACGAATCGCCGTAAACCGACTTTTTTAAAGACATGATGTTTCATCAACAATAATCTTCTAATCTCCGAATAGCCGTAGGCCTCTGCAAAGGCTAAATTAAAAAGTAAATCAGAAGAAAGAAGGAGTTTGCGAAACATTTTATATTCTAACATACATACCTTGCTACCAACATTTACAACAAATTATAACTTCTTTAATATACAAAATTGCCAAAATAAACTGCGAAAATATTACACGCAAACAGTAAAAAAACGACACAACATTTTCCTACCCTATTTCGAGGTCGGTAACATCCACTCTAATTTACTAAAGCTATCCGATACACAGGTGCAGACAAACATAAAACCTTTTAGGGGTTAATGGTGCTTTGTCACCATTAGAAACTAATGCCCCGTTTTGTTTTATCTCGCGGACCAACCCCTTTTTTATTCTGTCTAGCGCCGTAACGAGAAAAACACAGACGATTTCTCCAATAAAAATAGTAGTTAGTTACTATTTAACTAGAATAAAATCTATTACATTTTTTATTTTATTACATAACTTTTGCTTTAATGTTCACTTTAATAATGCTCCATTTTTAATATTTGCTACTAAATAAACGCTAGAATTTCGTATGACTAAGTTTAATCTGAAATTTTTTATCTGTGTTATTTCATACACAATAATATATTTTACATTATAAATATGAAACAGTAGGTTGTTTTAGTTCTTCAACGAATTGCATTAGTTGTGAAAGAGTACCAGCCGAGAAAGCGCAGCGGGCGGTTAATGCTTTAACTTCGTAACAAAACAGTTCACTTACATTGTTGCTACAAGCTATATATTTATTACTAAGTAATAGTTCTGGGCTATAGAGGCAAGCTTGTAAGAAAAGAATGAAAGAGCCTGTTGATAGAAAATAGCAAAAATTCGTATAGACATTATCACTATTTTGAACGAATACAGTAAAGAACAATTTTAATAAATTTCTATGAAGATTTGAAACTTAAGACTTCCAAGAGAACTTAATACTGGATGAATTTCTTTCTCATACACAGATGTTAACAATATTGTTTTATAGTAAACGATGATGTTTCTTTAACAAAAACATTTCCCAATAATCAAATAAACGTTAATTTCCAGAGTCTAAATCGAAATGGGAGTTCGTGCGGCAAATTTGTTGAGATCACGAACAGCGATTTCATTCATTCAATCCTCTCTCAGAGGAAATTTAATCTGGAGTTCATTTAAGCCCTTTGATGTATCTTAATAAAATCTTACTTTTATGTTAAAATTACGTTTATTCTGTTACAGTACATTTACCGTAATGTAGCCAACATTTGAACATTTATAATCAGTTACCGAAAGTATTGTTTTTTTTTTTTATAACATAAGGTGGCGAACGAGCAAGTGGCCACCTGAAACCGCCAAAATGGCGAAGCGACCGCTGCCCATAGACATCCGCAATTGCAGATGCGTTGCCTACCCTTATACGACGGAGGAGGAGACGCACATAAAGAGGATATTCCCACTTCCTATGCATCTCCTCCAAAGTCAAATCCACTTCCTCTTCCCAACCTCTCCTTATAAGAAAAGGGTGGTAAAGAGAAAGGGACTTAAATTAGGCCTCCGGCACCACACTCATCAGACGAAACACGGAATTGCTTCCATTTCACGCCTGTCTTCTGTGTGGTCGTGGTATTACACCGGGCGTGCCGGCCCATTCGTGCTAAGATGTTAAAGCGGGCATTACCACTGTTTGATTTATTTCAACTGGAAGAAAAACAACTATTGTATTTACTACATATTCATAGGATAATAACAACGTTAAAACGAAAAATCTAGTTCAATGAAAATCTCTTAAAAATGCAGTTGCCTCGAGGTTCGTTAAACGCATACCAGTCTGTTATTTAGTCACTTCAGATAAAAGCTTTTGTACGAACACAATCGAGTGCACATGTTTGCTTTAATTAAAAACGTTAAGGAACTTAACCTCTTTTCAAAAATAAAATTGTGGTTTCCTTTATACTATGCTGTTCATAAATCTCGCCTGAAAATGAAAAAAACGAGCAGCCCTTGTATTCCAGATTATCCTCTACACCTATGCCAAATTTCATCGAGATAACTTCAGCGGTTTACGCTACAAACAACATACATCCATCCATCTAAACTTTCGCATTTATAATATTCTAAGATTAAAATTTATCATATTAAAATAGATGATCGATATGGAATTCTCTTGAAATTAAAAAGTGCTTGTATTGTTTAAATTAATATTAAAGAGAACTAGTCAAGTATAAAGCCCATCTTCTGTCAGATCAAAAAGTTTACCAACGTATTACCCGTCACAGACTAGAGTTATGTCGATAAACTTTGGTTGTCGACAAAACTTTGTAGGAGCGGAGTAATTTAAATCGAACTTCCAAAGTACAGGCGCTTGCCAAATCTGACGATATTAAATTTCCAATAACCAATGTCAATATCAAATGAAGTTTCAAATTAAATTTCACGAGAATCGAATATTACGTTATCGACAGAACGATGGTAATCTAATGTAATCAGACGAACTTCGACATTACCTTTACTGAAAACAATTTGCATTAAACGTATAATTTCAGCTATCTTTAATTGAATTATCTTTAAAGTATCCAAAGTCGCAAAATGCTTTAGAAAACTACATTAAGATTGAGAAACATAAAGTATTGAGATATGGTCTATTTCATTCGAATATTTGGATCTATTAAAACTAACTCCTCTCACTGGGGAGTGATATTATTTTATTTTATAAGGCAAATTTGAAATATGTGAAAATAATTTGGCGCCTGTGAAAAGAAAATAGCATGTATCACGCTGAGAAAAATTTCAAACAATTACTCCTATGTCATTATTGAGTGCTTAAAAGCATTTTATACAATAGCGTCGCAGTCTTTTATTGTGTAGTCATCAACGTCTAAGTTAACAATAGAAAACAACATATTATGGTCACGTACACGTAAAGACCACCTTTTACTAAAAATAGTTTTAGTAGAAGTGAAATAAAAAGTATGGGTTTTAATGTAGAACTTTAAAAGCGAAATTACTAAAACTAAGGTATTTCAAAGTTCATCATAAACCACGCGATTAATCTTTAAATAAACTTCAAGTAAAATTATACAGTAATATGTGGAAATATTTTAATTATCTTCAGTCTACGTAGAAAGGCTTTTGGCATTAGATACTCTCTCGGGAGTCTTATATTACGTAACTACAATCTGAACTCGTTAGCGGACCAACTTTATAATCTACTTTAGTGGTAAAACAAACATTTAAGTTTTAGCATACTCTTAGATTTTAATCAACATTAAAACATAATTCACTAACAAGAACATTGGTATCCATATTGAAGGTATTCCAATGACAAGACAAGAGTAATTATATCTGCAAATATGTGTAATAGAAGAAAACTAATAAAAAACAACAGGCGTTTTATCATTGTTGTGTTTACACTTAAAAGGCCATTCAAATTCAGTAGATGGCCGTTTGTTACTTAAACAAAAATTCATCGTCATTTCCTTAAATAAATTCCCCAAGACATTTACATACAAAAACAAACAGTGGAATACCCCGACGAAAAGTAAATAATCTATTCAACAGTGTGTACGAATCAATAAGAGAGATGTGTGCCTGAAAAGTGTCAGATACGATAGATTTGGATTTACTCAAGCAACCCACCCGATGTTCGACGAATTTATCGCGGCGGGGAGTAATGGAAAGAATTTTTCCTACTGATTTAAATTTCTTTATTTGAACCTTTCGCACAAAAGAGAGGATCTTTTGAGATCGCTCGAGTCTTTCAAGGACTCTCCGGTATCTCTTGAATAAGTATTGGAATAATCGCTTTGGAGAATCTTTATTATTTAAATCATTAAGTGTGACTTTATTGCTTTACTTAAGCAGCTTTAATTACGTTTTATCGATTTTTTTAATGGAAAAGGGCCTCGGACTATTCTTGGTTAAATTGTTTTGTAGAGATCGCGTAATTATTTGTATTTTATTATTTTATCTTCAACTTATATAGTGCTTAGAAGCATAACATCAAATTCTACCTAGCGTGTAATCGCAAGACTGTCCGCGTCCACCGAAATCGCGAAATTTGCACGGACATAACTACTTTACAAGAAACTTACTGCTTAAATAGGCACTTACCTTAGCAATCTTATGTAGTAGTGCGGTAGTAGAGCTGGTTTTGAACAGTCCTAGAGCGCGTCTCCGTAGCCCTTGTCCGAGGCAAGCCTCCACCGCGCCGCACAACGCAGTCACACCGCCGCTCTCCTCGTGCACAAACTTTCGTGTCACAGCCTGACAGAAAACATATTTTATTACAGCAGAAGAGTGTTAGCCTCTGTTCTGTGTCTAATCGCCTAGATATCTCTTGCCCATAGTAAAATGACTGTATATTAACATGATAATCTTACTTCTTACTAATATTATAAACTAGCTTTCACTAGCGACTCGGTCCCCGTGGAATTAAAAAAAAAACAAAAGTGAGTGGCCTATGTGTTCTTCCAGACTATCCCCTATATGTATACCAAATTTCATCGAAATCCATTCAGCCGTTTAGACTACAAACTCTAACAAACATCCATCCATCTATACATTCTCATTTATAATATTAGTATGAAGTATGATGAGAAATTTTAGATGGATGGATGTTTGTTAGAGTTTGTAGTCTAAACAGCTGAACGGATTTTGATGAAATATGGTATGGATGTAGAGTATAGTCTGGAAGAACACATAGGCTACTCACTTTTGTTTTTTAATTTCACGCAGACGGAGTCGCGGGCGAAAGCTAGTCACTAACAAAGCGACGGATTTCTTGACTTAGGGTGTATATTTCCATTTAAAACGTCCTAGTATTTGGCGATTTGTGTAAAGAAACAAATGAGAGCTTTACGATAAAAATAAGTAAGACCTATTTCCACCTGGCAACTAGCCGCACGCTACTGGCTGTGTCTCGCCAGGTGGAAATAGAACGGTCACCTACATTTCGCAGCTAAGTGAAAGAAGATCTTACCTCTTCCATCAACTGTTTTACTTCTTTTTTGACAGCGGCGATGAGACGCTCCTTCTGCTCCGCGCTAGGGTCCGCGGCCGCGGCGTTAGCGGTTGGCATCTCGTCCGCTTCACTTTCAACTATGAAAATAAAACCATACTTAATATTTGTGTAGCGTAATAAAGTTATTCTTATGACAGTTTACAGATTAATAATTACGATTAATAAAACGTAGTGTTACATTTCAAATATCGTCGTTAACAAAGATGATAAGACAAAAATACTAACGCCCGGTTCACACTTGGCCAATACAGTTGGACAATAGTAGGCAAGGTATGTATTGTATGGACACATTGGCGCCAGTTAGTTCACTTTACACCAGTTGTATGCCAGTTCAATTACAGTAGAACCTCGATAACTCAAACCTGGGTAACATAAAAACCACTATAACTTCAAAAAATAATATGTTCCCTTCCTATCAGAGCCCAAAACCTCTATAACATAGGCCTTTGATAACTTAAGACCTCTATAACTTAGAATATTTTGTGTTTCCCTTGGACTTTAACTTATCGAGGTTCTACTGTATTAAGTTAATAATTTTACATAATTATTAACTTAATAGTGTATAGTCTAATTACACTTTACCTAACCTTAAATAAATTTTCGTTATTTTCTAAGACAGTTGTATAATTACAATAGTATATACATTGTATTCAAACTTTCGATGTAACATTTAATTTTACTCCCATAAAACACATCTAACATATTTCTTCAGAAAGTTAAAATTAATTGCCAAAAAATAAATATAAACTTCAATCTATTTGACAGTTCTTGACATAATTATTATGCAGATGACAGAAAATCACAAAAGTAAAAGTTTTAAGCAGAATTATCACAAAATAAAGATGATTTTTCTCAGATTCGAATAATAGTTCGATTTTATGATAGAAATACACTCAATGTAGTAAACCTCTGCTATACGTATTTAACTTAGACATACTCAGTCGTCCCTTTCATTCTGTGTGAAAAAACAGAGATAACACTATTTTGCACAAAACAGAGGAAACGGTCCTATCAATACACTCAAGTAAGGTTTTCACAGAGAGCGGTTTATTTCCGTCAATCAGGGACGGTTAAGAAAAGTTTTCCATTATGGCACAAGAAAGTAATTCACGTCGCGTACCCCTGAAGAAAGCCGCTAAGTGCTGTTGGAGGGCGCGAGAAACGCTAACTTTTAATGTGCCTTTTTTTTCTTTTCCTTCGCTTGTAGCTGTTGAAGCCAGTTTAAAAAGGCAAAGAAAACTAGATTCGTTGCCTGCGATTTCCACGATGAATTTCAATAATTTCGGGAAAATAAATATTTTGTACAGTGAATTGATAAACGACTTTTATTTTTTACATTTCTACAAAGAAATTTGTGTAAAATTCAAACTTAAATGTTTGTAAATGTGTTCTTAACATCACGTAATAAAATCCAAGCAACACTGAATTGCTAATCTTGAATATACAATAAGGAAATTTCATAGCGTCCCAAATTGAGGCTCCTTCGCTGTAATAAAAGAATTTTATGCTCATCTATACAAATTTATCTTTCTTTCATAACCTATTTTCCCCGAATGTCCTCGCACATATTTCTGTATCCCTAATTGGCACCTTTCGATATTTACTTCCTATCTCCGAGAATTTTATTGGATCATGAAAAATATATGATTTAGAGATAAGTATTGTGACAGTATAAAATTGGAACCAAGATCGTGTCTATATTTTACTCATTATCTCCTCGTCCATATTCTAGCCTCGTAGGGTCGGAATTACGGGTTTTGGTCCAAATAAAATTATTTTCCGTCATCTATTCATCACTCCATCTTGATCATGTTAACTTTTATGCAATACATCTCTTTCTAGGCCTACCTGTCCTACCGTGGCCATCAGAAATCTAAAATCTAACTAGAATAATTTTCTAGAACAATGTACTCATATTATAGTGAAAAAGAAGCAAGTCGTAGCATTTCAAAACTTAGTTATTACCGTGTATTTGTGAAATTAAAAAAACTCTAATGGTTAAAAAACTTACTTTATTTTATCGTAATGCATTTTTATTGCAACATTATAATCAGATCGGATGTACTAAATGTAGAGCGAGGATTGAATATGAATCAGTTCCCAGAATTTTATCTGTTTTTACACGATTAACTTCGCTAACAAAAAAAAACGCTGCCTTTCGTCGACTAACCTATATTCTATTTCTAAGTGTTGAAACAATTTTCTTTATTTTATTAAAAGATTAGTTTTCGCCCGCGACTTAATCCGCGTGGAATTAAAAAAAAACAAAAGTGAGTACCCCATGTGTTCTTCCAGACTATCCTCTACATTTACCGAATTTCATCGAAATCCGTTCAACCGTTTAGGCTACAAACTCTAACAAACATCCATCTATCCATCAATCTAAACTTTCACATTTATGATATTTTGATCAATTTATTAATATTTTTTGTGTTGTTACTTAAAATAAGGTAAGTATATTGTTTGAAATTCAACAATCGTGGGAGCATTTTTTGGAAAAAATGCGTAATTAATATTTAATTGTAGATAGAAATCAAATAATTCATAAATTGACACAACCGTTTCAAGGCCGTGAAAATATTCCCAAACATCATCACATGGCCATTCGCCCACACTTACTGTTATCGCGTTAAAACGGTTTGTACTTGAATTAAATGCCCTACAAAAAGGAACATCACTTTTTATCAGTCTATTAACATAAAAACATCATACACTTAAAAGCTTAGTTTTAAAAAATACAAAAATTAGTTAACAAACACCTATTGCATACATACCTTTATTTTCAGCGGCCATTATTCTTTTGGGGGCGAAAATTGTCGCATCATTGATTTAAAAAACATTACCAATGCACCGATAACATCGTCTCGTGTCGTATAGGGCGCAACTAGTTGTGGGAAACGTGTTTACAATGTCACTGATGGTTGAAAATGGCTTGTTTGTGGGGAAAAATCGATGTGGCGTCGCGCGCAGAGCGCCGTCGGCTACAACTTTGACAGTGATAAGGCGCCTGCCGATCCACAATATACCTACCCTGTGTACAATAGAATAACCAAATTGTAATAAACGTTCTTGGATATAACTAACTTATGCATAGTAAAGCTATTACAGTAGAATGCAGAGTTTCTTCTAGGTTAAAAAGCAAAACGCTGACCTTGAACTTTCTGTATTATAGTGCATTGCAGTTCTTATGAAAATAATGGGCATTTTCTTTAATGTATCTAATACATGTTAATTTAAAACACCTCATTAAAAGTTTTTCGAGTGGTGTTAGGGCGGGGCGGGAAATTAGCCATGTGAAATTACGTAAAACTTTTCTTATTAAACTTTTGATGGACATTTTATTCATTAATCTGGTATTGTTTTGAAGATTAATTAATGTACTTTTAATTAATCATTGAACGGTCCTGAACGGATTTAAATATTTCAAATATAATTACACGATTCTGATAGTTATTATCTGCCTCCAGTATAAGTAAATAAGCTAAAATAAAGGACTGACTTAGGCCCACGACTCCGTCCGCGCGGAATTTAAAAAGAACTTCAAGTGTAGTGTAGCCTACGTGTTCTTCTAGACTATGTTCTGTATTTGTGCCAAATTTCATCGATATCCCTATATCAGTTTAGGCTACAAAGTCCAAACATCCATCCATTCAAACTTAAGTATTAAAAATTAGTAAGATTTCGCCGTTTAACCTTTTTACATAATAAATAATAGTAAACGTGTAATTAGAAACATATTAAATGTGTGTTTGCGTAAATGTAGCTTAGCAGTATGTATTTTTATCCATTTGATTTAATCCTGGTACGGCTTTTCGCTTCTTCTATTTTTTGTCTCCTTCTTAAGAGACTTGTGTTCGATAACATGTTAACAGTCTGTCTTCACTGTTATTATACAACCAACAATATTGACATCATTTACGCTGTAATTGAAAAAAAAAACTGATCTACATCTACTACAAGTATCGATATTTTTAACGTCCCTCAATGTTATTTAATATTTGCATTATTATTACTACTTACATTACGAAATACCAAAATACAACAATTTTGGTTAAAGTAATCTAATAAACAACGTTTTCTCTTTAAATAATTAATTTAGTTATAAAGACATCGATTCTATGTGCCTACGTGCCTATTTAAGCGATTACAATTTTGAGTAGCAGTAACACTGATCCATAAATGTCATTTTGACAAAGAGAATTGTCTCTGTCACTCTGTCATAAATTAATATTTGTTTTGTTTTATATTTGTTGTATAAAAAAACAATTTCACAGGAAAACAATATTTAGTGTCGTTCCGATTTATAATCACTACAATGAAGGAAACAAAAATGAATACTCACCTGTCCGGAGGCAGGTTAAATGTAGCTTTATTGCAAGAAACAATGCGAAAAGAATTATTAAATTTATTACAACTCTGCGAAGGACCCAAAGTAAGATCATTAAAATTTTTTAAACATTTGCTTTATTACTAAAAACCCATAAATAAAAAAATATTTGTCACCACCATCACTAAAGTGTTTCGCTGCACCAAATTTTCGTCAAAGTCGATAATTTGTCGCCACTCTTTTGTCATGTCACCTGTCACACCATCCATAATACAAGGAAGGAGAAAACTATAAAATTAATAAGTAAATCAATTCAGAATACTAAGTTTAGGAACCTTTTACAGACAATCCCTAGAGACCTGTATAGATTACTCAAAATATTATTTTCAATTATTCATTAAAGCATTCTCTTTGATGTAAACAAGCCCCTGTAAGTTGTTGGCTGGCGATGCCTAATGCCAATCTTATTTATGTAATAACTAGCTTTCGCATGCAAGTCCGTCCGCACATATTAAAAAAGACCTCCTCTACATCTGTGCCAAATATCATCAAGATCCCTTCAGCCGTTTAGGCTACAAACTTTAACAAACATCCATCCATCTATTCATCCATCTAAACTTTCGCATTTATAATATTAGTACGATATAAATCTTACAATTTTCCAGGTTACAATATGGGATGAATGGTTAGCAGGTCCAGTTGGTTTGATTGCTCAGTATTTACTACTCAAGGATCATGAAGTAGTTGATATGTTCCCTCTGAGACCTGGCAGTCTGCCGACCATATCTGTGAAGCATATTGTGTTTATAGCTCGACCTAAACTTGCCTTAATGGATTTAGTAGCTGATTATATCCAATCTCTCAGGTAAATAATTTACCACAGGTAAAGGCGCTAATACAAAATCAATATACAAAGCTAAAATTAACTTATTAAAGTTTAAAAAGGAATAAAATTTGTATTTGCTTTGTATTTTTTTTTTATTAGATAGTGGATTTAGTTGTAAAAGTATAATTTGACTTTATTACTTTAGATAAAAAGGCTTTTTACAGACTTTAATTTTCATGAATTTATAGAAAACATTTATGATAATGTAATATATTTTGTTTACAGAACAAAACAAAACTCTCCAGTTGAATTCCACTTATTCTTTGTGCCGAGAAAGAGTGAATTGTGTGAGAAGACATTGAAGGACAGAGCAGTATTCTCTTATTTATCAATACAAGAGTTCAAATGTGACATCTTCCCGTTTGACAATGATGTTATGTCATTGGAATTACAAAATGACTTCAAGTAAGTGGTATCTCGTTGTATAGATGATAATGTACAGGATGGAGTACAATCTGTACATATCTGTGAAGAAAATCAAAGATATGTCAATCATACAGTGGGCCAGTGTGGTTGTGTCTAGTCACCTCTTTGGGTAGTCTCCCAGCCCCGAGACTGGGTTGTATAGTTCGGTTTTTTTTTTTTATAATATAAGGTGTCAAACGAGCAAGCGGCCACCTGCATCCACCGAAATGGAGAGCGACCGCTGCCCATAAATTTGTCTACCCTTCATAGACGGTTAAGAAGACGCACATAATGAGTTGATTTTTTGAAATAGCTAATTTATAGTTCCAGCCAGGACTTTTAGATTCATCTATATAATTATGTTTTGTTTTTTCTTATAGAGAATTCTATCTAGAAGGTGATCCAACTTGTCTTTACAATGCAGCGCAAGCTTTACGTACCATCCAACATTTATATGGTATCATTCCTAGAGTTTTTGGCAAAGGCCCTGCAGCTAAACAGGTTTGTAATTACTTCTTATCTACCAGAGGCTAAATTATAGTTTTCTTCCCCTTCCCATCCTTTACTTGTTAAAGAAAGATGGTAAAGTACTCTGTATTGTTGTAAATGTCCCGTCCTCTGTCCACTTAGAGCAGAAAATACGTTGGAGAACCTTTTAACTTTTTGAAAATGTCTTTTGATTTCTCTTCTTACCCTTTCTTATAAGCAAATGATGGAAATGGGAAGTGGATTATACCAAAGAAGGGATGTATAGAAAAAGGAAACATCCTCTTTCTGTGCATCCCCTCCTCTGCCAATAAGAGATGGCAATGCACCTGCATTTGCAAATGTCTATGGGCAGTGGACGATTTATTATTTCGAAGAATTCAAGATTCTGCTTTCTTGGTCCCACTTTATAATGTGAAAATATCAAGTGGCAATTGTTTGCAACTTTCTGGTATTAAAAAAATATTAATGAAGATAATATGACTTTAGGTATGGGATCTTCTTTGCCGTCTAAACAAAGAGGACCAAGGCTCGCCCCCAAAAGGTTCAACGACCTCCTGCATTGACCAGCTGTTACTTATCGATCGTGCTATCGACTTCACCAGTGTTATGGCCACCCAACTTACTTACGAAGGACTTATAGGTAAGTTATACTCAAGTTAATCCATACTAATATTATAAAGAGAATAGATTTATATTTTTATATGTATTACAAAAACTCAAAAACTACTGTGCCGATTTCAAAGTTCTTTCACCATTAAAAAGCTATGTTATCGTTGAGTAACATAGGTTAGGTTTTTTATTATTTTTTTAAATTCACGCTTGTGAAGTGGCGAGCAACAGCTAGTAGAGTATATGGCACAAAACACTAACAGTGGAAGTGAGAATTGAAATTTAAAATGTCTATAAATCAAGTTCGATACACACAATAACTTTTTTCATTTCTAAGTTCTTTTTTTTCATTTCTTTTTTATATTCATCTATTACTAATATTTTAATGTGAAAGTTTAGATGGATGGATGATGGATGGATGTTAGAATTTGTAGCCTAAACAGCTGAAGGTAGAATGTAGTCTGGAAGAACAAATAGGCTACTCACTTTTGTTTTTTTTTTAATTCCACGCGGTCGGAGTCGCGGGCAAAAGCTAGTTATAGATAAAATCAATCGGGTTATTATTGTATGTACAGACGAGGTGTTCGGTATAAAGAGTTCGACGGCGACGTTCCCCGGCGAGCGGTTCGTGAGCGCGGACGACGCCACGCCCGAGGTCACCGCCCGCGAGAAGAAACGCGTCGTACTCAACTCTAGTGAGGAGTTGTTCGCTGAATTACGCGATTGTAGCTTCACTGTGGTGAGACACTTGCTATACGTGAATTTTATGTTTTGAAACCCTTTAAATAATTCATTTTTTTATTCAAACTGCTACAATTTTAATATAAACGGTGTTTAGTTTCGTTTTTGCAATAGATAAATTGTATTTGTTTTTACTACATGTTCTGATATATATTATTTACTATCTGAGCACAATATCACTAATTATTGCAAGTAGGATTTCACGTTTTTAAAATAATTTCGATTTTAACCCTTGTTTAATACAAGAGTTTTTTTAGATAATTATAAACTATTGACGGTGTTCAGGTTGCGTAGATTTAGAAAAAAAATCTTATTGAAAAAGGGGGATTTTTTTGCAAGGGAAAAAAAATAAATAATTTTATTTTTACTTACACTATAAATGCAATGTTTAGATGGATGGATGTTTATTAAAATTTGTAGCCTAAACTACCGAACTTATCGATGTTATTTCGCATACATGTAGAGAATAGTCTAGGCTACTCACTTTTTTTTTAATTTTACGCAGACGGAGTCGAAAGCTTGTTTCTAAATATTTATTTATGGGTTATATGTAAATAAATTACAGCGAAGTTTATGTTAGGTGGGCGCAGCGCTGTCCCGTAAAGCGCACGTAATTAAAACTCAGCTGGAGGAGCGTCACGGGGAGCGCTCTGTGCAGGAAATCAAGCAGTTTGTAGCGCGCTTGCCGCAGATGCTCGCCAACAAGCAGTCGCTCGCCACGCACACCGCCATCGCTGAATATCTTAAAGAAGTAAGTTTTTTTTAAACGTGGGGCCTATGTTACCATATGGATCCATAATAATCGACTACGGACATCACTAGCAACAGCGTCGCACGGACATCCCTATTGTACATTCATTCTCTTGCACTTCCTCTGTCAATCTGCGCTCAACTATCGTATCTCGCGCTAATCAAGTGATTGTTATACAACCAAAATGTAACATATAACAGTGGTAGAGCCCGCTTTAACATCTTCGCACGAATAGGCCGGCTCGCCCCCAGTAATACCACGACCACACAGAAAACAGGCGTGAAGTGGAAGCAATTCCGCGTTTCGTCTGATGAGTGTGGTGCTGGAGGCCTACTTTTAGTCCCTTTCCCTTTCCACTCTTTTCTTAAGAGGAAGCGATGGGAAGGTAAAGAGGATTTGACGGTGGAGGAGACGCATAGGACAGGGAAATATCTTCTTTATGTGCGTCTCCTCCTCCGCCAATTATGGGTAGGCAACGCAACTGCAATTGCGGATGTCTATGGGCAGCGGTCGCTTTCCATTTTGGTGGATTCAGGTGGCCGCTTGCTTTTATGCCACTTCATATTATAAAAAAAAACACGTAGTAATTAAACAATCATGAAGCTAAGTACAGGCGTTTCATTATGTCCATATAATAAGAGGAATAACAAAACGCCTAATGGTTTGGAATACGGACTACCGATCTTGCGGTCGAGAGTTCGAATTCCGACTTTCGACTGTTGTCGTCAATAATAGACACTACCCTGAGCTTACTAGGAACGGTATGAAATATTACTAAATTAACAATAAAAATGTACTAATATGTTTATTAAAAAAAAATAAGTTACAACGCCAATAGACAAATATTGTACTAATATTAGTAAACAACATTGTACTAATATAAGTAACAAGGATATCCTTGTTCCGAGGTTTTAGTCCTCGTTTTATCGTAAATCATAAATCAATTGAAAGTGTGAAAAATTCATAACAGAGAGACAGATGGATGATATTTCAATTTTTGATAATTTTTAAAACAACCTGTGAACAATAACTTTTGGCAAACGTTACACGTTTGTCAAATCATACTTATATTATAAATTTACTTAGTATAGATATAGATTTGTATGTTAATAACTTGTAAGCTAGAAACGGAGACGTGTTTGTATGTATTTTTTAAATATCTCTAGAACAATCTTTCCAGACGACAGATTCGTTTGAATTCCAAGATACTATCCAATGCGAGGAAGACTTTCTGAACTGCGTTGACAACGAGAAGACGAGCCCTTTTATTGAAGATTTGATCGCTCAAAAAGCTTCATTAACTAAGGTAAATAAAACAAGTCAAACACAAACTATTTTCTCTTTAATAAACATATCACATTGTATATATTCGACATTTAAAATATATAGACGGTTAAATTGGGGAGGGGGGGGGGCAATGAAGGTAGTAAATGTAATTTTTTAATCAAAAATAGTCTTATTAATATATCAATTTTTTTAATTATTATTTAAGGCAGCAATGGTTATAAATGGGACAGGACAAACAAATAAAAAGTATCATTGATTTGCCCTCGAATGGCATACACAAATTATGTTACGCACAATGTTTTATTATATTCTTTTATTTAGTTACTAGCTGTTCCTGTGCGGCTTCATCCGCATAAAATTATGAAAATTTTAATTTATTCTTCACATGTGTCAAAATATCAATAGCAAATGTCAAAGTTTTTGTCATTACAAACCTTAGCGATCTTGATTTCTTGATGTTGGCAACAACTTATGGTCTCTTTACCTCATTAGGGTTTTTATGCAAAATATTTACCCCTAAGTTTAACGGCGTAAAAATATATAGCCTAAAGCGTGACGTACGTGTAGGGCTTTTTATTAAAAAAAGAATTATTCAAAAATATGCTGTGATTGCTAACATATTAGGCAACAAAGAAGTGTGTTTACACTTTATTATAATAGTATAGATTTACATTTTTTTCCCTACTTAGTTATGTTTGTTTTTCTCTTATTATTTCTGATTGTGTTGTGTTGCTAAGGATTAAATGTTTTTTTTATTTAAAAAAAATAGATATCTCATATTTTTACAACACACAACTCTAGTTTTAGGTGTTTTTAGTAAGATTGTTGTTTTAGGTTAGTTTATTGCTCCAGGATGCGTTTCCTAGCCATGTTTTTTAGGTGTTACGTCTGATGTGCCTGCAATGCGCGACGGGGTCGGGGCTGCGCAGCAAGGTGCTGGAGCACTACAAGCGCGAGGTGGTGCAGGTGTACGGCGCGCGCGGCTGGCTGGCGCTCTGCAGCCTGGAGCAGTGCGGCCTGCTGCGGCTGCAGACCGGCACCCGCAACTACGCGGTGCTTAGGAAGGTAACTTCTAACTTAACTTATCTCTTGGTGTACTTGGTAAACTAGCTGTTAGACTTCGAACGCTTAGAATTAAATAAAAACTTTTATTGATTTTAACGTTTTAACAACTTTTCTAATGGTAAAAGAATTTTTAAAATTACCCCAGTAGTTTTTGAGTTTTTTTCAATACATACAAAAGTCTTTCCTCTTTATATTAGTACAGATATGAAATTGGCGGCATTTTATGGCTATTTATTCTATTTTTTAATAATCTTACTAATGTAAACTAGCTCTCGCCTGCGACTCCGTCTGCGCTGAATTAAAAAAACAAAATAAAAGTAGCCTATGTTATCTTTCAGGTTATCCTCTACATTAGTGCCAAATTTCATATAGGTTGTTTCAGCAGTTTAGGCTTCAAACTCTAACAAATATCCATCCATCTAAACTTTTACATCTTACTAAATTTACTTATAAGTGTAACCTGTGAACGCTAGTTATGACTAATTTAAAAAATACTGGGCAAATTGGATTCTCTAAAAAGTATTAATATTTTTCAGGCGTTACATCTAACATTGAACGAATCTGAAATGGACGCGAGCGAGAAGGGTTACTTGTCAAGCAAATATATACCTTTGGCTGTTAGACTTAGTGAACAAATTACCAAACACAAATCATGGACAGGTGAGTAAAATTATAAGTAAAAAAACATAGGTACATAAGACTGAGTTTTATATCACATTTTTATACTTATATCAATCTATACTTATATTATAAAGAAGCAATAATTGTATTTTTGTATGTATTGAAATAACTCAAAAACTACTGGGCAGATTCAAAAATTCTTTCACTATTAAAAAGCTATATTGTCACTGAGTCACGTAGGCTATGCTTTTGTATCTATACTAATATTACAAAGAGAAAAGATTTGTATGTATTAAAATAACTCAAAAACTACTGGGCAGATTTCGAAAATTCTGTCACCACTAAAAATCTACGTTATAAGTCACATAGACTATGTTTTTATTATTTTTAATTTCACGCGGAAAATCGCGAGCAACAGCTAGTAATATTTAAATACGTATTTAGGGGCGTATATACATATGATACGAATTATCAACCTCTTATCAATATGAGTAATGTTTATTATACAAAAATAATATTATTATCACAAAACATTTACAAGCTTTTGCTTGTTATTGCATTGTTGCTATGTTTTTACATAGCTCGTTATTTAGTTACTAACTGTTGCTTGCGATTTCGTTCCCGTGAAATTAAAAAATAATAAAAGATATAGCCTTTGTTACTCTCAGATAATGGTAAAGGAATTTTTGAAATCGGCCCAGTATTTTTTAAGTTATTTCAATACATACAAAAATACAAATCTTTCATCTTTATAATATTAAGTACACATTACGTCACATGTCACGATATTCTATTTTTACCGCATCCCGTTGATATACTGAATGCAAATGTATCATTTAAAACTCATCTATAATTACACTAAGTAATTGATTTGACCCCGTTCTATACTAATATTATAAAGAGGATAGATTTGTATTTTTGATTTTTATTATTTCAAAAATTCATTCACCTTTAAAAAGTTATGTTATAGCTATACAAAGGTTATATTTTTACTATTTCCATGCGGACAGTCGAGAACAACAGTTAGTACAAAATATACGTCAATAGTAGTATACTCTGCTTATCCCTTTCAGTGGACGCGGGTGTTAATATATATTAATTGTATTATACTGAATTCTAAGAATAGCATAAATCAATAACATATTCGCGGTCGTACGCCCTTCGGATATAATTAACCTCGAACTATATAAAGCATTGTGGTGAGTACAGTCAGCTGCATTAATGTATTCATTAACATACTAGATTCGTCGTTTTCAAAAATATGTATACGTTTCGTTCGTAAGCTTCCGACAATGAATACATGCAATTAACGAATTTATATTTTTAAAATCGAATATAAGTTTCTAGTTTTATACATTTATGTAGCTGACTGTACAATACTGTACTGTACTGTATTCAATGAAAGTGAAACAAGGAATCCATACAAGTAGGAATTTTACACGTTTACTAGATGACCAGAATATTTTACACATTTGAGACATTTGGGTTAAATTCTAAATATTTCATTCTACTCAGATTTCTTGTATAATATTTTAGTATCAGAAAAAAAACAATGAAATGACACTAAAACGTCCACTATTTTAACTATTAGGGTTATATTAACCCATTGTTTTATTTCTCGAATGTTTCTTCCTAATATTTTTTAATGTTTCTTCGTAATATTTTTTGCAAAATCTCACGTACCTACCGATAACTGCACAGAAACATATTTAAAAAACCTCTTTTTTAGGTATAGCAGATGTATTAACATTACTACCAGGCAATACAGTTGACGAACTCCAAACATTACAGCCGCGAATGGCTCGCAGGAACTCCATCTCTAGTGAAAATTCCTCAACCTCGGAGAATCCTAGGGTCATACTTGTATTCTTTATTGGTGGTTGTACATACAATGAGATATCTGCATTGAGGAATATAAGTCAACAGGAAGAATCTAACGTTGAATATGTTGTGTTGACAACTAAATTAATCAATGGAAACACTTTCATTGAATCTCTTATAGAAAACGAATAAGATACAAAAGTAGTTTGTATAAGTGTGTTATAATTACCTAATCAAGTCATATATTGTTTCTAAATATTAATAAATGATGTTCTCTATTTCGTTCCAATATTTATAAAATAACCTATCAAATAAAAACCACAAGGAATTATTTCCTTGTATTGTAAAGAATAAAAAGATGTTCCCTTGTTAAATAAATGTATATTAATAATTTTTTTAATGTTAAAAATACACCTGATTTTCGAAATTAATTATTCACTGTATAAAAGTATTGGTAGTAGTGGAGATTTAGTAGTGCTTGTATAACAATTTTTATTAAACTAATTTAAGACTTGTATATGCTTTACTGTACGATAAACCAGGCTAAGTTATTAATAAAATATTATAATAAATAAAGAAATTATACAAAATGTAATATTGTATTATTTGTCTTCTTTCCCACATTTTCGTTTTAATAAAATATCAATGAAATGCTAAAATTGTAGCGGTTCAAAATTTACGTGTTATTCTACAAATAAAAAACTGCTTACAACATGTTAGACTTTAATATTTTTCTTTTATTGCCAAAATATTCACAGTTAGAATAATGAAAATATTGCTTTTTAAGAAAAATAGATATGAAGTTATGATCTCAATCTTTTTTATTTAAATTACATAGTAGCCAATACAATTTATTGCTTTTTATGTTTTGCAGTCTTGCATAATAAAACTATTATAAATAAAAAATGTAATATAATTTAATTATTTGAAGGCATGTCCATATTATGATCATCTGTCCCATTGTTGACCTACATGGCACTGTCTACTTGAATTATACATCTTATTATAAAAATAAATACAATTTTAAAACCACGAAACTTCGGTTTATTAAAATTTCATATTAATTAACTTCCGTATAATATAATTTTTCAATTTGATCGGTTTTTAAATAAACTTACAAAAAATTTGCATGCTTACTATCTATATATTACATTTATTTAAAGCTTTAGCATAATAAAAAATAACTTCCATTCACATCACTGTGAAAACTTTAACATGGCTATTCTCATAAATATTCATTACTGGTATACTTCGTGATGTTGGATTTCTTTGGGGGTGCGACATTTACACCAAACTTCTTTCCTAATGTGACTAATTTCTCATTATCATAACCAACATCTTCCTTATAACATCGCAACATTAACGGCAACACTGTATCTAAGATGAATTTGTAATTCTTTTGAGAATAACTTGAATCGTTACCTATAGATAGCATAAGTCTACTGTTAAACACTGCGTGTATGCACTCATCTACCACATTCATCATATCTTTCGTTACCAGTTGTAGGCCAACCTTTTGCACTGTTAACACAGATTGTGCAAACCATAAAGTACTACTAGATAAATCTACCCAAGTCTCATTAATTATATACTTAGCTAAAATAAGGCCCAAATTCTCCATCTGTGCTAAGAATTTATTAACATTCGCTTTTGTGTGCAAATTTACCGGAGTCCATTTATCGTCGGACACTTTAGTTTTCATTGAATCAACAACTTTTTCTTTATATTCTCTTAAAGCTTTGATAATCGGGTTTCTTAAGCAACTATTCATTTGAAACCTTAGATCTAGACCAAACTCACAAAACAGTGTGCACTGAACTCTCAAGCTTTGTACACTTTCCAAAACAGACTCCAAAGCACATTGCGGTGTGAACACTTGTTTTATAATTTGACTCATTAAAATCCTTAATTGCAGACTAGCCCAAACTATGAAAGCACTTATTTTATTCTTAGGGAATAATGTTATAAATTCTGTTAAGGCATCACTCAGTGAACAAAAAAACACCTCACCAACTTGGTTAACATAACTGTTTATAGAGCCTTCCAGTTGCACCGCTTTAATATGAGCTTTTACAGTATGACTACATATATCTAGAAATAGCTCACATGCTTGACTGGTCATGTTAAACTTATTGAGTATTAGTACTGGATATCTGGAGGACCTTAGACCTCCACGTGGACTCCAGTTGTGACTTACATCAAGTTCTTTCAAGAGAATCTCTGTTAACACTTTCTGTTTTTGTTCAATTTTCTTCAAAATATCAGCTCTCTGTGGGTGGCTTTTATATTCCTCATTGTTCAGCGTTTTTTGAGCTGATACCATCAACTCATATGTCTTTTGGAAATGTCTTTCGACTATCAAAACATCCAATTCTTCTGTGACATCTACTAGCCAATCAGGTAATGGTGCTATCTGAGGCGATTGTACCTCATCAACAGAAAGGCTTGGAGAATCTAGAGACTCAGATTTAGGTTTCTCAAGACTTTCCTTCTTCTTTTGTTTAGAATTCTCCTTTTCAATATACATTTTTTTTGCTAATTCAAATTTATCCAACCAATCTTTTTTAATTGATAAACTATTGCACTGGAAAACTCTTGTATCAGGAAAGGCTAAGACCTTAAATGCCTGCTTAACAGTTCCTAAATCTCTTACATTTACTACAGCTAAAGTGCTGATAGGGTAACTGATTTGATATTTATATCGCATTGGCCCTCTGCGATTTGAAATCCATGAGGTTAGCATAAGACTGTCACTAAATAAATATACATGCATTCTTTGTAAGGCCGTGTTCTCCTCTGCATCTATTTCTAATAAATCGCCTTCATGAAGTAAAGTTCTATCTGGGGTGTCTAAAAGGTTCATACAACCTTCAACCTTCTCTGTGATTAGGTTAAGCTTATTTTTACGCTGCTCTTCAGCTCTCTCAGCCTCTAGGTCATGGTTGTCGAGTGATTCACGAGAAATTGTGTTATCGTTACCTAAAATTGACGCCTGTGATAACGTAGTAAGAACAGATCGTTGCTCACTGAGTAGGTGAGAAAGTTTATACATTTCAGCCTCAAGGTGGGATATCTCCGTGGCTGTCTCGATAAACTGCATATAGTTCTCGTAGACATTCTTCTTAAGGGCACTGGCAGTCTCTTCGGATAATGTTTGAATTTTCTCCTTTTGCTGGCTCAACTCCTCCCCTCCGACACACGACTTCGTTAGCTCCTTCACGTAGCGCTCGGGTACAAATTCTGGCACAGCAAACTTTTCCATGTTTATATCGGACATCGTTTCGCATCAATATTTGTTATTTCGTTTGATAACAATTTCTAAAAAATACTGTGTCGCTCATCATTCGGTAATCGAACGACAGGACGTATCAATCAACTTCTATAAATGTCAAACTCAGAGTACGTTCCGTTCCATCCGTTTCATTATATTAGTTTCCAAGATTCAATGGTTTTTGAAGTTATTTAATTTTTTTCTTGACAAAAAATTACTTAGAATGTTTTTAAAACCCTCGAAATTGTATAAGTAAATTATAATATGTGTTCACTCATTTAATACTTTTATTTTCCCGACCGATTTATTAAGTACAGTTGCGGAAATCCCTGGTGTTTCACTTGCAACCTGATTGCCTTAATTCTTGCAGCCAGATAAACTTTACATGATCTGTTATATGAAAAAGAACGAATTTTAAGTAGTTCATAATCAATTCGGCGCGTAGAAAGCTGTCCCGTTGAATCTAGAGATAGTGGTGACTTTGCAATGCTATTTATATAATTTATGTTTTAAATATATAAACATTTATATGATCAATTAATACTAGGCTTAGATGTTTGCTCTATCGTTACCATTTGTTTTCAAGAAAAAAAGTAAAAACAGAAAGAAACTTGTAAATAAAGGAAATGTTATGTTTGTATAACTAATCTGTTTAAATATTAAATATACACAGGCAAGTTTTTTCAAAAATAAAACAAGTCAGAGATGCAAATGTTATAAATTTATTCGTTCATAAGTTATTTTTGTGTTTATGGCAGTGTACACTTTACGCCTTCTTTTCGGTTTCCACCTTTTTGGTTTCTAGTTTGGCGCTAGGTTTAGGGGAGGCTTCCACTACCACTTCAGTCGCGGTGACGGTCGGCGCTTCGGGCTCAGTGAAGTTGCCGTTGCGTTTGTATCTGTAGTAACGAGTTGAGGCCGCCACCGAGTTTGACTCGTAGCAGTTGACGAGAGCGTCACCACGATGACCTAAAGAAAAAAGTTACTTTATAAAATCAGAGTGTTCTCTTGTAAAACTATGTAAGAATAGAAATTAAGAGCGGCGCACACCTTTGACCAAACTAACGCACAACAGTTGAAAGACTGTCTATTGTTTTGCAGCCTCAACTTTTTAGTTGCACAATTAAAATTCGAGTAGTATGTTCCTATAAGCTCATAGGAATCAAAGCAAAACTAAACAGTTGTGCATGGTTTAGTCACAGGTGTACGCGCACCCTAAATAAGATCAAAGGTCAGCTTTTAATTCAATATTGTACCACATATTGAGAACTTTTGTTTGATAATGGTTTACACAAGTCTAAAATTAATAAGGGAAAAAGTGTATTGTGTAAAATATACATTTCTAATTACCATTAGGGCAGGTGCAGACGGCGATGTGTCGCCGGCCGACGCAGACGGCGCCGGAGCCGCACTGCGTGTTGCCGAGACAGGGGTCCACGCACTGGTAGCCCACGCACGCTAAGTGCTCCGCGCACTGAGAGTCTAGCTCACATTCACCCTGAGTAACACGAATTTATTAAAACAGATGTAGCCTTCAGGAATAGTCAAAATTATTTATCTATAGCTGCAATCAAAGTCAGAAAATGTTCACCGTTAAATTGCTGGGAAATAACTAAAAAAAATCATAAGAAGCCAATCTGTCCACCAGAAGTGTAGTCGGAAATACAAGTACAATACAATACAATAGGGCAATTCTATATTTTTGTAGACTAAAGCAAAATATTATAGATTTCTTTATACTATAAGAAAAAAATATTTAATTCGCCAAGAAATGAAACTACCGCTGCTAATAGACATCTGCATTTGCAGATGCATACAGCCAACAGAGAAGAGATAACGACAAAAAGAGGATATTTCCCCTTCCCCCACATCCCATCCCCCGTTTATATTTGATAAATGACTAGCTTTCGCCTGCGACTAAGTCCGCATGAAATTTAAAAAAAAAACATAGTAAAAAAAACATTGCTACTCATAGATAAATTACCTTTCTAAAGGTGAAAGAATTTTAAAAATTGGCCCAGTAGTTTTTGATTCTATTTATTACAATCAAACAACGTTTTCCTCTTTATAATATAGTAGAACCGCGATAACTAAAACCTTGGTAACAAACACCTCTATAACTTCAAAAATAATATGTTCCCTTCCTATCAGAGCCCAAAACCTCTATAACACAGACCTTTGATAACTTAAAACTTCTAGAACTTAAAATAGTTTGTGTTTCACTTGGACTTTAACTTAAAGATATTCAAAGTTACCCGTTCGCAGGAGACTAGAGCGTTCCCGATGTAGCCGGTGGGGCAGGTGCAGACTGGCCGCTCCGCGCCCGTGCGGTCGTGGCCCGGAGTGCACTTCGCGTTGGCACCGCAAGGGTTAGGCTCGCAGAGGTCACCTTAACAATATTTTATAACTTAAACCATCAAGAAAAACGAAGAATATTACTGCAAGAATGTGAAAAAGTTTTAGCATCACGACAAAGGAAAGAAAAAGCATCAAGGTTTTGTTTCTCTCTTGCATCCCAGCATTTTAACCGACTTCAAAAACGAGCTGATTCTCAATATGCTTAAATTTACGTGATTCTCTTTTAATTTGATGAGGATTTGTTACTCTTCTGTCTTATTTTATCAAAATTAAAAACTACGCAGTAACTTTAAGGTCATCTAAACAGGATACCAAAAATTCATATTGTAATAAGGACAATTTTCATATTAACTCTTCAATACTATCACCAGTTCCCTTACGTGCTTCAAAAGGTCTACAGAAGGTGAAGGGATCCCCTGTCATGTTCCTGGGGCAGGAGCAGACGGGTGTCAGTCCGCGCAGGTTGCAGTCGGCGTTGACGCCGCACGCGTTGGTGCAGGGGTTGACGCACGCGTTGTACACGCACGCCGGCTTGTAGCTCGGGCATTGGCTGTCAGACTCGCACTCCGCCGTACAGATGCGGTAGGGATCCCCGAAGTAACCCTGTTCGTTAATACAGGAAAGGATAGTAAGAACAGTGATACAAAACCCAAAACGAAGTGCTGTCCCTCCTAATTTTTCTTACTAATATTATAAATGCGAAAGTTTAGATGGATGGAGGTTATAGTTTGTAGCCTAAACAGGTAAACGAATCTCCATGAAATTTGGCGTAGATGTAACCAACCGACCAGACTATTCTCAGTCAGGAAGAATAGATAGTCTACTTACTTTTTTTTCGTTCCACGCGGATGAAGTTACGGGTGAAAGCTAGTGATAAATAAACTGAGAAACTAAGGTATATTTTTTCTGTTCAATATTACATCGCTTAATGTAGTTGAAAGTGCTAGAATTTTAACACTTCACTCTACACTTGAATTTGACGTCATACGTACATAGGACTACGTAAGGAAGAAGTATCTAGAAAAGTGTTCTAAGACAACATAAAATAGGATGCCGTAAGTTCTGTCTGTCTGTATACTAACTCGTGGACACTTGCAGACGGCGCGGTGCGCGGCGACAGTCTCACAGTCTGCATTGACTCCGCAGTCGCTGCAGGGGCTGGTGCATTTGAAGTCGCGGCAGGATTGCTGCACTCCGCAGTCACTGTCAGACTCACACTCATGTCTGCAGCCGGACAATGGACTGCCCTGCATCACGGACATCAATACATGGTTAGTGGAATTATACAATTTCTGGAGACCCTGCGTAGTTGGAGGACTCCTCTCCTAGGGGAATATTGTCCTTGATCACCAACTACTCCCCCTTATAATTAGCTATGGGCTACCCCCTTGACCATTGGCTAGCCCCGTTGACTATCGGCTAACCGTCCCTTTCCCAAGCCTTGATCATCATCTGGCTCCCGTTGACTATCTTTTAGCTGCCCTCATCCCAACCCTTGATCAATAACTGAAAACACCCTTGAATAGTTGAATTTAGAGTTCATCCATAACAACAACAACATATCAAGATTTAAAGTGACAACAATCGTTTGAAAGAATGCTTACTCTGTATCCCGGTAGACAGGTACAAATTGCCTGGTTGTTGGCCACGTGACATTTAGTGTTGATACCGCATGGAGACGGATGGCATGCTTCCTCTGGAAAAATTGAAAATTACACTCGAAAATTCAAAAAAATACAATAACCATATTTTGTATAATACCATAGCAATACAACGACTATGATCCACTGTTAACTATACCAAAATCCTGTTAAATTAATAATTATAAGGGACTAGTCTCAATGACTCACCCGGGTCAGCAACCCTACAGGCTGTGAATGGGTTACCAGTGTACCCAGCGGGGCAGGAGCACACGGGCACGTGTTGACGTACCTAAGATAATAATAACTGTAAGAGAACATCAAACAAAAACGGTTGATCGGAATCGCCAAAGGGTTTTAAAATATATGCTTAAACAAAGGATACTTGTTAAGGACTTTACGTCAACTCACATCACTTAATAGACAATCGAACTATGTGTATAGCAGGCTTTAGGAAATTGTACAGTCGCGGAAATACACGGTGTTCCACTTTCAGAAATATTGCCTTCTTTCTTAGAACAAGACAAACTTCACCTCTTCTTAAAAGCAACCAATTTGATAGCAATAAGTTGCTCAAGCGCCAATACAATAAAAAAAGCAATTACCATGTACGACTATATGACTTTTTTCGTACACAATTAAAAGCTGTCTCTAATTGGTTATTACGGAACACCACCAGACTTCCTGACTGTACTTAGTTAGAACTTACGTCACAATTAGCGTTAACTCCGCATGCGCCCTCACACGGATTCACGCAGTGTTGGTTTACACAGGATTGGTGGCCGCGACACTCGTCGTTGCCTAAAACATTTATACAGAAAGACTTCAACGATATACTGAGACAAATTTCTATAATTTTAGTCAAAGTTGTAGCGAACTTTTTTTACTGAGGAAATCTTTTCTGCACAATTCTTTGTTATGACAAATCAATATTTTCTAAAGTAATCTTGTTCATTCATAATAGTACAAACAAGATTGTGACAATGATGAATTGTAATGCGGAAGCTTGACAAAACCTACGCGCTAATTTTATTCATCCTTATTACAAGGACTTAGGAATAACAGATCAATATGTACTTTGTATAACAATTAAAGGATATCAAATCACGCCATTTAAAAGTTAAATAATACATTTTTACTTAGTAATTAGTTCTTATTCACATAGTATTTAACACAACAACTAACTACCCATTATAAGGAAGAAATAAAAGTCTCCACCCCGTAAGAAATAGTATTAACTCCAAATTAAGGTACTGCCTGCTCTAAAAACCACATAGGAAAGGTATTGCGTACTCTAAAAACTCCAAAGTAATAGTATTGCCTACTCTAACATCCAGTGATATCGTCTCTTCTTTTATCAATAGGGCAACTGCAATAAAAGTCATAGCATAGTGTAAACAGCCAGTACTTACTGACACATTCTATCTTGATACACTGTGACAGAGGATCTCCGGAGTGTCCAGCGAGGCAGGCGCACACGGGCCGCACGCTGCCGTGAGTACAGTGGGCACCAACACCGCATGTATGCGGCCCGCATTTCACCACCTCGTCGGATATCGAACGTCCGTGCTCGTACAGATTACGACCATAGTAGCCCCGAGGCGAGTAGTAGTTATAATACCTTTGAGCTGTTGGAAAATAACAGCTAAGTCCCTTCATCGTTCATAAAAAAAAGTAACAGGGCAAAATTAATGAAAATTAATTAAGCCTAATGGTTTGGGGTACGGACTACGAGGATTCGAATTCCACCATTCGATTATTGTGAAATATTAGTGAATTTACAAAAACTTACTTACTTACTAATGAGTTTATTTTAAAAAAATAAAAATTAATTAATAAAAATATTGTCTAATATGTACTTCTATAAATATCATCAATCAAAGCTCCAGGTAGTGATTAACACAACCTACATGTCGACAATAAATGAGGCCTTGACAAGAACCTTATAAAGTATTGGCCAAGTCCCGCCCACGCGGGACCCTTGTGACCGCCATTTGAAATTCATTATCAAGGTTACCGACACACATTAAGTAGTCACTAAGAGTCCCTTAGTGCAGATTTGCACGCAGAGTGAAAACATTAAACTTTACGTTTCGCGTAAATAAATGTTTTTTAACATACCCTCGACTTGGGGCTGGAAGAATGCAAAAAGCACCAAAGGTGCTAAATAGAGCAACTTGCTCTCCATCTGCAATTAAATAATTATTATTAATAAAACAAATATAATAAATAAATATTTATCTTTTAATTGGTTATAACTGTTATTGTTTAATTGTTAATCTGTTATTTTTCAATAGATTATTTCAATTCAATTCAAAGTGAAGTCCTAAGGTGGAACAGAAAAACAAAAATTTGTCGACCCTAACCAGTATTAAGTACGTTAAGTGTGTACATACACACGGACAGCCGTGCGTCACTTGTGAATGACCGACATGACGTAATGCTTTACGCGGGCTTTTGTTAAATGCTAATGGGTCAATGTTAATTTTACTTAACAAACAATACAATTTTTTTTTCATATTTCTTATTTCAAAAGATACAATATTTCGTTCAAAATGATAATTATAAATGATTATCACTAAGCAGATTTTTCATTAGTAAAAAATAACCAAACTAAATGACATTTAACCGTCCGAATTGTAATATAACGGCCATAAATTCAAATCCTAGTCCATTTAAAATATTACTTCTAAGGAATTATTCTTCTATACAACGTGTATCTACAAAAATTAACCAAATAGTTAAATAAATATTTAGAAACACGTCATTTAAAATCAATTAAAAACATTAAATCATAAAATTTGTATACATTATTACACGGAGGTTTGTAAATCTATGCACGAAACTTACTAAATTATTATAGCTAAAGCAACAAAAAGTAGTATTTTAACAAACGTCACTTTTCGCGCCACTTTTGCTTTCACAGTTTTTTTTTAAATAAAAGAGCACAAGGAACTTACATCTGTTCGTTATCGTGAATCGATGATTAAAACATGCTCGCCGCAAACAACGAGCATCCTTATACTTACTCTTAGCGCCTACGCTTGCTCTGCGCATAAATCTTATTTGTTGAAATAAACATCTCAGGCTTTAGTATGCACCTGTTATCTTTTGATAAGGAAAATTGACTATATTCTAAAAATAAAACGGAAACGAACTTCTTAAAATCAGAACTAAAAATTCGTTTTTTTTTGTTTCATAACTTATAAGAAGGACGTTAGTTATGAATGTGGAGTACACCGGTAGAGGTAGACCTAGAAAAAGATGGATTGATTGCGTGAAAGGAGACACGATCAAGAAGGGAGTGATGACTGAGATGACGGATGATAGAGTTATTTGAAGAACGAGAGAGAGAGAGAGAGAAGGGAGTAGGCTCCCGAAAGGTCGGCGCACCGGGTTTTGCCTTACCTCATCCTAATAAGGTAAGGGAGATTATGATGTTTTATAACTACATTTCAAATTCAAAGAAAGCTTAACTACAGGGAAAAAATAAGTACCTATTACTAATAAGTAGCTAAAAGGCATCTTCTCCTTATAACTAATGTCGTGAACTAGCACAAGTCTAGAGCTTAGTTGGTATGGTTAAATGTAAAATTAGTAAATTATCAAAAATCTACTAATGTTTTTCATTCATCTAACTAGGCTAACTAGACAGTATATAGTCTGTAGCGCCTTAGATTTAAACATTTTTACTAGAGGTTTTATGAAAATATTAGGTATAGGATATAAAAAAATAAATTAAAGGTCTTAAGATTTTTATTAATAATCGACTTAATTTGTCCTCCTGCTATATTAGGCGGGCATGGTTCGTAAACTTCATGATTAAACAGAAATGATGTCATTTCGCCTTTCCGTTTTGCAAATGTTATATTTATCCGGATTGCTGAATTTAAGCTAAATAGTTATATTCAAGGAAATATAATTTTAAACTCTGATGATGATGAGAAATTATTTCAGCTAATAATTCGTTTACAGAGCGATAAAGCGAAAGAGGCAAAGGGTTGATTTTCGTTCGTAAATTAATCACACTTATTAATACTTGTGCGAAATCGTTTTGTTTCAAAGAATCGATGACAAATGTTTGTTGGATGTTTCCCGTTGGACCGATCGAACATTGGTTTATTCCTATTGGGTCAATCGAACCCTATTGGTTTAATCGATGAATCGATGTGAAAGATAAATATTTTTGTACATGATCTCGGTAGTGGAAACCCACCGTAAATGAACTGTATCAATGATTGTTCATTTGTTTAGTGACGTCAGACTGTGTGTACAAAGACAAACCAAAGCTAAGGTTAAATTTGTTTAGCACATTTTTCTGTTTGAACGCAGTTTTTAGTGAAAATTAAATCAGTCTGAATCGTCAAACAGTTCTATTGTGCTTTCCATTAAGTTGAATTATATGTCGATTTTTTTAATAATAGGTATTAGGTGGCAAACGAGCGAGCGGCCACCGAAATGGAAAACGACCGCTGCCCATAAACATTCGCAATTGCAGATGCCTTGCCTACCCTTGATTGGCGGAGGAGGAGACGCACATAAAGAGGATATTTCCCCTTCCTATGCGTCTCCACCACCGTCAAATCCACTTTTCCTTCCCATCCTTTCCTCTTAAGAAAAGGGTGGAAAGGGAAAGGGATTAAAAATATGCCTCCGGTACTACACTCATCAGACGAAACTCGGAATTGCTTCCACTTCACGCCTGTCTTCTGTGTGGTCGTGGTATTACACCGGGCGAGCCGGCCAATTCGTGCGATGATGTTAAAGCGGGCTCTACCACAGTTACACATTGATTTCCTTACAATTGATATGAAGTGGTATGCTACAAAGGTACAATTCGTTTTTAATTCTGTGTATTACATTATAAAAAAAGTATCTTCCTTAAAAAAACCAGACTAGAAACAACCATGTTAACTATTGCTGCTGTTTCCAAGCCACAAGGCATAACTAAATAAAATGCCGACAAAAGAGTTTTCTATTGCTGGATTTACGTCTTGACTCATTTCCTTTTTTATTAACATAGCTGATTTACGTATTCAGAATAGCTAATATCGTAGATTGCAATAGAAAAAGTATCTTTCTATGTTACAGGCAGATTTACAAGCCCACAGATGTGTTGAGCAGCCTTGTGTAAAGTAATGTGTTTTCATAAATGTCCATTATACCAAAATAATTGCAGTTTATTTTTGAGAAGGAGTAGCCCCGTAAATTTGCTACTATAGCTTAAATTATCCATCGTATACATTACGCTTCGTCTTCTATTGACCATTCATCAATTTAAGACAAAAGATAAAACTACAAACAAATCCAATCGTTTAACGATGAATAAAATTACAATAAATTAACAGCGAGTAGGTAATTCGATTTAAGCGGAACAGTCCCAACCGACGATAATACCCAAATACGAATAGAAGAAGATCAATTTCGGCAAACACGCCCATTATCTTTCCAAAATATCAAATTTTGCATAAGGTTTTGGAGCGCAAAATAGGAACTATTTTTTATTTCGTTGGTAACTGAGTCAGTGGTATACGGCCCACATATAATTACGTAAGATATAAGGTGATATCAACCACCTGTTAGTTTATTGTTATTTGTAAAAATGTCTCAAACAAAGGAATAGCAAAAATGTCGCTGTATTTAAATACAGAAAGCCTCGATAATATTCAACTTCAATTTTAGTAACTCTTCTTTGTCTCTCCGAATAGATAAAAGTTAAATAATAAATTAAATTAATACTACAATTGTTGGGTTTTTACAGATTTTAATTTTCATCGAAATTTACAACCCACTGAACACTTGCCTAACACTTTTGTTTTCGAATCAGTTTCTGAACGAAATGTCATGTTACGAACAGCTGACCACGCCGAAAAAAAAAACTATCAAAAATTATTGACATTGACAAAATGCACCTTACATGACATTTATTTCTAGTTTCTTCGTTAAAATGTTAAAATAATTTTAGAGTACGACGTAAAAGAAACTATTGTTTCTAACAGGTAAAACAAAATCATTAGCCAACCACTTTTCAAACTATGTCTACAAGCAGGTTAGATGCTGTATACCGAAGTATACTTATAACCAAATTCTTTACAAAAGGTTGGGGTAAACCGGAGAATTTACGAAGGTGAGCAACAGTGTAAACAATTACTTAATACCTATTTAGCCCTTAGTTACATAACACATTTATTAAACCCTTTATTTTTTAAAATAACTAAAAATGAACTTAATGCCAAATTTTTAGGTTATTTGAATTCAGAAAAATAGTTTCGAATCGGGATGAATGCTTTAAGTTAGTAGAAAAAGACTACCCTGTCACTATAACCAAGGTAAAGTATTATTGATGGTTTTATGTAATTTTCATTATGAGAATATATCTTTAAACAATTCTTATCAGCTTAGTATTTATTTATATAGTAATTAAATTTATTTCAACTTAAAAGCGTGTCTGAAAGGAGTGCCTTACAATTCTTAATCATATTTTTACACAGCAAAACACAAGATTTACCAATAATCATCCGATATTTTTAAAAACTGTGTTGAATAAGATTATTTTTTTTCACAATTCCAGGAACAAAATCTATCAGACTGTAAACTTTTAGAAGGATATTTTCTCACACCGTTAGAAAGATATCTACCAGGAATAGTTCCGGAAATAGCACAGAAAGCGCACTTCCAAGCTCTGCTGCCAATTCACTGGCAGGAGAAAGGATGCAAGCCAGTCTGCCTCCATCTCGCCGGCACAGGTGATCATGTAGGTAACTTAATTGAAATTTAAATAATATTTCAATCCTTGTAAAGACTATTTACATTTTATAGTAAGTCTTAAGAGATGTAACTTTAAAATATATTTAAAGGTAGAGATGTATAGAAGGGACAATATCCTCTTTATGTGCGTCTTCTCTGTTGATTAAGGGTAGACTATGCATCTGTCTACAGATGTCTATGGGCAGCGATTTCTTTGCTATTTTGGTGGATTCAGGTAGCCGCTCTATGCCATCTTGTAATATACTAAAAAAATGACATAACAGCTACAGCATAAAAATGACCTTGGTTAATTTTTTTGACATTGACAGGGTCTATTGAGGTGTCACAATTTAGTTTGACATATGCCCACCAGGAAAGATAACCTTGTTCATTTTAGATTCTAATAGCCAAGGTGGAACTGTTAGACATAGGATTTATTTCTTGTAGCTACAAAATAGTCATTAATAAATAATACTCTGGATGTTTGCCAAAAGTCAATTTTGTAGCATTACATTTCTTAGTAGTAATTCTAGGTATTAATAGTTTATTTTTGTTTTGTATTTGTTTTTTAGCTATACTAATATTATAAAGAGGAAACATATATATTGCATATATTGAAGTAACTCAAAAAGTACTTGGGAAATTTCAAATTTTCTTTCACTATTAAAAAGCTTAGTTATTAGTGGCTATATTTTTTATTTCATGCTGTCGATGTCTCGAGCACCTAGTTTTTAATACATCTTTTTATGTTTGTCAATACGTAACATTAAGTAAATAATCACTTTAGATAAATTTAGTATAATGTTTATGTGACATGAACCTGTTGAGTAACTTATGTGACAAAAAATCCAAGGCTAAAACTGAATTCAATTACGATCTCTCGTAATATAGCAAATGCAAGTCATTTTTCTATATAATTATTAAATTTAATAATACGCAAATATCTTTATGCCAGGACCTTGTCTATTATAGGCTACCTAATGTTATTTAAAAAAAAATTATATATCCATTAAAACTTGTCAATGTCACTGGCTGGTTGTTTAGTTCAGTTATTATTTTTAATTTTACAAGAGTTATCTATATTTTCTGATTGAAAAGCTGTTGGGCTGTAGCTATCACTACCTTATCTTCATATCATAATATTTTAGATTTATCTATGTTATTGAGTAATAACTATTGATTATAAATTACACTTTGTAAACAAATGTGATTATCTATACTTCTATACTATTATAATAAAGCGTAAACACACACTTTGTTGCCTAAGATGTCAGCAATTACATCATATTTTTGAATAATTCTTTTTTTAAATAAAAAGCTACACACTTACGTCACGCTTTGGGCTATATATTTTCACGCTATTAAACTTAAGGGGTAAATATTTTGGATAAAACCCCTAAGGTGAAAAAGAGACCATAAGTTGCTGCCAACATCAAGGTAGCAAGATTACCAAGTTTTGTCATGTCGTGTCATTTTGACTTTTGCAATTGGCAATTTGACACATGTAAACAATAAAATAATTTTATGGTGTTGATATCGCACGGGAACAGCTAGTTAATAATAAACTTTGTTTTAGTTTCTTTCAGAATAAATATAAACAACCATAGACAATATTAATATTGACAGTTTCCATAAACCATAGACAATTTAAAACTAATAAATCTATGGACTAAATCATATATGGCTTTTTTATTTTTTTATTTCTGATAGTATTTCTGGCGACGCAGAAATCTGATGGTGAAGCCGCTGCTCAAGGAGGCGGGGATCGGCGGCATCATTTTGGAGAATCCCTTTTACGGTCTTCGAAAACCTACAGACCAAATGTAAGTTAATTTGTAAATTATTATTATTAATATTAGACTGTAAAAGTCTGATAAATTAATCAGTACCATGTGTTCTTCCAGATGTTCTATATCTGTGCAAAATTTAGTGAGATCTGTTGAGCCATTCTGTTAATAGTTATTATGAAAAATGTATTCACCTAAACTTTTGCATTTATTTATTAGTAGGAAGTAAAATAGAAATTTCTGGTCTTTTTATTGTTATGTCATTGTAGTTTTGAGAAAGCATTTTAACCCACATATATATTAGTTATTGCAACTTTTGATGTAAATTGTATAATTTATTTATGGCAATAATTCGTTTTTGGAATTCAATTATCATTTTGTTTTCTGTGTCTATTTCAGCCGCTCTTCTTTACATAATGTTTCGGATATATTCGTGATGGGAGGATGTCTTATACTGGAGTCTTTGGTGCTGTTCCACTGGTGTGAACGGAACGGACTTGGACCTCTAGGAGTGACTGGCCTATCTATGGGTGGACATGTGAGTGAATAATACGCGGTCCACATTTCGCCAACCCAGTTGGTCAGTAGCATTCAATAACTGAACTGGCAAACGACTGGTTTAGTATAAACAAGACTGGAGCCAGTGACTCTTCAATCTATAACTGGCCATTGCAACTGTCCAACTGTACTGGCCAAATGTAAACCAGGCAAAAAAAAATTAGAGATTGTAATGGCGGTATTTTTTCGTTTATGACATCTGTCAGTACAGCATATAAAATGTCAGTGGCAAATCGATTAGTTGTAATAAATCGATTTTGTTTATAATCATTATTTCGATTGAAATTAAAATATATAGATTAATATATTTTAGATGGCATCATTAGCAGCAACAAATTGGCCGAAGCCGCTGGTCCTCGTACCTTGTTTGTCCTGGTCTACTGCGTCTGCTGTTTTCTTGCAGGTATTAGAATATTAACATAAATTTATATCAAAACATTCTCAATTACTTATTTGTATAATATTGCAGGGTGTAATGTCTCATTCGATAAACTGGGATTTACTAGAAGACCAATATTTATCTGACGGAGTTTACAGAGAGAAGTTGTCAAAGATGGTGACGATCGTAGACGAGGCATTTCTAGCTGGGAAGAAATTCGCACGGACGTATTCAGAAAGAGTCAAAATAGGAATACAAACAAACACGCAGATAGAAAAACAAGAACATTTAATAAAGAGTTTGAAATGCGATTCGTATAAAGATTTAATAATATGCCAAGAGAATGATAAAGCGAAGCTACAAGATGAGAATAAAAAAATAGATTTAAACACAAAAGTGCCTATTAAAATTGTCAAATCTGAGGGTACGCGGGAATTTGATAATTTAAATAATGAATTAAATATACTTCTGAGTGATATTAAAATTAGTAAAACACTACATGATAAGTTTACATCTAACACGACATTTGAATTAGACGCGAATGATATATCAGAGATAAATAAATTAAATAAAAAAGAACTAAACCAGTTCTTGTTGAAATTTAATGTTGGTAAGAGATTGCTCACTAGTCGCTTCATGCTTGCTGTTTATTTTATTTTCAATTATCTGATATATTATTTATTTATTTTTGATTATTTTTTAATCATCTAATTTTTTTTTAATCTGTTTAAAAATTCATCTACAATTTTGACAGCATGCAAAATTCCATTACACGCACATATGCTTATAAATGACTTTTTAATTGTCAAAGATTTTTTGAAATCAGCCCAGTAATTTTTGAGTTATTTCAATATATACAAAAATACAAATCTTTCCTCTTTATAATATTAATATAGATATGTTTTATGTGAACTTTTAGATATTGGAACGCAATAAAAAAGCTTCATATTCTTTTTTTAAAATGCGAAACAGAATTATAAAAGGTAACTTATTTTCAGCCAGTGATTCTGATAAACAAAAAACGACAGAACAAGTTCCAGATACGACAGATAAATTAAAACAAACTGTAAATTTGACTACCAGTGAAACACCAAGTAAAGAAACAACAAACTTGAAATCTGTAAATATAAATACGGAAAAATCAAAAGAAACGGAACAAATACAGAATGAACAAATCGATAAAAAATCGGAAAAGAAATCATGGAATGTATCCGATTTGACATCGGATTTTTGGACGAATTTACCTTTTATAAAATCGGGGAAGAAGATAGATATAGGTAAAATACATTGGAGGGACAGAGAGGCGTTACAGTTCATGAGGGGGATTATGGACGAATGCACTCATTTGAGCAATTTCTCCGTGCCATATGATACTTCTTTAATTATCGGTAAGTACCAAAAATGTTTAGTTACATTTTTAACGAATATTTTTTTTGTTTTGTATATTGTGGCATCATAAATACAGTTGTGGCAACACTAACTGGTCAAAGAAGATAACACATCAGACAAGAGTTTTTCGATTTTATCATCTAAATCCACCGTAATATAATCGTAAATGAGCGTAAACACACACTTCTTTGTTGTCGAATGTCAGCAATCACAGTATATTTTTGAATTAGCTTTTTTTAATAAAGAGCCCTACACTAACGACTCGCTTTAGCTTATTTAGTTTAATGCTGTTAGTATTAAGTCGGAAATAAATTAGAAAAAAAACGTCATTCGGGAAAAGAAAACTACAAGCCAATAACAGGTTTACGGAATGTTAACAATAAAATCAAGTTCTTATAATATTATGTAGATGGAGTCACACGGGAACAGCTAGTAATAATAATAAAAGTAATTTAATCCATTAAGAAGACTAACATACATTTAATTACGCAGTTGACAATAATAAGACGGAGGAAAAAAAAGTGTTACAAACAACAAAAAAAAACAAATACATACACAAATAAGCATAAAAGTTATGAACATTTTTTTAAATTAAGTTTGCTAAGCTTAATGGATAAGGCCTTTACACAGCTATGTGCTTATTACCGCGCTGATATTCTGTAAAAGCCTTTTATGGTACGTCAGTTGCAGCATTAAATAAATAAAAAAAATGATAATCATGTTTATAAGTGAAATGGGAAAGAGAGGGTAAATAAAATAAGTAAATGATTTTTTTTTCTTATTCTAATTTAGCTACAGGAAAACCGTTTTTAAATAGTTTTTTGTGTGATAGCGGTATGCGCTAAGCACGACGCGTACGTCCCTCGCGAGGACGTCGGGCGGCTGGAGGAGATCTGGCCCGGCGCGGAGGTGCGCTATGTGGACGCGGGGCACGTCTCCGCGTACATCCTGCACCAGTCCGTCTTCAGGTATATAGCACTCACGGTTGTTACGAACTCGTAACTCGTTGGCATCAGCGAAGATATAGGAGGGCGCTGGTGTGGATGCCCGACGGCGAACATGTTCGTGTCCATTGTGTCGTCACACTCATTAGGGGGAGACTTGTCACAAATAAATGACAATAACTTGTAGGAAGTCAAGAAGGGTGCATGCGGTTAGACCGTGTGCCCTCCCGCGATTCAGCCCGTATGACCTGAGACCTGAGGTCGGTGGGGACATGTGTGGTGGTGGGTCAGAATAAAAAAAAAAAGTTGTTACTAAGTGTCATTGCGTGTAAATCAGTGGTATAAGTAAACCCCCAAAGGTCCACAGACCAGGTGGTCCAAATTATTGTCATAAGTGAATTATTTTTTTAATAAATGTATTAGTTAAATTGTTTATTTAAAAATTATACTTTTTAACACAGAGGAAAGGGACCCCTCAGAAAACGAAATGGGGGTCCAGAGAATTCAGTCAAACTAAGGGGTCCACGATTTAAAAAAAGTTTGGGCACCTCTGGTGTAAATGACCCTGCATTTATTTACTATCTTGCGCCCTATATTTATGTTTGTTTTCTATTATGTAATAAATAAACATAAATTAATTTATTTAAATATTTGATTTCTCCACAGGGCTTGTATTATAGAAGCTTTCGAACGATCGAAGAAAAAATGGAAGGACGGAAAACACATCGAATGAAAATTGCCTTACGAATTTTGAGATATTTTCCATCCATTTATAACCTTATTGGAATTTGTCTTTGAAAGTTTTGCTCAATTTAATGGAGAGAGAACTTGATACCTCCCTGACGACAAACTGTTAATTAGAAATTTCATAATTTCTAATGCGATTTAAGACTTTTTGCAAAAGTCTTGCAAAAACCCAACATTATGTTAACTATTAATTTAATTGTGCAGCTAAATTTATTCAACATATAATAATGGATTAATGTTTTTGTTAAACCTGACATAAAATAATTTAACAACTGAAAAATTATCCATAATGAAAAGTCAGCCATAGTCTTCGTGTGGACTTCAAACTTCATTTTTTATCTCTTTCGCACATTTAGTTATCGCATACGTTTGTCCCTCTCACACCGGATCAGCACAATTATCAACTATAAAGTCGTGCTTTTGCACGCAAAATAAGTGTCATATCAATAAATATGCGCAAAATCTGCAATATTATATCAAATAATTTAAAATGTACAGAAATTAGTTCATAATGTTAGCGTACTGAGAAAATCTATATAATTAAAATGTATTAACCTAATAATTCTTAACATTTCCAATTACAGTCAGCATTAAATAAATAATAACCTAAACAATGCATATGTCGCCGCCATTTTTTAAATGTTGATGTTAATTGAAGTTGCCAGTGTCAAAAAATTTTAAGTTTTTTTTAACTGGCAACTAAATTTTCTTTTTGGATGTTATATTTTAGTAATACTTTTATATGAAAAATGGTGCCAATGTTTTATCATTTATCAACTTGTTGAATATAATTCGAATGGTTTTTATGTTTTATGAATGTTATTCTGCTTGTCTAGTCCTGTAGTTATTTGGAAACTGAATTTTATGTAGTTTTATTGGTCTGATGGTGCTAAATGTAATGACCAATTGTTGCAAGTGGTCGGAATTTATGAACCATGAAATAATCGTGAAATTGTGAAGTTAGCAATTAATATTTCTTGAATAAACGAGTGTTCGATTAAAAATTATGGGTCATTTCCGGCTGTTTAGTAATATTAAAACATATGTTTTCTTAATTACTTTTGGAGTTGCTAAAACCCTTTTGTTGTAACAAATAACGAAAAATGATGCATAATTCTGTATATTTTCAAGAATTGTTTATTGCTCCTTAGTACAAACTTTTGTCGCTTTTAGAAATGTTTTTCTTGTAGCAGCACTTTATTGTAATATTTGTCGTGTACATAGATTATATAGTCTCTTTTGAGATTGTATTTTTATAAATAAAAATATATTTACTTCATACTTGGTCTTTGCTTTCACACCTGAATCTTTTAGTCCTATTTTTGTGAACTGTAGTTTTGAGTTTTTTGACCAATGAGGGAAAGGCAAGTAACAGATGAATGTTACCATTTTTAAAATTTCCTGGTATTGTTGTCAACATGGGAGAAATTATAAAGAAGGTGGTAATATTTCCTTACCTTATTACTAACTTTATTATTACCTAGAAAGCGCCCTCTATCAATGTTAAAAAGCTACCATAAGATTCTTATAGCGCGTCTTGAAATGCAATATATTGCTATCTGGTCTTCAATAAAGAGGGATGACTAAATGTTTTTGTACATGTCTTGGCAATTTACTTTACCTTTTCAACCTTATCACTTTGACATTATAATACATAATCAAGTAAATTTGAAATAAAACTCAGTATTATTACAAATACTTTTATTCCTTAAGATTCTTACATCTATATAATCTTTAGACGAGTAGAGGCAACAAAAACATACTAATCGAAGGCAAAATAAACTTTATAGTTAATAATTATTTAGAATACAACCAGCGTATTTCGTGTTTGTTATATAAAAATCACTTAAACTAACTTATTTGTATTACAATATTGACCACAGTGTCTAAGAGCAATAATTAAACGTCACAAGACATTTTCAAAACGTATTTCATCTCGCTCGCACACTCCGTATAAATTGGTTGGCTTTCAGCTAACTTCAGACAAAACTTCAATAGCTTTTTGACGAGATTAAAATTTATTTATGGTTTAATTTTTCTGAAAGATTAATTTTAATTTATCGTTGTTTACAATAATTTGGATTCCAATTTGACATTATTTGACAACAAATTGACAGTTTGACATTCAAAATGACGTTCTGAAACCGAACATTTGACAGTTAGTGCTATTTTTAATATAAAGTCTACATAAAATATTAAGTTTCCATTAAAAGTGTGTAGAGAAAGCAATTTTCACTCGTGGGTAATTAAAATATCGCACGTGTTTTAAAATTAACCTCGTACTTATAGTTTTGTTCAAATCAATAACAAAAATAAATCTAACATTAGATTTTTACCAATTAAAAAAAAAAACGATATACAAATAGACGTTTTTAGCAACTTTTAACGCATTTCGATATTGTAATATCAGAAACCTTTTAACAATCCTAGTAATTATTATTGAGAAGACAAAAATATACAAGTGTATGTAATCTTAATTAACTAAATTCCCTTTTAAGGTTATTTCTAATTCAGACAAAAATCTTAACCAAAATTAGCTTGAATTTTAATTCACAAATGACCGATAGATGGCGATAACGCAATCCTCAATCAATTTAACTTATTTTCGAAAAGTTATGCTTACAGTTAACTTAATTAACTTATTATCTCTTCGCTTCGGTTCACTTAAGCAGCATATTCCTAAAGTCAGTATTTGTGAGAGGTTTCTTGTCATGTCCATTATCTTGTCCATTGGCAGCTTTACTTGTGGATGGCTTCTGTAGCACACTCGGTATAAAACTGCTCAACTGCGTACGTCGCCTAAAAAAACGATAAATACAGCCTATGAGCAATTCAAAAAACAGAGTGGGCGTGGGCTTTATCATGAGAGTGGGCATTATTAAGTATACTCACATGCCTCCCGCAGCGCCTCGTTTATGTTGTCCCAGAGTGGGCACTTATGTGGGCAATGTTAAGTACACTTACATTCCACTAGCGGCGTCTTGTTTACGTTGCCCCAGAGTGGGACAATGATGTGGGCAATGTTAAGTAAACTCACATTCCACCAGCGACGTCTAATTTGGGCTGTCCCAGAGTGGGCATATACGTGGGCAACATTAAGTATTTACATGCCACCAGTGGCGTCTTGTTTGTGTTGTCCCATATTGGGCGTGGGCTTACTCATAAGAGTGGGCAAGATAAATATACTCACATGCCGCCAGCGGCGTCTCGTTTGGGCTGTCCCAGCGTGGGCGTGGGCGCGGCTGTGGGCTTAGGCGGGGGCTCGCTGACCGCCACCTGCAGCTTCCTGTCGCCCAGCTGCAGACCATCGCTCTGCTTTAGAGCTTCGCACGCGCTCGCCTCGTCTTCATACTCTATGTACGCTAATCCTTTAGGTTTCCCGTCCCTGATGAAGAAAACATTAGTTATTTACATTAGTTATGAAGAAAACATGCACTACTTCGTGGCGTAGGATGTCAGCAATCACAGCATATTTTTCAATAATAATAATAATAATAATAATAATAATAATAATTTCCTTAAGGTTAACGTGGAGATGTATCAGGATGTTGTAGCAATAGACAAAGGACTCACGCCGCTTTCCCTGGCTACCACGAACTGGCGGAGGCTGGAGGTATTAAGTGTCTCAGACCGCATAGGTGTATGGAAGAGCAAGGAGCTACACGGTAGGTTCCATCGGGCCTTAACAGGTCCTGATGTGGACCAATTATCCTCCGTGGCTTGGCTACGCTTCAGTAACCTCTTTGGGGAGACTGAAGGTTTTGTCTTTGCAATCATGGACGAAGTCATCGTAACGAATAATTACCGGAAACATATCCTAAAGGATGGTACGACTGACATTTGTCGGGCATGTCGTCGGCCCGGTGAGTCTATTAGACATATCGTTTCCGGTTGTTCTCGCCTTGCGGACGGTGCATACTTGCATAGACATAACCAAGTGGCCAAGATTATCCATCAGCAACTTGCCCTTAAATATGCTCTTGTGGAGTCTGAGGTACCATATTACCAATATCAGCCTACACCAGTTCTGGAAAATAGCCGTATCACGATCTACTGGGACCGATCTATTATTACGGACAGGACTATTGCTGCCAATAGACCTGATATAGTAATAATAGATCGGTCTGAGAGTTGTGTAATGTTAGTCGATGTCACTATCCCACATGACGAGAATCTCGTGAAAGCCGAAAATGAAAAACTATTAAAATATTTGGATTTGGCTCACGAGATTACCGCCATGTGGCGTATGAAATCGACTACCATTATTCCGATAGTCGTTTCGGCACACGGGCTGATAGCGAAGAGCTTCGACCAACACCTCAAGAAGCTCTCGCTAGACAGTTGGATTAAGGGCCCGATTCAAAAGGCGGTTATTTTAGAAACCGCACGACTAGTGAGGAGGTTCCTGTCTCTGCAGCCCTGACCACTGGTTGCTTGAGTCATCGGATTCCGCAGCCGGTGGATTTCTATTTTTTTATATAATATGTTTTATTTTGTAATTTTTTTAAGAAAATCATGTGAAATGTATTATATATAAAAATAAGAGAATAAAGATATGTTAATAACCAATAATAATAATAATAAAACTTTATTTCGAGAAGATCTCATATTTTGTTAGTAAAAAATCTTATTGACTAGTGTTAGTAAAAGAGTAATTAAGAAACAATTTATAAGCAATTAAACTAGTTACATTATTAGCAGTGCAAGTTATTGAAGCGCCGCACTATTGCAGTATCCCATCTGGCTGCCAAAACAATCAGGAGAGAGTTTTTACTGCTGCAATAATTCTCCTTTTTAAAAAAAAGCTCTACACTTACGACACGCTTAAGACTATATATTTTCAAGCTATTAAACTTAAGAGGTAAATAAACTGGTAAAAACCGTCATGCGGGAAAGGGACAAAACTACAAACTGACAACATTAAGGAAACAAGGTGCCGGTGCATTTAACTTTGACATTTGTAATTGTAATTTTCACAAATATAAACAATAAATTAAAGCTCTTATAATTATACGGATGAAACCGCACGGAAACAGCTCGTATATATAACCAACTTTTGTTTATACTTACTTGAATGTGACAATCCTGATATCTTTAAGTTTTCCGTATTTATCAAATACTTTAGTTAGCGCCTCCTTAGTGCAGTGTTCGTAGGGCAAGTTGCGTACAAACAGCTTGTTCCTCTCCGCGGTGGTCGCGTATTTGAATGTTTTAGTTTTGTTAACTGAATACTTCGAGAGGAACATCGGCCGCCCGTCTAACGGCGTGCGGTCGTGTTTGATAGCCTCTTCTACTGATTCCTGCAAAAATACATAAATAAAAAAGGAGATTCAAGTAATAACTATCTCTCTCTCTCTCTCTCTCTCATCCTCTCTCTCTCTCTCTCTTCCTATCCTATATCCCAAATAGTAGTGGATTCAGTTTTCTTTGTCAATCTCCTCCACGTTGCTCTAAAACATCCTAATATGTTAAAGTAATAAAATAATTCGAAAATAAACATTTGTACTACTTTAGTAATTTATATTGTAAATTATTTTAATTGTTGAAACACCCTGTATTTACATCTGTGAGAGAATGAGATGGGAATATTTTTTTACTTATAGAGACTTTTTAGTGGATGGGACGGAGTTGTGGATGAAATATAATAACTATTAAAATGTGAAAGTTTGTATGGATGGATGGATGTTTTTTAGAGTATGTAGCCTAAACGGGTAAACAGATTTCGATGAAATTTGGCATAGATGTACAACGGTCTGGTAGAACACATAGATTACTTACTAATTACTGTGGTAAAACTATTAAAAAAACGTACCGGATTGTTATACTGGCAATAACAGATGGATCCCCCGAAAGCCTTTACTCCCGCCTTCAGTCGCAGGGACACGATGTCGCCGTACTCAGACAACTTGTCTCGTAAGTTCTGCTCGTTCACCCTACATACATTAATTATTAACATAGTTTGAGTTTTATTTAAAAAAAAACATAACTGCCACTGGTAACGGTATCCTCCTTCTATAGAAAGATTATTCTTAAATAAAAAATAATTCAAAACACTAGGGGTGCTTAAAATCTCTAGATATTGATAACTCTAAGGGCCTATCCCACTACTGGCTGATAGAGGCTAAGATAGCTTGAAAAATGACGTCACTGTCAAATAAGAGAAGAAAGTCCAATATTTCCATCACATATACACTTTAGATTATCAGACAATTTATAATTTGGTGGGACAGACCCTAAACTTTGTCTATTCACCAAATTTGGATTTATGTTGGTAAACATTTTCTTTGGAATAAAGAATTACTCCAAAAAATATGAAATAACAAAGGGTAAATAGACAAAAATCATACTTACTTAAAGTCTAGATTGCTAACAAACAGCGTGCAGGCCTCCCTGCCCGCGGACACAGGGCCACTTGAAGAGCTATCTGTCCTTTGTCGCTTATTGTCTTTGTCTAAAAAAATAAACATTCACATATTAAAAAAAAACCCTTTTTTTATCAATAAATATAGTTTTTTTGCATATTTATTGGTACTAAAAAAAATATTATTTTCAATATAAAATACTAGAACACTGTCAAACAGTGGTAAAGTGCTGATTTATATATTCTAAACAAACATATGGTAGCAAATAATAATAATACTAGCAAAATCTAGGTTTTCGCGAATAGTAAGATAAAAAAAATATATTTTATAGAGATAAAAACTTTATAATACTAAAATCTAAACTAATATAAAGAAAGACTTGTATTTTAGGATTACTGTACATATTGTAATAACTCAAAAACTACTGGAACGATTTCAAAAATACCTTGACCATAAAAAAAAATAAATGCATGCGGACAAAGTCCCGAGCAACAGCTATATAAGCTATATAAAAATAAATACCTTCTTTATCATCTGCCTCGTGAGATCTCTTTACTCCACTAATATCTTTGTCTACCTCCATCTCGGTGTCCTTTTTCCTCTTCACCCCACTTCCCTCCCCGTCCCCTTCCCCTGACTTCCTCTTCCCTTTACCCTGCTGCTTGTCATTTACCTTTTTCTTATCATCGAACTTTGTTTTTTTATTCAGAGCCTGTTTACCTTTCTGCGCACCACCAATCATTTTATCTTTCATAGTTTGGTAATTTTTACGCCATTCTTTTATTTTATTCTGTAAATTACAATTATATATTATTAAGACTTGTCGAAAGATATAAATATACAAATAATTCAACAAATGACAGCAAATACATCACTATGAAGGAATGACTGAATAAATGAATAAATGAATGACTTTAAATATATCAATGAATAAGTATAGTCAAACAAGGATATCTGGTCCGGCAAGGGCACTAATCAGTTCTAAATAAATCATATAAAACTACCATTTACATAGAAAATGCCACAAACGTAAAAAAAAACATGTCATGACAGCAAGATTTTTTTGTATGTGACAAGTACAATAATCTGGAAACAATGACATTGGCATTTTAGTTTAGCTAGTCATAGGAGGTGCTATCATAATTTAGTTTGGCATATGCCAAGTCCTAGTATGCTTAAAAATATAAATATTTAAAGGAATAAATGAGTGAATGACTGAATGAATTTAACAGTGAAAAAATATTGAGAATTAATCAATGAATGATTATTATCTCCTAATAATCTAACAAATATTATAAATGAGAAAGTTTACATGGATGTTTATTAGAGTTTGTAGCCTGAACTACTAAACGGATTTGGATAAAATTTGGCATAGAGGATAGTCTGGAAGAACAAATAGGCACACTTTTATTTTTCAATTCCACGCGGACGGAGTCGTGAGCCACTACTAAATAATATTATTGAATGACTATAAGAAAATGAATGACTGAATGAATTTCATACATTGGATAGATTGTCGCAGTGCTTGACATTATCAAGGTGTCCGTAGAGTCGTTCGAAGTTGGTCCAGAGGCGTGCGATGGTGGGCGGGTAGTCCTGCACGCAGCGCAGCGCGCGCTGGTGCAGCTCGCGCAGCCGCTGCTGGCCAGCGGTCCCCGCGCCCGCGCCCCCCGCCCCCGCCCCCGCCGCCTCGCCCCACACCCGCTCGCTCTCCAGCTGCAGCAGCGGCTCCCAGTACTTACACAGCGTCACGTTCTCACCGTATTCTAGAACATTACACTTGGATTATTCCCGCGTGCATCAACTTCTCCTCAAAGTCGAGTTCGTTCCGGAGATTTAGGCCCTGTCCCACCAAATTGTAAATTGTCTGATAACAATGCAATGTGTAAAATATGTGATGAAAATATCGGATTTTGTTACCGTATCTGACAGTGACGTCATTATTAAGCTACCTAAGCCTCTATCAATCAGTGGTGGGCCAGGCCCTTAAATTCTAATTTTCGCTATCAGCAACTCAACTACATCTAGTCCGCGAAATATGATTTTGTTAAATCTAAAAATTCGCAACAAAATTATTTATTTATTTAATAATTTTACGCAGTCATCAGATTACATTAAGCAGTGAATCTTATCATGAACAAAACTCTTAATAATATAAAACAATATCAATTTCCACTCACAAAATGAAACAATCAATTGACTTAATTCCTCTTATAAATATTGAAAATGTACAAAAATAACTTACTGAATATTTCTTCAAATATTTCTTTCCCCTGTTTGGGATCTTTTATACGCTTGTACTCGACGTGCGCCCAAAACAACGGTAACTCACAATCATTTGCTTCATTGCCCCAAGTCTGAAATTTAAACAAACTTCTTTAGTACCATAACATTCACACACAAAGGAAATAACAAGAAATGTACTTTAAAACTTTAAAATACAAGAAAATGCTTATGGTCCTTCGAGCCAGATAGTTACCTCAGCAAGTGAATCCCAAGCCAGTCTGAATGTACGTCGCAATCTATCTACATCTGATTCTTTATCAAAATCTGTTCTCCGTCTACAGAATTCAAGATAAGTCATCCAAAGTGATTCCGAATGAGAATATGACTCCATCCTTTTTGTTAGCGCTATTTCGAATATCGATTTAACCTGCAATAAGAACGTATAATTATTTTTTCGTAAACATTAGTTATACACGTTAAATGTATTAAAAAATAGTAAAACTAACTTAGTAAGCCTATGTGGACTTCCACACTATTCTCTACATAAGTGACAAGATTCATCCGTTAAGGAATTTTGGACATACAAAGAAACCACCGTTGAAATATTCGCATTTATAACATTTTGCCGTCACCCGCGACTCCGTCCGCATCAAAATAAAAAACATGTTCAACAACTACCAATGTGTTCTTGAAGATTATTGCCTACATTTATGCCAAATATCACCAAAATCTGATGAGACATGAGATATTTAAACAAACATCCATTTAAACTTTCACATACTAATATTATAAGGAAGTTTTCTTCCTTATGTTTGTTTGATTATAATTAACTCAAAAACTGGTGGGCCGATTTCAAAAATTCTTACACCATTAAAAACCTAAGTTGTCAGTACTATTATTTTTAAATTTGTCGGAGACGGAGTCGCTAAAGCTAGTTTATACAATTAGTAAGATAACCTCATCAAAGTCAGCGTCCTCGTGCTCCGCCTGCTGTATCTTGAGGGACCAGAAGGTGTGCGCGGTGGGGCAGCGCCGCACGCCGGCCTCCAGCACGCGGCGCGTCGTCGCCCGCGAGCAGTGGCGCTGCGCGTGCCGCGCGTACTCCACCATCAGCTCCGAGAACGTGTCGCACGGCCGGCCCTCCGTACTCACACGCTCGTATAGCACCTGATAATGTTGCCACCTTGGACTTTATGCTCCCTTTCCCATATTAAGGTATTTTTAAATTTATATACCTTCTTTAATAGCGTGTGTTTAAAACGTAAAAGATATCAATAACTTATTCAATAAACAATAATCTATAAATAAATTACCAAGTTTGGTAATTTATTTATAGATTATTTATAATTGGTAGTTACCAAAGCTACCAACAATAGACAAAATACAATTGTGGGACGCCTGTGGCAACACCAGCTTCCGGGCGACACTCACTCAACGACGCAAAATTTGATGCCGTTAATCCCAAGTGCCTTTGTACGTATCCGTCCCCTTCTAATTATTAATCCAAAGTAACAAGAATCAAAAATAGCGTTAAAACATATAGTGTAAAGCATGTCATAAGGCTTATTATTAAAGGAGGAATTAAATAATCAAAATATACTATGCCACAACATAGTGTATCTTTAGAATATTAAAAAAGTATAGAAGTATAGATAAATGTACACTCACCCTTAGAATACTATTGCTGTCACATTCCAAATATTTATCCTGTTTCGATAATTCCTTAACAAGTTCAATATATTCCACGTATATTTTAGTTTTTTCCATCCTATCACTGAAAATTTATTTTCAATTACTTATATTTTCATATATAATAATGCACAAGTTATCAATTATTCATATTTATGTGTTCTTGTAGAACATTATACAATTCATAGCATTAAAATGTGTTTCTGGACTGATTTTTACTTACTTCGATATTAATAGTTTATCTTCAAATGGCGTGATTTTATTTAGATATTCAATTGCCGCTTCATGTTGTTTTTTAACCTGAAAAAACAAAAAAAATAGATGAAAATAACATGAAATGATATTGCAAACTACTTAAGTAATATTATGTATGCAGAAGTTTGTATGGATGTTTGTTATTTCATATTTCAAGAATGACAAAGATTTTACTGAAATTTAGGACAAATGTAGAACATAGTTGAAAGAACACCATCATCACCATAATTTAGTTTTTTTTTATTCCGCGGACGGCACCGAGGGCAACAACTAGTTTCTCATAAATGAAACATACCTTATCAACATAACTCTGGTCCTTGAGCTCTAAAGCCATCTCTTCAAACGGCTGCCAGCCTTCATCACCCCGCAGCAATGGACGGGATACCACTTCCTCTAACACCCACAGAACATGCTGCTTCTGACTGTTTAGATCTGGATGGTCTTCACTATAGAATATTGTCAATTTGTATATACTAATATTATAAGGAGAGATTTGTATTTTTGGATGTATTGAAATAAATAAAAAACCAATGGGTCGATTTAAGAATTCTTTCACCATTAACAAGCTACATTATCACTAAGTAACTTAGACTACGCTTTTTTATTATTTATAATTTCACGCAGACGAAGTCGCGAGCAGTAGCATAATTACTGAAAAGGCTGATTTTAACAGTATTTTATTTAATTCTTCATAAGTCGCGGGAAACAACTAGTTATCTAGTAAAATTACATACCCCAATGATTGTAGTTTAGTTTTCTCCAGTTCTAATCTAGCTTCCCAGAACAGTTTCCCAGAAAAAGGATCAGAACCAGCTCTTTTGAGTACTTCCTCTATTTGTGCTCTAGCATCTTCTGTACCAAGTGTCATTGCCCAAGAACACCATAGATTAAAAATTGAAATGGCTATAAATAACAAAATTAGTCAATGTTACAAGTGCAAAAATGTTTAAGGCAGTCCCTTAGAGTACATAACATACTTAAACCACTAAGAAACCTCTAAGCAAACATTATTTTTTATGTCACAACTCTTGTTAAATATCTTTACATCTTTACTAATATTACAAACAGAAAGAATTTGTTTCTTCCTCTTTTCTTGCTCTTGGAGAATGCTTCCCCGGGTGACATAGGCTATATTACTATTTTTTCTATTTAGCACCGAAAAGTAACGAGCAAAAGCTTTTATAAAAAAAATATAACAATCTAACACAGGTTATAATGAAACTTAGATGTATGATAGAAAAATTTGCTTAATAAGTGTGTACACCTTCGACTAAAATATCGCAGAGCTGTTTAGTCTTGTTTTCTTATGAGCTTATATGGAGGTGTGCATACTACTCAATTTTTAGTTGTACTAAACAGTTGAATTGGATGTGAAACAATCGACAATCACACAAAAGTTGTTGCGAGTTTAGTCAAAGATGTGCACTCACTCTAAATCATCATCATCATCATCACCACCTCACTATACGTCCCCACCGAGGGGCTCGGAGCCTACCCTAATAAGGGGTGACTAGGCCATAGTCAACCATGCTGGCCAAGTGCGGGTTGGTTGACTTCACACATATTTTTGAATTTCTTCGCCGATATGTGCAGGTTGCATCACAATGTTTTCCTTCACCGTAAGAACGTGGGGTAAATTATGTATATATGAAAATTCGAAAAATCGAAAATCACATTGGTACACGGCGGGATTTGAACCCACGACCTGTAGATTACAAGTCACGTGTTCAAACCACTGAGCCACCGACGCTCTACTCTAAATGATACTAAGTAATTGTAAAAGTTGTATTGTGTAACATTTTTTTATACTTACAATAGCAGTCATAACATGCTTGATTAAACAGATCAACCATAAAATCAATAGACTGTGCGGAATGTGCCAGAGTCACTTCTGTCTGAAGACGCACCAACCAATCGTCTGGTTGTAGTAATATTGTTTGCTGAAATCGATCGTAGGCAGAACGCCATTTGTCCAGTTCTGATAATTTCCTATAATAGATATTTCTTATTGAACTTGTTGAAATTAAAACATTCATCATCCACTTGCCCTTATCCCTTATGGAGAGTCGGCACATTATGTGCTGCTCTTCCATATATCTCTATCAGCCGTCATATCTGAATCCACTCCTTTCTTAAGCATATCTTCTTTCACACAATCCATCCATCAACAGTAAAATACAATTACTAAACTTATTAACTGCATACAGTTAATACATTTCTACCCATAATGAAGCTAATTTTTTTTTTAGCATAGGTGCAGTGTCAGTTTCAGGGTACTAATACCCTAGGCAAGATTTCAACAGCACCCTCTTTAGCAGTTTTGATGTGGGGGGTCATGTGAGACTGTAATTCATATACCAGTGCAACCCATTCCATCCAGGGCCCTGTGTGGTTTCCCAACTGCACCCTTTCCTAACATCGGCCCTGCATTGATGTATGTTTGCATGATATTGGGGTAAACATGTATTTATATAATTATTTTCGAAAAAAGATGTTAAAAAACAAAATTGTATTTACCATAAAGTTTGTATTAATTCAACATGGGCACTATAATTGTATGGTTCTTCAGATACCCGGATCTCTAAATCCGTTATCTTCTTTTCTATCGCCTCCTCGTCGTCATCCTATAAGAATATATTAACATTAAACACGGTTTCCCACAAACTCTGTATTCTAAAAACTTATACCAGGGAAGTAACATTGGAAAGAAATGTAGGCTACGTAATTTGGCTGTGTATACCATGTTCAATCTTGATGCATTTCTACTAATCATAAGGTTTTGTCTTGCAAAATTTGAATTTCAAACATACACAAGCTATCGACATATGAAGCAAATAAAACGTACATAATATTTAAAGAGTTGAGACACCAAAGAATAAGCAAATCGATAGTAATTGTATAAAGTTCGAACTAATAAGCTAAATAAGCTAATAAAACTCTATGCTGAAATGCTTATTCATTAAAAAAGATCAAATTGCAATAATTGTAACATACATCTGAATCATCAGAATCTTGTTCAGCATCGTCATCCTCAACATACACTTCTATTTCATTATCTTCTTCAGAATCATTTCGCAGTCCATCTTCTACAATTGCCATTGTTTTATTTAGATAAAAGTAAATTTAACAAATACCGAAACTGATTTTCGTATTTTGACAATATACCATAGACAGCTTGCGTCAAACCACAGAAACACAAACAAACCTGATAATTATCTATGGAACAGATTATAAATCACAAAAGTAAACAACACGTACAAAACGCCAACTTTAAAGTGTTTGTTTTTGTCTTTCGTGGATAATTTGTCCGATATTTTTTCAGGTAAGGAATCGCAATGCAACCATATCTACGAAAGAATTTAACATCTATTTCATATTTAAACATACTATCCTTTATCAGGTGTTACAACACTTTGAAAACACCTGATAAAGGATTCCATTTCAGCGATCGAAATGTCCTAGTGATGGGACTCGAGTGATTTTTTTTCACTCGAGTCACTCGGTACTCGTAACTTTCTCACTCGAATGCCACTCGAGTGAAGATAAGACTCGAGTGATGTTTATAGACGCGAGTCACTCGGAATATAAAAATCAAGGAACCAAAATTTTAAAACCAATAAAACAATGTTAATTTAACATAAAGAAATTATTTTCGCATTAACGTAAAAGGTACTCAAAAAATCTGTACAAAATGTGTAAAAATAGTGTTTTCCTTTAAACTAAACCTGTCTACACAATCAAGAAACCTCTTATATCATCTATTAGTTGAAATTTTATAGTGTACTATAAATAAGTTCTAATCCATTTTAATAAATTCTTACAAGTTATTTTCATGAGATCCAAATATGGACAATTTGATTATGTTCTTACACAATTTTGATAATAAAATTAACTTAAACAAAGCTTAAATAAACTCTACAAAAGAACAGAAATAGTGTGTTTTTAAAAAGATAACAAATTTAACTGAAAATGCTGTAATAATTTCTTACTCCGCTTAGCATAAACCAACAAAATGGTTACGAGTCATTCGTAATTCGAGTCAACTCGAGTCACTCGCAACTCGGGTTGTCAAAAATTTCACTCGAGTCCGAGTAAGAAAAAAATGACTCGAGTCACTCGAGTAAAAAGCAACTCGAGTCCCATCACTAAAATGTCCCAATTTGTCTTACTAATAGGCGTGAGTCGTTACGTCATTTTCGAGAAACGTAATGAAACTAGTGATTTGTTCGGCGTCACATGTTTCAAAACTAGTGATTTTTGTAACTAGTTATTTCCATTGGAAAAATAATAGCCTATTAAAATAAATCCTCTGTAATAGATGTAAAATAATTTCAATTTGTCATTTGTATTGCCTTTTTAAATAATTAAACTTTCTGTCTAATGCCTTGCTTATTTTCATTTTTGATTATGTTCGTACGATTACTAACTATAAGACTATCTTACTAAAAAACGCGTTTTAGTCGCATGAAAATGATCGCAATTTTATTTATTTTTAATTAGCTCAATTGTTGATTTTTTTCCAGTCAATATTTTTTTCTGGCTATCTCATAACAAGTAGAAACATGTAGAAGAAATATTCCCTATTGACCGACCGACCCCACCCGAATAACGCATTTACAAAAATCACGACTTCGGACTCGAACACGCCTGAGTATTACATTTACAAAAATCACTAATTCGACACCGAGCTCTCTCGAGCAACGCATTATATAAATCACGTCACGACTTCAAAACGGAACACGCCCGAGTAACGCATTTACAAAAATCACGACTTCGGAGCCGAACACGCCCGAGTAAAGTAGTTACAAAAATCACTACTTTTAATTTGACTCGAAGCTAGTGACGCCGTTACATATCTCGTCACAGGTGATTGTAACTAGTGACGTGAAATAACGCTCACGTCTACTTACTAATATTAAGAATGCGAAAGGTAGACGAATGGATGTTTGTTGGTGTACAGACACTAAACCTAAACGGCTGAACCGATCTCTACGACATTTAGCATTAACGTAGAGGTTATTGATAGAGGACATAAAGGCTGCGTATTTTTTATTTCCCCGCTGACGAAGTCGCGGGCAAAAGTGTCAAATAAAACAACCGGTATAATATATTTTAATGTTTTAATATAAAAATATGATTACATAGCTTTTCATACATGCAATATTTGGTTATCAACATGGACACAAGAATTCGATGCTATTCGATAAATTACTTTAACCAAAATTAATTTAATCAAGGAGCTTTGGCACCAATTTTAACACTTTATAAAAAAGTTCCATATATGCTGTTCAATAATCAATAATCATGTATATTTATATGGAATGCAATGATCATAGGCTATTGCTTTTTTGTTTTATCTTTAAAATCTTATAATAATAAATGCACCAATCCGATTTTTTTTAATTTTTTTACATTAATATAAAAAAGAGGCCAGATAATTTAATAATCACTATTATACATTTATCTAAGGGAAAATTTTTGGATTTTTAATTTTATCAACTGCTATCTACATTTATTTAAATGTACACTATTTATTGGATAAAATGTGAACGGCCATTACTGCTTGAAGCTTGACTGGCAATTAACTTTTAAAATAATGAGAAATATCTGCTACAAAGTACATAAAATCTGTATTTTGAGCTATTGAAGCATATATTGTGCGATTTATCGGTTCCATAACAATGCTGCAAGCATTTTTACAATAGGTTTATTTCTTTTAAGTACGGTAATTTTGTTTTTCATAAACATAGTAATACACACAAACACAATTCAATATTTTTTTTTTAATATAGAGAGTATACGATTGTATATGTCATAACTTATTCTAACTAAAAATAATACATAGAGATAATACATTTTTGAAGTAAATACTTGGTAAATAAATCAGTCCATATTAACTATAATTATAATGTTATGTATTTAATTTCGAAATTAGGAGTTTTAAACGTTAATAAAAATAATTGTTTTTTTTTCGAAAAAATGAGAGCCCAATATTCGTATTCGTTTAAACTGTCATTTTATTTATTTAATCAGTATGGCTCAAATTGAAATGGCACATAAGAATTAGATAGAAATGTATATTTAAAATGGTTAATAATAAAATACAAACGTTTTTATTTATCTACAAGTAACTGATCATATAATTTTTATTTTTATTTATTTTAATCTATATTTTGTTGTCTATGCTTTTCTAATGAAAGTAAGATTTTTATACTGCAATGTAACTCAAATTCAGAGTTATAATTAGATAGATAGATTTTAAAAGCAATTTATAGTGTACAAATCTAAATAATCACTTTGTTAGTCAAAATACTAACTATTAATGTTAACATACTACTCATGGACAATAACATGATATTCAAACACCAAAACGTCACAATAGTACAGTCAGCTACATAAATATATGAACATTTACAAAGCATAAAAACGTGAAATAAAAAACGTGAATACGTGGATCCGTTAGCTTGCCTATATCCACGAATACATGCTATTTAAGAGTATGTGCATAAATACTTTACAAACCAAATACCTATACAAGTTTTATAAATGTATTCACATTTATGGAGCTGACTGTACACAATTCAATCAAAGACAGACATAATTGTCTTCTTTACTGTGAATTTACAATAAAAAAAAAAACAAATGAATACCATATTATTTTGCATGAGTTTACATGGAACTGACATCCAGTGACGTAAAACTGTTGCCATTTCTGTTCTTTGTAAGAGAATTACAGAGATAGCAATAGATAGATGAAATACTCATTATAGGTTACATATTTATGAGAAATGAATGACATATATGAGTGTTATTGTAATAAAAATTGCATTAAAACACAACAGTTAAGGCTAAAAGAGATTGCAATCATTTACTAAGTAATTATCCTTACCAATTGACACTGTACTAAATATTAGGAACCTAATAGTATATTATATATATTGCAATTTCATTCGATTATCTGTCAGTCATATTATTTTATACCATAGATTAATGTTACAATAGACAGGCCATACAAAATAAAACAAATTTAGTATTGTCAATGTAATATTGTTAACATGATATTTTACAAAGGTGTTGTATTTTTCATTTTGTATTGAAAATTGCAATACTTGTTACAGCCAATCTATTATTCCATCATCTATATACCATATACCATAGACAAATGCTAAATTGCACAGAATATATAAAATCGATAACGATTCAAAGCAAAGTAAAATATCCATTTCCTTATATTAAGCTGAGATTTCTTTTCAATTTTATTATATTTATTCGGTTATTTGTAACATCTTATTAACATATTCGTTGAATTAAAGATTTATTTCGTCGATTCTGCTTAATTCTAAGCATTACATTCCGACCAATTTATATTTAAAAAATTAGAATTGGTCATAAAGAAATGTCAAAATATCAGCCAATCAGCCAGCTAGTCGTCAAAGACTTCACAGATCAATATTAACCATAGAGTATACATTTAAAATGTAAACGAAATAAAAAAAGTTATAAAAAAGCTTAATATATCTGCATTTTGATGATTATGTGAAGCGTAGTAACTGTATGTGGTCACGAGACAGGCTAAGTGCTCGTGACGCAGTACGGGATGGCGCGAAGTATTGAATTGACGATGTCGCAAGCGTCCGGCAGTTGGACAGCCGTACTTGTGTCCAACTGGAAACATACAATTTCATTATAGATATATTAGTTACAATATACCATATCTAAAATATAATTTTGTAAACTATGTTAAGGGAAAATAAAGCTATCTTTATAGGATACTAGCTATTGCTCGCGAAAGTTCGCGTAAAAATAAAAAAAATAGTATAAAACATGGCCTATGTTACTCACAGATAAATTACCTTTCTAATGGTGAGAGATTTTTTTAAATCGGCTCAGTAGTTTTTGCTTGAATCAAATACATAAAAACCCAAAAATACAAATTTTTCTTCTTTACATGGGCTATGTTTAATCCTATTTTTCGCGAGTAGTATCCTATAAAGATAGCTTTATTTTCCTTTAACATATTATACAAAGGTAAATTTATAAATATGGTATATTATAATTAAAGTTTTCTTTCTTATTAGTAACAACAAAACATCCAGAGATCCATGCAAAATTTATATTAATAAAATAAACAAAATCAAAAAGCCAAGACTTTCGGCAAAGATCGGCTAAGTTCGGATTTCTAGACACCAGTAGTTCAATGTCCAATAGGCAATTACATCTTTGGAATGTGATACGTTGTTCTAGAATGTTCTAGATAGTATACCTGTTGGATGTTCGCGTCCTATGCGGTGGTGCCGGCGGCGGCCTGCAGCTGCATCTGGCGCTGCATCTGCTCCAACATCTCCTGCATGCGGCGAAGCTCCGCTTCCTGGACATACAATATCATTGTTTTAGACTATTCTATAGCTTTTACCTAGATCTAAGTTACTATAATAACTAAATAAATCTATACTAATATATATAGAGGAAATACCTGTATTTTTATATGTATTGAAATAACTCAAAAACTACTGGGCCGATTTCATTTATTTTATTATTTTTAACTTCACGCGGGAGAAGTAGCGAGCCAGTAAAAGTGAAATAGCCTTTTAAAAAGATTAAGTTACAGATGAAATATTTATAAATATGAAGTTTTACTTCGGTAAAGATCTCCTCTAACTTTATAAATTACAAGCTGTTGCTCGCGACTTCGCCCACGTGCAATTAAAATATATAGCCTATGTTAGTCACAGATAAATTACCTTTCTAACGGTAAAAGAATTTTTAAAATTTGCCCAGTAGTTTTTGAAAAATACAAAGTTTTCCTCTTAATAACATTAGTATACATTAATTCCTTACACACACTTATTATAGTTACTGGAGTCGTTTTTCAGTTTAGGGAATTTATTAAGCGTGTGACATTTGTTAGACTATTTTGTTTGACTTTTACTTAGCTAAGTATTAGAGTAAGAATAGCTATTCTGTATTTTATTCAGTTCTGTTACTTTAAACCTATAAAAAGTGTATTTTATCCGAAAGATCAGTTACCTTTTCACGCAGAACACGTTCCCGTTCAGATGCATCTTCGTTAGATCCGTTCAGTCCGTTGGAGTCAGCCTCGCTCAGACCACTCTCAGTTGACCTGAAACAAATATCAATATATTAACACAAAACTGTTTTCTAACAAAAATATCTTACTAACGTTTTGAATACGAAGGTTTGTATGAATTTTTGTTAGAGTGTGTAGCTTAAACGACTAAACATAAATAAATTTGGCCTAGACGTATAGGTTAGTCTGAAAGAACACGTAGACTACTTACTTTTTTTTTAATTCCACGTGGACGGATTCGCGGTCGAAAGCTAGTAATATTATAAATGCGTAATTTAGATGGATGGTTAAGTGTTTGTAGCCTATACTTGTGAATCTCGATGAAACTTGGTATAGATGTATAATCTAAAAGAACACATAGGGCTTTTGTTTCTAGAAATAGTTACCATTCTCATGGGATACACAAATATTCCTTTTTTTCATGTTTACTCAGTAATTCTGTAACAGTTCAACATATTTTATTGAAATTTTGGTACAGATATAAAACAGAGAGTAAACATGGGATACGATTCATTACCGAAAAATGTTTGGTTCCCGAGAGACAGCTTAGTAATTTTCTCATAGTTCGACTGTTAATAATTTGATGAAGTCACGGGTAAGTATATTTAAGTAAATTTAGCACAAATTACCAAAGTATATGTTTGAAATACTTACGTATGTCGTTTAGGCACTTGTCCGTTACGCGCGAGTCGTTCAGAGCGATAATTCTCATAGTGGACCTCCTGCGTCACTTCCTGCAGGTCCTGCATGTGAGTACTGAAATACAACATATAAGTTTTTTTTATAATATAAGGTAGCTTTTGTATAATATAAATTGCGGATGTCTATGAACCGCTGCCCATAGACATCCGCAATTACAGATGCGTTGCCTACCCTTATTCGACAAATTCGTCTCCTCCATCGTCAAATCCAATTTCCCATTCAATCCTTTCTTTATAACAAAAGGGTGAAACGGGAAATGGACTAAAATTGGGCCTCCGGCACCACACTCATCAGACGAAACGCGGAATTGCTCCCACTTCACGTCTAGTCTACATATTTCTTAAATGTGACGTACAGTGAGCTGGTGTACTAACATGAGCATAGTCCTCAGCTTGATGAAGTCGCAGTGCTCCGGGTTCTCCACTTCAACCACTCCCCAGGGGTAGAGTCTGCCGCGCACACGGCGCCCGCGCACCTCCAACTGCTGGCCAGCGCCGCACACCGCGAAAGGAACTGCCGCTTTTAGCTGACGCACCTAGTATAATAAACTAATTACTTAAACTTCTCTAAACACAAACCAAATCCCTAAAACTAGACTTAGACACAAACTGCATACACTAAAAGAGTCCTTTAAGTACATTTAAAAAAGGCATCCAGTAACATACTGGCCACCAAGACTTTTCTCTTTTGTCATAGAATAAATAGAGAAACGACAGATGTATTAGATTTTATAGCAATTATAGTAAATATATACTTTTAATAAATATGTTATAACATAGTGCATTTTGACGTAAAAGGTTTTGATTAGCTTTCTCGTTCTCACTCACTTTCCTCTGTTATTGACTATCTCTTGTAGAATTATATACTTAACTAAAACATCGATAAACCATAATCTAATATCAATTAATAATTGCTGTAATAAGTTTTTGTTCAAACTTTACAAACGTATTATACTAATATAAAAAAACGGTTGCTATATTTTACCTGCTCCTTATAATCTTCATCCTCATCACTATCACAATCCGGCAGCGGGTATATCTTGATGCCTTCTCGTTCGATTTCTTCCATCACCTATTGAATATAAATATTTGAAGTTGTCAAATCTGGTAAACCACTTACTCTTTGCCTCTTATAATAAAAAGTTGTCAAAGATTATACAGGTATTAAATAGGCGTCAAAGATTATAAACACTTACTCTAGATTTGAGCCTCTGCACTTCCTTCTTGGTGAGGCAGTCGGCTTTAGCAATAACAGGCACAATATTTACTTTATTGTGAAGCTGCTTCATGAATTCAATATCCAATGGTTTCAGCCTAGTAAAAAAAACAATAATAAGTATCCTTATTGTTCTTCCAAACTATCAATACAAGAATATTGGTGCCCACGATACAGGCATTGCCTAGTGTAGGCATTACTAGATTAAACATATTGACTACAAATTGTAATTAGCTTAAAGTTGGTATAACTGTAATAGTAATTGTTAATCTTTTGTTTTTTCAATAAATGATTTCTTTTTATACTATCCAGTTTAGACTACAAACTCTAATAAACATCCGTCCATCTAAACTTACGCATAAAATCCTTAAAAACAAACTGTAAAGGCCAGCAATCACATTACATAATTTGCTTGCTTTAATATCACAATGCTAATGCATCTATCGGATTACCTTAAGACCTTAACCTACATTCAACTTTCATTCAATTGACCTCAATTGAAGACTTAGTAATGTTATACAATGATCAATATTCCTGTTATCATATCTAAATCAAATATATTGTACTAGTAATAATAAAATTTCATGTTAATTGTAAGAAAATGTGTTTGTAACTTGATTAAATCTCAATCAATTTTACTAAATCCCAATTTAATTCTAATTCACCATGGATTTAATCTTACTAATATTATAAATGCGTAAGTTTAGATGGATGGATGGATGTTTGTTAGCGTTTGTAGCCTAAACGGTTGAACGGATCTCTATGAAATTTGGCACAGGTTTAGAGCAGTCTGGAAGAACACATAGGCTACTTTTTATCCCGGGAATAGTTACGGTTCCCGTGGGATTCATTAATTTAGTTTTTTTATGTTTACTCGATCATTCTGCAACGGTTCAACATATCTTATTGAAATTTGGCACAGATATAAAACAAAGTCTGGAGTACACATGTGATAAGCTTCATCCCCGAGAAATGTCCGGTTCCCGAGGGATACATGACTTTTTGTAATTTATATAGTTTGTATGTTTTCTAAAACCACGCGGACGAAGTCGCGGGCAACAGCGCGTTATTACTAAAACATATTAGTACTAAGAAATATTATTTTTTCATTCCATTTGAATGAAGTGAAATAAAGGGTTTGTACTGTAGTTTTCACAGTAGAAACACACATATCTATTTCCATTGTAGTTGGACCAATGAAAAGATTACTATTTTATATAGCAGTTGCAGCTAGTTACACAAGTCTAGATAAAGTGTCTTACCCATGTCCAAAAGGCGATATGAAATAGAAGCAGCAATGTATGCGATTATCAACGATGTTCCTACGGTTGAGGCCACTCTCATCGCGGAGGAATCTCTCGAATTGCTCATCTATATATTGTATTATTGACTGGAAAAAAATAAACGATTAAAAAACCCTCCTATAAGAAACAAATGAAAGGGAGGTGATCATTTTATTTGTCATCTCCTAGTACAACAAAAAAGGTGTTTTAAATGAATAATTATAAATTTTACATTTTTTTTTATATTATAAAGGTAGCAAATGAGTAAGCGGCCACTTAAATTCGCCTAAAAGGCGAAAATGTACTAAGGAAATGCACACCCTATGTTATATAAGTTATTGTAGAATTAGTATCTCAAATCTACACTAAGGTTAAACCTTAATGACTAATGATTCAAAGTTTACAGTACTTACTCGGAAGCAATCAGTGTTATCAATCGCGTCACCATATCCTGGCGTATCCACTACAGTCAATCTAAGCTTCACCCCCCTCTCCTCAATCTCCACAGTTGATGCATCCAATTTAACAGTTTGATTGGTTTTCTCTGAAAGTAATCAACATTGAATTACTGTTACCCATTATTCCATTAAGGTTATTAAAACAAGCTACAATTAGTTTACCTATACTAATATTATAAAGAGGAAAGATTTGTATTTTTGTATGTATTGAAGTAACTCAAAAAGTATTGGGCTAATTTCAGTCTTTCACCGTTAAAAAGTTATGTTATCAGTGAGTAACACAGGTTTTTTTGTTACTTTTAATTTAGCGCGGACAAAGCCGCGAACAACAACTAGTAATAGATATTATATTCATATACACCTTTGGTATGTTTATGGGATAGTAGTATTATATTATATATTATAGTATTTTTTTAAACTGTGATATTGTAAAGAAAATATGAGTTCAACTATTATTCAATTATTATTATGACTTGCCCATCCTACATATACTTGTACATTTAAATGTTAGCATGATGAACATACAACTCAGTTCAAAGCAAATAGAAATTGATAACAAATTTATAAATAGATATCAAATGTCCATCAATTCAATCATACTATCATACTAATATTATAAATGTGAAAGTTTCGATGGATGGATGGATAGATGTTTGTTAGAGATTGTAGCCTAAACGACTGAATGGATTTTGATGAAATTTGGTATAGGTGTATTGATTTGGATAGATGATTTGGTATAATTTGGATAGTCTGGAAGAACACGTAGGCTACTCACTTTTGTTTTTTTTAATCCCACGCGGACGGAGTCGCGAGCGAAAGCTAGTATACTAATATTTATAACATACTAGATGTTGCATGCAACTTTGTTTTTTTTTTATAATAAAAGGGGACAAACGAGCGGCCTGAAGACCAAGATGGTCAACGACGCGACGACGATGGACATCCGCAACACCAGAGGAACTATAGATGTGTTGCCGGCCTTTAAGGAAATGATAGGCTCGCTTCTTGAAGACCCTAAGTCTTTGTTGGCACAGAATTAAATAAAAACATAGTAAATAGCCTATATGTTCCACACTTTACTATACAAATTTATGAAATTTCAGTGAATTTGTTCATCCATTCGGAAGATAACTACAAACAAAACATCCATACAAACCATTGCATTTATAATATTTGAGATAAAATGTGTATGTAAATTCATATGTATGAGTACAAGGAAGTAGTTATGTAACATGAATTATTTTTTTAAAATAAAATAAACCTGTGCTTGACCACATTATGTCATATTTAGTTGTTTGTGGTTGAAATTAATACTGCATTGGTTTTTAGATGCAAAAGAATCTGCATACTGTGAAAGACAGAGTGGAAGGACTATGAGAAGTGGGTAGATAAAGGCTTATGATACCAATGTGGTCATACATGTTAATTTTAAAGGTATATTTATAAAAGCACTAGGTTTTGCCTGCAACAAAAAACCATAAGCAGCCTTTGTGTTCTTCCGAACTATCCTCTACATGTATACAAAGTTTTATTTTATTTTATTTATGGGATAGTTCCCTTTTATATTATTAGTAACAAGTAAGGTAACTATACTTACCAGTAGCATCAGGAATGACACGTTCAGGATACAAGTCTGTCAGGAACAGAGAGTTTACAAGTGTTGATTTCCCCAGACCACTCTCTCCAACCACCATCAGAGTGAACTCAAAGCCCTTCTTTACTGACTTACGATGCACTTGATTTGGTAAGTTGGCAAAACCAACATAACCAGGTGTCTCCAAGTTTGCGAACTGTTTAAAAAATACACATCAAATATGTTAACCATTTCATTGCCCCAAGAGTTTTATAGAAATTATTTCCTTATATTGATGATTTATTTAGTTTATATCTGGAAATCATAGTGTACTTGACTACTAATGAGTCACAGGCTATGTTTACTAATTTATCATAACGCTTAATGAGTTCCGATAAGGTAAGCGTCTCCATACCACTTCGAAATTCTTATGTGTTAAATTTTACAGTAAATATAATTATGACCTAGTTTAATACGTTTCTACCAACATTCATTCGATAAATATTCAGGCAGCGCACGTCAACATTGTCACGCATCCGGCCCTAACTGTATCGAGATCTAATTTACCAAGAGAATAAAAAACACTGTTACTAACACATCATGTAACATTTACTTATCCCTATTTGTCTATAAAGTAGACACAAACATTATACCAATGAGTTTACTCACGGTAAATGCCATTTTTAAACAACAAAGTACATTAAACAAAAAAAACTACGTTATTACTCACATTCTTTGCGTTTTCGTTAGCCATTTTCTCTTCACTCTCACTGTAATATCGCGTCAGTTAAATGTACTGGTATAATGGTACGTGTTCTGTTTAAATATAATATTTGCTTTGTTTCCTTGTAGTTAACTCAAATAATACTAATTACCAACTGTAATAGAGCACTATTACTCATTATCCTGAAACAATTTACCAAACATTTGTTTGACTTGATGTGACAGATGGAGGAGGACACTTTGAAGGGATGTGCGATGGACGTACACTAAAAGTACGAATAATACCAGATTCCACACTAGGGCTTTCTTCTGAACTGATAATCGAACAAACTACCAATGCGTAAGAATATGGATGCATTTTACGTGAAACACGTGTTTCGAAGACAAAATGATTTGAAAGTTAGTTATATTTAGTAGGTAAAACTGCAACATGCAATATTTCCAATGGTTTAAAACGCTTTTATCTCTTACCATCGATTCATCGATTTCTATGTCCATTCTCTTATAATTATTTGTTCTTTGACCGTGTGTACTGTCCTTGTAATGTCATTTGGTTTTGACTTTTATAAATGTCAAAAACGAAGATAATTGATTATGATTATTGATTAAGAAATTAAGCCAAAAGTATCTATAATCACCATTTTAAATAAATAATTCCAACTGGATGAACTACAACAACTAATGAAATGGCTACATCTAGTGATACATCGGATCAAAACGTGAAATCAAGACGCCCAGCAGGTAATATTTAGCATTGGTGTATCATCTGGTTTTGGTTTATTGATTTCGATACTAACAATTTATTGTTTCTGCAGAATCAGCGTTTAAACAGCAACGTTTGCCTGCATGGCAACCTATATTAACCGCTGGAACTGTATTGCCTACGTTCTTCGTAATTGGAATAGCTTTTATTCCAGTAGGGATTGGATTACTCTACTTTTCGGATGAGGTAAGATGCAAAAATAGTTTTGTTTATATTAGTTGTTGTCATCTAAAAATGGCAGTATTCATAACTTTTATAAGGCTGTAGCAAGGCAAATACTACAGTCAGTCTACATGAGGGCAAGGAGAAACAAGGACAAAAGGTTAATTTTTAAGTAAATTCAAATTTACTTAAAACTTCTATTTGTTTCGGCTGATTGAAAGTGTGTGTAGAGAATGAATTAACTATTATTTTGATTCCTTTTTAACACTTAGATTACAGTTATTGTTTTAAATATAGTTTTTCATTAAAGGTTTTTTATTTATTTATTTATTTTTACAGGGGGTTTTGTTGCGAAGTGACGATAACGCCCCATAAATCTTAAACAAACAAAACTTAATTAACTGACTGTTTTCTTAAACAGATGTCGGCCAACATAAACATTATCCCGGCCTTGTTCATAGACGGGTAAGCTAGGATAGTGTTTAAGTGGCCGACATTACATCCATAATCAAATTAGTTGAGTCTAAAATGTTTCATTATAGGTTAAAGAACATGTAATAGACTACACGAAATGCATGAAAGTGAATGAAAATATAACTTGTGCTGAATACATTAGGAAAAATGATATGGATTCATGTATTTGTGAAATAAATTTCAATTTAACTGAAGACTTTAAGAGGGATGTTTACTTCTACTATGGTCTTAGCAACTACTACCAGAACCACAGGAGATATGTTAAATCCAGGTATATGTTTATTTTAACTGTTTTCACTGTTGAAAGGCTTGTTTAAAAAAAATTGAGTACCTCCTTTTGGGAAGTTGGTCAAAAATTCCTACCTTCTATTCTTTATCAATAGAGACTTCTGTTTTAAAACAAAAGTTGAGGCAATGGACATTCAGACATATGTAAAATTTTTTTCTGTTTCTAAAGTGTCAATAGCTATTAATGAAAATGTTAACTTATGTTTTTTGTACTTAATAATAAATTAATTAAGAAAATTTGAAACTAATTCAAAAATATATGTCAGTTATGTTATAAACCTACATGTACAGTCTGATGGCAATGTAATCTATGATTGTTATGAAATATTAAACAGGGATGACAGTCAGCTCCGTGGACAGTTATCATTGACTCCATCATCAGATTGTGATCCATTTGGCTATGCTGAAGAAAATGGCAAACTGAAACCTGTCGCTCCTTGCGGTGCTATTGCTAATTCCATGTTTAATGGTGAATAATTATTTTATTACTAAATTTTCTATTTCTTATCAACCCTAATTTTACTACTTGTTGCTTTTTTTTTTATATAACATAAGGTGGCAAATGAGCAAACGACCACCTGAAATCGCCAAAATGGAGAAGTGACCGCTGCCCATAGACATCCGCAATTGCAAATGCATTGCCTACCCTTATTAGACGAAGGAGGAGACGCACATAAAGAGGATATTTCCCCTTATTATGCATCTCCTCCACTGTCAAATCCACTTCCTCTTCCCATCCTCTTTTTATAAGAAAAGGGGTGGTAAAGAGAAAGGGACTTAAATTAGGCCCTCGAGATTTAGCCATGTAAAATTAAAATGTAATAAAAATATAGCCTATGTTACTCACTGATAACATAGCTTTTTAATGGTGAAAGAATTTTTGTAATCAACCCAGTAGTTTTTGAGTTATTTCAGTATATACAAACAGCCAAATCTTTCCTCTTTATAACTTTTAAAGCAATTTTTGATGACTTTTTTATTTCCCATTATACTACCTAATCAATCTCTTAAAATAATTTGTGTCATAATTATTAATAATTCATATTTTTTTTGCTGTTATAAAAATTAAGTCTATACTGGCTGACTTTAATGTTTATAAAACCTTCTGCAGCCGCCTTCATATGAGATCTTCATATTGAGATGAGATCAGGGTGTTTTTAATTAATCTTGACAATGTTTTTTTAATTAATCTGTGTTAATTTTATAGACACTCTGATGGTGAGATCTCTGGATTGGAACATTGAAGTGCCAGTGTTACGCACCGGTATTGCTTGGACGTCTGACAAAGATATCAAGTTCCGAAACCCACCTGGAGATTTGAAAACTGGTAAGAATATTAATTTTTAATAGTCTTAAAGGTTTAATGAAAAAAATATATTTTTTTTTAAATTGTTCTTAGCTTTTGCAAACTTCACAAAACCTGTGAACTGGCGACGTCCTGTTTGGCAATTGGATCTAAACAACACAGATAATAATGGTTTTCAGGTAAGTAATAAACAAAACTTAAAAATCAATTACAATTTTATATTTAAAAATTATGTTACACGTATGTTATACATAATTTTTGACTACACAAGATTGAAATTTAAATAAAAAAAAAATAAAACAATAATAAAATAAATGTCATTGAAATAAAATAAAAAAAAACAATTGTAATTTAAGAACTAAGATTGTTTTTTTTTTATAGAGATATTTCTAGACTTATTTCTCTTGTGCCATCCTCTTGACCGGATATGTTATTCTTGGTCACCCTGTATTTCTTTTCAGGATTTCTATACAGGATGTTATATTTTACAACTTTTTTTTAACAGAATGAAGACTTAATAGTATGGATGCGTACTGCCGCGCTGCCAACGTTTAGGAAATTGTATCGCCGCGTCGATCATTCTCAGTACGGCTTCAGTACAGGACTTGTTAAGGGACCATATCTGTTACGAGTTGATTATAGTAAGTTACATTTTTTTTAAACTTTACTATTATAATTTAATTTTTAATCTTTTTTTTTTTATAACATAAGATGGCAAACGAGCAAGCGGCCACCTGAATCCGCCAAAATGGCGAAGTGACCGCTGCCCATAGACATCTGCAATTGCAGATGCGTCGCCTACCCTTATCCGACGGAGGAGGAGACGCACATAAAGAGGATATTTCCTCTTCCTATGCATCTCCTCCATCGTCAAATCCACTTCCCCTTCCTATCCTCTCATAAGAAAAGGGTGGTAAAGAGAAAGGGACTTAAATTAGGCCTCCGGCATGTATCTGGCTGGCATATGTTGCGTTACCAACATTTAATTAAAAAAAAATCGTTTTAATTAAATAAGCAAAATGTTTATAAAGTAGCTGTTGTTTGCGCAGTATCTAAAAAACTTGTTGTCTATAGTAAGACTATGTTCTATATCTGTGCCAAATTTCAGCAAGATCTGGTGATCCGTTCTGGATGTGCTTAGTAACAAAACATCCATCCATAATATATTTTGTGTATTTTGCATAAGAATGTAAATATTGTTAGTAAAATGTACAAAATTTTAACCTCTGTTTATATAGACAGATAATCAAATATTTCAGGGTCTTAAAACAATGAAAAATGTATTTATTATACTCATTTTTCCCTCAGATTACCCGGTGACAGACTTCGATGGCACTAAATCGTTTATAATATCGACGACATCGTTACTGGGTGGCAAGAATCCATTCCTCGGTGTGGCATATGTGGTTGTTGGTACACTTTGCCTGTTGCTCGGTATCGTACTTCTTGTCATCCATGTTAGATGCTCTCGAAGGTGAGTTATTATACTAGCTTTCGTCCCAACTCCGTCTGCGTGAAAAAAAGGCCTATGTTCTTCAAGACTATCCTCTATGTCTGCCACATTTCATCGAGATCCATTTAGTTGTTTAGGCTACAAACAAACATCCATCTAAACTTTTGCATTTATTATATTAGTATAATTTTATTTTGGTACATACTTCTAGATAGTTCTATAGCTTGATGAAGATGTGGCTTTTTTCATCAGGTGCTTCTTTCTTGTAGAAGTTTTTATCTTTACAAATTTAGTCATATTTACAATACGATAGGATTTTGTACTTCTTAGTTTTATTTTGTAAGCTATTTTTAGTTTTTGCTACAAAAAATGTGATTTTTTAGTATCTAAAAGTTCTAGCTATTTATTAAAAGCTTTTAAAAAATGTAATCCATCAAATGTAAAAACGGTTTTTAAAATAATTCATACTTAAATGTTGAAAATATTTTTTTTTTAATAAGGATTACCAAAGTTTTGTAGTCCGGGTATTTTTTTAATGCCAGTATTGAAAATAATTATGTTAAAATCAGATACCCACCTCCTATCGCTCACACGTACTTTATGGACGAACAGACAACCTCACACAATGTTAATGAGTATTCGTAAGTTTTTTGTTTGCTTTTCAGTTAGATTGTACTCATTTATTTGTTACAAAATCATTATTTTCTAACCTAAAAATTTAGTGTTTTTTTTTAATATGAAGTTTGCTTTGATATATTAAATCTTTTAACTAATAATCATCGTAGAAAGAAGTATTATTCACTTTTCATTTTGAATGACACTGTTTTTTTGTATCTAATTTTTTTTTAGTTTTACAAGGTTTTTTTACATTAGCAGTTAATTATCATTTTTGAATGTGTAAACAGTACACTACGGAAAGTATTTTGTGATAATTTTGACGTTGATATGGCGGCGCTAGTGTGCTGTCGTAATTTATTTTTATTTACGCACAATTTATTTCTTATATAATCTATAATTCGATATAAAAAGTTGAGGTTATATTTGAAATTATTTTATAATTATAGAGCCAATATCCTTTTTTGTGTCGGGGAGAATTCTTCAAAAGATACCTTGCCTCCTGGGGGGGAAGCAAGGTTATGTAGGATTTGAACCACTAAAACCTCCTCGGTGGCCATCATCTAGTGACATAGTCGAAGGAACACACTAGAAAGCCCCAATAGGCTAAATTAAGGATACGAATTCGAAATATAAAGCATAGAGTTTAGTTGGAATTGAAAAAATATTAATAAAAATCTGCTAATATTTAAAAAAATAATAAAAAAATATATGTTACAGCACAACTGAGATGATCAACGTCAACCCTCGCACTCCATACACATAAGGACGTAAAAACGGTTACCTTTTTTAAATTATATTCATATTTACTATTTATTGTACTTAAAATATTTTTTTTAATTGTATAACTTCGACAGTTGGACTATTGGTATCTTTTATTCCGAATACAGAGATTACCCATTATTATTGTCCAATAGACACGAACCATGTATTTCTGGAAGATTTAATAAATTTTTCTACATAACCACTTTTCCTGCAGGAATTTTACAAAACTCACACATGTTTCGTCAATGGAAATGGTAAATCAAATGATTTTATTCCATTTATTTTGGGTTAAATAGTATATCTTTTTAATCTTTAATTGGTAGAATTCACCTGCACCTTAAGTAATAAATTAAATATTTTAATTCTGTAATTATTTGGTCACCCTACATATTAAATACACTAAATTCTTGCAATTAAGATGTATAGTTTGTCTAAATAAGTTGGATTACTTTGACAATTCATTTGAAATTTGAAGAGATGGGTTGTGTAAAATCAGTCATGAATCTGATCGATTTTTGATTACAGTGTTTTTTTTTAATTCATACCATATCGAATATCGATAGTTCATATTGTTCGCTGCGTGTTTCTTTTGTCACTACGATACCTGTCTATTAAGTAAGGCATTTGCCCTCATACAAATTGAATTCGATACTTTTGCGTCATTTCATATGCGTCATTTATCAAACTAATCTATCTTATTTAGACAAACTATAGGATGTAGTATGTAGGGTAACCAATTTAATGTAGTTTAGTGTATTTAGCATATATTATTGTGATGATTATCTGTTTCTTGTGATTATTCAGTATTTTGTTGAATTGTAGTAGTTATTTTCTAACCTTAATGTTTTCTGTTCTAAAATAATTTTGTTACTCTGGGTTTGCGATTAAAGTGATTGTTTTGACATATGTCTCTGTCTTCTCAAAGAGAATGAGTGCGATGACAATACATGTCATTACAAGTGTTATTGTATTCAAAGCCTTTTTTGTTATAATCTGTATTTAAATATTAGTGCCTTTAACATTTTGTAGGTTAGGTTAGATCACTATATTTCAAACACTTTTGAATCTAAAAAACACATTGATTAAATAATATTTAGAATTGTAGTTTATTTTAGTAATAACACTGCTTTATTTGTGAATGTCTTTATAGATTTTTTTATTGAAATATGGCAACCCAAGCCTTTGACATAACTATTGCATGGTTCACACTTGTCCATTCGTGACGTTATAAATGCATTTGTTTATTTTATAAACACCATCTCTATATTAAAAGTGTATTAACTCTTTGTTGCAAATAATAAATGTTTAGAAATTATAACAGTACTTTTTTTCGATATATTAAAATACCCAAGTCCAATAGAATATTAAATTCCTATAAGAATTCTCGTACTTGTTTTTTTTTCTTTAAACGTTTTGATGCTACTATCTTATGGTTGATTTTTAAAAAAATTTGTAATTTCGAGACTATGGGCGGGGCCTCTATCCATAATACAATCTTTTTTATCAATGACGTAAATCGAATATTACTGACTTTTTCTAATTTCCTTATAGTTAATCTGTTTACATTATCTTTATCGGACGATATCGCTTTTATAATTTATGATAATTTTTTGAACAAATCATATGTTAATCCGTATTTAACATTGAACGTATAACTCTAAGAGTATTTCTTGATAACGCATATGTTACGAGATAAAGGAATTTATGATTGGAACAAATATAATACCTAGACTAGTATAACAGTGTAGCTAATTGTCTTTTTGTTTATTTAATCTTCCTAGTAAATAGGATAGAAAAGCCTATTAAGTACCAAAGCCATCTGAAAGATAATAAAAATCCCTTGGGATTGTCCCTAATGTTTAAGTTAAAAACATAACCTAAAATTACACTATTTTGCGAATAAATGTGTCATACTTTAGTTTTAGCGTACATTTTACTTATAAAGATTAAATAGTTTTTAAGGATTTCCTTATCTGTATTATCAATTAATACAGAATCAATTATCTAGAGCAGGGCTGTACAAATTAAAAAATATTTGAGAGTGGCGAAAATTATAAAAAAAATTAATACAGAATAAAAATCAACGATTAAATTGAAGAAATACTTGGAAGGCAATAAAATTAGTACATTTTTCTAGATTTATTGTTTATTTTAACATTTTTGTTTTCGTATATGTTAGTGGTTTTTAACTATTTCCATGCGAGTCGTTGCATTGAACGTAATTTGAGATGTAGCGCGTCGTAATGGGACGGGAGGGGCAACGCAACGCTACAATGACCTTGGCTGCCAAGAAGCAAACAAGAACGTGTCAAAACGAATCAAAATTCGCGCGAGTTTTTGCAGCCCTGGTTTATACTCGTAAAGGTTTATCTACAATATCTTCAAGTCTGTCACGGTAGCGCAGTATGGTATAGTCTCTGCTACTTAGCAATGGTCAAGTGGGTGTGTCTTTTTACCTTACTCTCGATCGTGTATGGACAGAACACGAGTTTGTATGAGTTGAATATTATACATTACAATGACTTTCATGCACAGTAAGTGTTAATTTATATACAATTCGTCGTTTTTTGAACTACAGAGTGTTTTGTATCAGGTATCATAACTTCATAACTTGTTCTTCTTTTTATAAGGACTTTGTCTTATAACAAACTACGAGTACTACAAATTTTTTATCAAATGATATCTGAATCAATCTAAATTTCATACAGACCAAGGGTTTTTTTAGCTTCGATGAAATAAGTCCGACCGGTGGAATCTGCAACCCAGATGAGACTTGCATCGGAGGCTTCGCCCGGCTTTACACCGGTGTAAGGCAACTGCAAGAAGCGGAGCCCGAATCTTTACTCCTGAACGCTGGAGACACCTTCCAAGGCACCATCTGGTATAATTTCCTAAGATGGAATGTGACGCAGCACTTCATGAATATGTTTGAACATGACGCTCACGTATGTAGAATTTATTTGATGTTTAATATTTCGTAGTTTTCGCCGATTTTTTTTAAATAGATTTTTTTATTGCTGCATATCTCAGCTTCTGGTTGGCTGATTAATAAAATATACGTGTTATGGTACGTGTCCTTTGGTCCTATATTTTACCAAAATGAAAACTGTCCAGAGTTTTTGAGTAAATCTCAATAAAGCGTACCGAAAAGTCAATTAGGACAATTTTCCTTTCAAGGCTTGCGTAGGCTAATTCCATGTTTTTATTAACCGATCTTTTAAATTCATTTGGTTTATTATGAACTATAATATTCGAAATACGATATTCTATCCAGGTTCTTGGCAACCACGAATTTGATCACGGTGTGGAAGGTTTACTGCCATACCTCGAAAGACTGAACTCACCAATGCTGGGTGCTAATGTTAACACAACGTTCGAACCTGAATTAGGGAAGTATGTGAAGAATCATGTTGTGGTGGAGCGGCGCGGGAGAAAGATTGGAATCATCGGAGTGTTGTTACGACAAGTAAGTACATTTTAGAACAGCAGAAATTACGTATAACATCTATACATCTACTGTGTGCTTATCGTGACGGTGATCCATAACTGTTCTAAACTAGCTTTCGCCTGCGAATCTGCGTGGAATTAAAAATAACAAAAGTGTGTAGCCTATGTGTTCTTCCAGACTATCCTCTACTTCTGTACCAAATTTCTTCGGAATCCGTTCAGCCGTTCTGTCTACAAACTCTAACAAACACCCATCTAAACTTCCGCATTTATAATGTTAGTAAGATTTTTAACCATGTTTGTGTTCTAATTAAGGCTATTTTCACCACTAAAAACGATGAAAAAAAAAATGATTCGATGTCGATGTAATACTTTGTACAATAGAAACATAAAATTTTACTTCTTAGATAATTTTAAATTGCGAAAAATAAACATGGGTGTAAGAACGTCGGGTAAATATCCATGTTATTCGAAAAACTTTGCTAAATGGCGGGAATCGATCCCAAGACATAACCTCTGAGAAACTAAGGCTTATAACCGGTTTCGAATATATGATTTCAGTTTTCAGCGCCCATAGGTAGAGTGATAATGGAAGACGAGCTGACGGCGGTGAATCGCGAGGCGGCGGAACTGACCGCGCAGGGCGTTGATATCATCATAGTGTTGTCCCACGTTGGTTATACTAGCGACTTGTAAGTGTTTCCGGTTATAGGATTTGCAACCTTTAACGTCTCTACGATTGATATTTGACATAGGACGGGATAACTTCGACATCAGATAACCATAAATATTTGATTCTCAACAATTTTTATGATTAAATCCAAATGGTTTAGGTTATTTAATTACGTATTAAGATTCCTATGGTAGAGGAAGACCAAAGAAGGTGTAGATGGATATGCTTGAAAAGAGAGTGAATTCAGATATGACGACTGATAGAGAGAGAAGAGCAGCACAAACTATGTCGATCCTCCACAGAGACAAGGATTTATGATGTAGATTATTTAATAATTTCGGCTAAATCTACTATTAGCTTCTTATTGTTACTATTGTCCAATTTCATTTAATACTCTGAGTATAAATTGTTCTGAACAGATTCTTAGCAGAGCGCGTATCACCAACAGTGGACATAATAGTGGGCGGCCATTCCCACTCTTTGCTATACAATGGCGAAGCTCCTGATGGCACACGACCAATCGGGGAATACCCCACTGTAGTAACGAGGTCCGATGGTCATAGAGTAAGTAGTCTTAGAGAAAGTTTCAAATATAACCTATAAAAATTATTAGAATCAACTGTATAAAATTTTAAACCTTTATATGTCATAGTTAATTTGTTTTTTAGATTCCCGTGGTACAAGCGCATTGTTACACACGGTATTTGGGCAACATTAAGTTATTTATTAATAACGAAGGTATTGTAGAAAGGTGGGAAGGTCAGCCCGTCTTCTTAGGTTCCTCTATTGTTCAAGGTGGGTATAATAAAAACTGTGGCTATTGTTTAGATGGATGGATGGATGTTAGAGTTTGTAGCTTATATTGCTGAATGGATGTCGATAAAATTTGGCATTGAAGAAGAGTGGAATCTGGAAGAACACAGGCTACTTGTGTGTAGCCACGTGGACGAATGCTGCTTCAAAATATTTTTTCACGTGTTAATGCGTATAGATCCACTGATGCTTGAGGAGTTGGAACCGTGGCGTGAGGAGGTGGACGCGGTGGGTAAGGAGGTGTTGGGGAGGACACACGTGACGCTCACTCGGTCCTGCTTCAGTGCGGAGTGCAACCTCGGCAACTGGGCCTGCGATGGTCTCCTCGAACAGGTTAGTCATTCATTCGTTCAGTAAACAGTTCAATCAGTGTACAACTGGATTTTATTACTTTTCGGTCTAAGTCATTCAGTGTTCTTTCATAACTTCAATTAGTTTGTATGTATTCAGTTTTGTTAGGTTATAAATTGGTAAGGTAATAAATTTTAGGTAATGGATCGAGCGAAAGATGGCGCTTGGAATGAGGCGCATGTTTGTATGGTTAATGCAGGAGGACTTAGGATGCAGATTAACCCGGGAGGTAAGCCTGTCAATTTTAATGTTTTCAAATATTATTTGAATGTAATCTTAGATGGATCGATGTTAGTTACTTTTATCTTCAAAACGACTCAAAGGAATTCACTGTTTTCACAAATGTAGAACAATGTGTAGAAGAACACATCAGCTACTAATTGATATCTTTAACTACACGCGGGAAGGGCTAGTAATAGATAATTATACTAGCTTTCGCTTGCAACTCCGTCCGCGTGGAATTAAAAAAGCAAAACTGAATAGCCTATGTGTTCTTTCAGACTCTTCTATATCTATGACAACCATCGAGAGGCATTCAGCAGTTTATAATTTTAGTAAGATAGAAATAAAGAGAGAAAATAATCCGTTTTTGTATAGAAGTGACAACTGAAGCGTTGCTGATGGCGATTCCTTTTGAAAACTACGTGCAAGTGTACGACCTGAAGGGTCAATATTTAATGGAAGCGCTCGAGTTCTCAGTGGGCACGGCGCAGACCCCCGGCTCATTTAACAGCCGTAGAATGCTTCAAATCGCAGGTAAAATTTTAGATTACTGAGAATATATCAACATGTAATACACAAATCATCTATTGCTGCTAGCATATTCCGAAAAAAAGTAAATCACTTTAAAATACTAACATTCCGATACTGAAATCTTTTTTGTATCAGCATCTTAAATTAAGCCTTAAACTTCAAATGAAATTGAAATTTTGAAATTCGTTAGATTATAAGCGACGCATGGTAAAGTGTTTTAATATTCGGTTGTATAATGCTTACGAATGCAGTATATTCATGTACAGTCGCGGAAATCCGCGGTGTTCTTACTTACTGCGTTGGCGCAGCGACCCAAAGTGTGTCTTGGCCTCCGACACGAGAGAGCGCCGCGGTGTTCTACTTTAGGAACAATTGCCTTGTTTATTGCACCGAGAAAAACTCCGCCTCTTCCTACAAATAACTAATTAGATAGCAATATGTGCAAATGAAGGTATTATAATAAACAGAAACTACCCGTGTTTAAGTATCCGACTTTTTTTGTGAAGATACATTTATAAGCTGCGTCGTATTGGTTTTTGTTCCGTTTCAAAATGTTCAAACGGTTTGAGCTGTAAGGTGGAACACCGCCAGTTTGCCCGACTGTACATAACTGTGAAAGTAGCTGCATTAAAATTAGACTACAAGTTGACAGATATCCCTATACTTTTTTTGTTTATTTCGTATTTTATTTATTTATTTACCTATTTATATCAGTATCTGTACCCTGTATGGGTTTATGCCTCCTTCATATAAGACCCTATATTTAGTTTAGTATGTGTATTGCATGTTATGTAAGTTAAGAATGTGTACATTAGAGGAAGTTTGAAAGTAGTTACAGTGGTGGAGAAATTGAGAAGCAAACGGTTAGCGTGGTATGAACATGTTATGCGACGAAATGATGGGGACATAAACCAAAAAGTGTTAGAATTTTGTGGCTACAAGGGAAGAGGAAGACCGAAGAAAGTATGGATGGATTGTGTGAAAGAGGATATGCTTAAAAAAGGAGTGGTTTCAGATATGACGGCTGATAGAGATGTATGGAAGAGCAGCATATACTGTGCCGACCCTCCGTAAAGGATAAGGGCAAGTTGATCGTATTGTAGGTATGCGTGTCGTGTACAACGCGACGGCGGCGGCGGGCTCCCGCGTGGTGTCTGCGCTGGTGCGCTGCGTGCGCTGCGCCGTGCCGCGCTACTCGCCGCTGCAACTGGACAAGACGTACCGCGTGCTCACACAGAGTTACATCGGCGACGGCGGCGGCGGCTACACGGTCAGTTATTACATATCTATACTAATATTATACAGAGGAAGAATTAGTATTTTGGTATGTATGATTTTTTCTATATAGGTACAAATAGGTGGCAAGCGAGCAAGCGGTCACCTAAATCTGCCAAAAAGGCGAAGCGACCGCTGCCCATAGACATCCGCAATTGCAGATGCGGTGCCTACCCCCTAATCGACGGAGGAGGAGAGGAGGAAATTTCCCCTTCCTATGCGTATCCTCTACCGTCAAATCCACTATCCCTTCCAATCCTTCCCTTATAAGAAAAAGGTGGGACGGGAAAGGGACTAAAATTGGGCCTCCGGCACCACACTCGTCAGACGAAACACAGAATTGCTCCCACTTCACGCCTGTTTTCTGTGTGGTCGTGGTATTACACCGGGCGAGCAGGTCAATTCGTGCGAAGATGTTAAAGCGGACTCTACCTAAAAGAAATAACACCGATTTCAAAAATTTTTTCACTGTTACAAAGGTAAATTATCTGTGACATAGGGTATCTTTTATTATATTTTAATTTAACAGGGACGAAGTCGTCATTTTTGAGTTAGCTATCTGAGGCTCTATCAGCCAGTGGTAGGACAGACCCTTTCTTGTCCTCATGATTGTGTTCCAAATTATTAACTTACATAGCGTGAAAATATGTGTCGGAATTATGGGGATTTTTTAAAATTAATTATTCAATAACATGCTGTAATTGCAGACATCCTACAAAGATGTGTGTTTAAGATTTATTAGTATTGATGTATGATTTCGGTGGGTCGGTGTTGAGTCTACATTTTATAACTTTTAGTGTTAAGTTCGATGGCATTAACTTTGTTCTATGTTCCAGATGTTGTCAGAGAACAGAGAGAACTTGGAGAACTTGGAGGTGGACTACGTGATGCTGCAGAGGCACATGAGGAAGCAGCGTGACGTCATACAGGACCACGACGGCAGGATACAGGTAGTCTTCTAACCTTGTTTGTATTAAATATATAGTTTTTTAACAAAAGATGACTGTGTTTTGTTTTTATTATACTTTTAACCCTCATTCACATATGCGTTTTTTTTATCGCGCGTTAAAAAACCGTTGAAATAGAACAAATGCTTTTTCATGTATCCGTTTATACCATAGCATTTATTTGTTGTAGCATTTCTTGAACTCCGGTTGAACGTAATAAGTAATTTAAAAAAAATGAGCGTTAAAAAAAGCGCCCGTGTGAATAAAGGCTTTGTCTATTTTCTATTTAAATGTAATAAAGTATATTTTATAAATAAACATTTTAAGTTTATTTTTTTTTACTAATAAAACCTATAAGGATTTTTCTACATACGCGAAAATAAAAAAGATATTGATTTAATTTATTTTATTTTCAACATGTCCACATACCTCTATTATATTTACAATGTAACACTAATTTAACAAAACAACCCAAAGCGTTAATATTGAGTTTATATTTCTATTGTTCATTGTCTATTTGCAACAAATCGAATTTAAATTAATAAAAATATAAAACACAGAAATATGTAAAAATATAACATTGCATATTATGCACATATGCTAATTTATTTTGTTCTAAAAACTGTTATCATTTAAAAAAAAAAAAACAATAACTTGGATATTTTTTCTTTTTTTTTTTTTCTATTTTATTACAAATGTACAATAGAAGCGGTATTAAATAAATTTAAGGGAATTATTAAATATTTCTACAATATATTCTTATTCCTATTTTGAATTTACAATAGTCAAAGACAATTTTTCCTGTCATTTTTAATCTATATTTCCATAAACATGTCATATTCTGTGATTTCGATGCTGTCAAACAAAAATGTGGCTTATTGTATATAAATAAGGTACAAATTAGCACTGCGCTAACTTGACTTGAGGCACGTCAATAAACGGCAAATCCTTTTTAAAATCTCTTATATCTTTGATAAAATCCGGAGCATTTTCTGTGGAATCTCCGATAGGATTGTTCGCGTCTAAATACGTGAGGTCGAAACTCTTGAGTTCCACTTCGGTTGTGTTGTCCTTCTTCGACACGTGGCCCATTACCTGTGAGAAAGAGACAGTTGTTTATAGTGTATTGAATTGTTTACATTTTTACACAAATCAGTGGTTTAATCATAATTTTAAAGCATTTCTAATGATGAAATGTAGAATTTAGTCAGCAATCTGTCTGTAGATTTAGGAGAAAATGCATTTTTTTCTAATTTAAAAATCTAAGCCGTGGCACATGATCGAAAAATGGTATGGAAAATATTATTTACACAATTCACTGGTTTCTAATGTCATTTTTTTATTCTTTAGATTTATCTTATTAAATTTAATCATAGTAATATTATAAATGCGATAGTTTAGATGGATGGATGTTTGTTGGAGTTTGTAGCCTAAACTACTGAACAGACATCAACGAAATTTGGTATAGATGTAGATGATAGTCTGGAAGAACACATAGGCTACTTTTTTTGTTATTTTAATTCCACGCGGACGGAGTCGCGGGCAAAAGCGAGTGTTCAAATAAAAACATGTCTGTTTAAGTCTATGTTTGATTATAAAGGTTAAGTATTTTTGTTATTTTTTCTTATTTGTATTGACTTTATAAAAGCGGTTTACTTCTTTTCTATTTCTTGTTTATGATTCTCCCTTAGCGGATTCCAGTGTCAAGTGTTTGTGGTTTTATTCCAATTTGGGAGAAACTGGCAACAAAACTGCTTACGGAGATGTTTGTGGGTACATGAGGTTTACTTTACCTGGACAGATAATTTCCTGAAGTGTGACTTGTTGCCGCTGGGGAAGTGGTCCTCCACCCAAGTCTTGATGTCGCCCACTCTTATCTTCTCTATCGCATTCGCCTAAATATTTAACATTATTAAAACCTTTGCCGTTTTTGTCAAAAAAAATTAAAAATGTTCCAAAAAAGTGTACTTTTTTAGATTTATGTTCTATTAAAATATTGAAATGCACTTACTTCTGAAAACAGCCTTTGGAATTTATACTCCATGCTCACGATCTCGCGCCAATTTCTCTCCACCTGGTAAGAATAATAAACATTTTTTTAACACTTTTAATTGTATGAAAAAAGTTACTACTGTGTTCTAACCTTTATTTTTCAAAAACTATAGATTTAAATGAAATTGCGTAACCATTACTTTTGCAATTAAAATTTTACAATATTAACTGAGCATAAGAGTTATGACGTCACAAGATGGCGCGTGGTTTTAATATTACTTATGTTTAAAAATGGATAGGTCATTGAAATTGACATTTTCACTTTTTAATAAAAAATGTATTTAATTATTTAGATATTTGCAAATGTAATACCACGACCACACAGAAAACAGGCGTAAAGTGGAAGCAATGTTGTTTCGTCTGATGAGAGTGGTGCCGGAGGCCTTATTTTAGTCCTTTTTCTAATAAGGAGAAGATGGGAAGGGGAAGTGGATTTGACGGTGGAGGAGATGCATAGGAAGGGGAAATATCCTCTTTATGTGCGTCTTTTCCTCCGTCGGATAAGGGTTGGCAACGCAACTGCAATTGAGGATGTCTACGGGCAGCGGATTCAGGAGGCTCTTGCTCGTTTCCCACCAATATGTTATAAAAATAAGTCTGGAAGAACACACAGGCTACGTAGTTTTGTTAGCTAGTTATTGTATAAAGATGCGGTAAGTAAAGTAAAGGCGCACCTCCTCCTTGAGCTCGTAGTCGATGGTGTGCTTGAGCTGCACGAGCGCGGTGCGCGTGGCGGCCAGCGCGCGCTCGCCCAGCCGCCGCATGTCGCGCGCGAACTTGCGCAGGAACGCCTCCACGCGCGCCTCCACGTGCTGCACGCTGCACGCAACACACGGACACACATCATCATCAACTTGCCCTTATCCCTTACGGAGGGTCGGCACAGCATGTGCTGCTCTATACATCTCTATCAGCCGTCATATCTGAATACACTCCTTTCACACAATCCATCCATACTTTCTTCGGTTTTCTTCTACCTTTGTAGCCATCCACATTCAATCTTAACACTTTCTGGTTTATGTCCCCATCGTCTCGTCGCATAACATGTCCAAACCACGCTAACCGTTTGTTTCTCAATTTCTCCACCACTGGCGCTACTTTCAAACTTCCTCTAATATACACAACCTTGTCACACCACACATCCATCTTAACATATGCATCTCAGTCACATGCAATCTCCTTTCATCCCCAACTTTGGCGGCCCAACATTCAGATCCATACAATACGACACACACGATACATTATTATAGTCATCAACATTACAATCTATTGTTAAATAAACTTTTATTATCTATATATACACGAGCTGTCACCCGCAAACTTCGTTAGCGTAGAATTAAAAAAAATATGTTTATAATATTATAGACATTTTTGATGGTAAAAAGTAGTTTTTACCAGCTATCTTTCAGTCAAACTCCCGTCCAAATCGATCCACCCGTTCCAGAGATAGTGGTCCGGTCGCCATTTTGATAGCGCGGAATTAAAAAAGTAGCCTATAATATGTCTATGTCAGCTACCCTTCAGTGAAAATCTGGTCGAAATCGGTCCAGCCGTTTCGGAGGTTACCCGGGACAAACGCGGCGGACAGACAGACATGACGGGTATGCTCCGTACCAGTACTGGAAAAACGTACTAGTACACACTTTTAGTACTTTTAGTACTTCAGATTTGTAAGAACACAATAACAAGAAGAAGCGAAGACCGATATCGTGTAGTGTACTAAAAGTGCCAAATGTCCGATTAACAGAAGCCGTTGGGTAACGTTACTTTTAGTACATCGTACGTGTACTAGCCAAGTCTAGTGGGGGGTGTGGGGGTGTGGCGGTGTGGTGTACCTGAACTTGTCGACCTGCGTGTTGACGGTGACGGAGAAGCCGAGCACGCCGAAGGTGTAGCGCATCATGCTGAACACGCTGTAGCCGAGCTGCTCCTTGGTGCGCAGCGTGTCGAACACCGGCTCCTCCATCAGCATCTGAACATCGTATATCCAACGAAAGTTTAGATGGATGAATGTTTGTTACAGTTTATAGCCTAAACTCCCGAACGGATCTCGATGTAATTTGGTAAAGTCGTAGAGAATAGTTTGGAAAAACACATAGCTACTTTTTTTTTGTTATTTTAAATTCCACGCGGACAAAAAGCTAGTACTACTAAAGCGTAAACACACACTACTTCGTGGCGTAGGATAAGCATATTTCTGAATAATTATTTCTTTAATGAAAAGCCCTACACTTACGACACGCTTTGGGCTAAATATTTTCACGGTATTAAACTTAGGGAGTACATAATTAAAAAAAAAATGTTATGCGAAGGAATAGAAGCAAGCCATGGTACGGTCATGTTTTCCTATATCAAAGGCTTTCGTTGTCATTTGTGCATTTTTAGGGCAAATTATTAAAAAAAAGAATTTGTTGAATGAATTGGTTGCTGACATCCTACGTTATAAGAAGTAAAACCTAGATATAGTTTAGGTGACAAACGAATAATGAGCCCAAAGAATTCGGAAAAATAGCGAAGCTACTCTATACTTGCGGATGACGCACACAACCAATCAAAAAAAAAATAAAAGTAAAATAAAGCATTAACCATGAGCAGTTCCAGTATAGCAACGTCCTTGGGCGTGGTGACCTCCGCTTGGTAGTAATTGGTAACAATGCTGTTGGTGGAAGCTGGGTTGAGGCTCAGCACCCGCAGCTTGCGCTCGCCCAACGGCAGCTGGTGTACACGGAGCTGTACACACATACAATTACATATAACATACGGGTCAACGTTAATTGGTTACAAACCAGTGTACACGGACCTATGAACAATATATATTTCCATATACAACTTAGGTCTTTAGGAATTGGTCATGTTCTTTGACCAACGACAGCTGTTATTTGACCTGTAAACAACATTTAGTTACATGTAACATACGGGTCAACGGTAATTGGTTTTACTCGTATAATGTGCTGGAATTATAGACATCATACATCGACATACGAATGTCCAGGAAAGATGTTTACAATGAACTAACACAGATTTCTTTGTCGAAAAAAATCCTTAAACAATTTTTGCACATATAGAAAACATAGTTTTTTTTTTGTTGAACTACACTTGTTTGTGGAAGAAATGTAAGAGGAGTTAATCTTGACTGTTTAGTAATATTTTACAATCCTTAGGGCCTATCCCACCACTGGCTGATAGAGGCTCATATAGCTTAAAAATGACGTCACTGTCTGATAAGGTAACAATTCGATATTTCCAACACATATTTTACACATACGATTGTTATTAATTTACAATTTGGTGGGACTGGCCCTCAGTATTGTGATCTCACCTCTGGGAGCTCAGTTTCATCGAGCACATCCCACTGTATATTCCTCAGTGCGTTTTCCGATATTTTGATGGCCTCGTGCCACGCCAAGTTGCCTTGCACTAACACCTGCAAACGAATTATACTAAAACTGAAAAGCTTGGATGTATGGATGTTACTATCTCGATAAAATTTGGCATTTGTAGAACAGTCTAGAAGAAATCATAGGCTAATATTCTTTTGTTACTCTGTGGGGACGCAGTGCGATTATATCTAGTTATCCATATGTATACTAATATTATAAAGAAAAATTTATATTTGTTGAATTTCTGTATGTATTAAAATGACTATTGGGACAATTTTAAAAATTCTTTCATCAATCAAAAGCTATGTTATCACTCAGTAACATAGGCTCAATTTATTTTATTAATTTTTTAATTACACGCAGACGAAGTCGCGAGTAACAGCTAGTTTAATACATTAAGCATATAAGGTAATTACTACTACTACTACTAGGGCATTATTACAAGAATGTTTATACAAATGTGACAGACGAAATCGTTATGGTAATTTTTAACAAGACTAGCTTTTCAGAGGACTAGAGATAAGATTTTTGTATACTGCTATTTTCTTATAAATCTATAGTTATATAGTAAAGAGGAAAGATTTGTATTTTCCTATTTATTGAAACTCAAAAACTATTGGGCATATTTCAGAAATTCTTTACATTTTTTTTTATTTTCCAGAGACAAAGTCGCGAAATAACTAGTATAAAACATACTTGTAAATACATTTTGCTGAGCAGCCGCCTGCTGAAGTCCTGCAGGTCGTCTATAGTGAGGTTGTGCACCACGGCCGCCTTGTCGCGCGGAGATATGTATGGATCTAGTAATACATCCATACGCAAGTCTCTGAAAATATTACCTATCATGTATGGGGAATAAACGTAGCAAATTCGGCTGCGTTTAGAAAATCTATATTAATTTTATAAAGAGGGAAGATTTGTATTTTTGCATGAAATAAATAAAAAACTACTGAAGCTATTTTCAAAATTCTTCCACCATTAAAAAGCTATGTTATCAGTAACATAGGCTATATATTCACTTTTTTTTAATTTCACGCGAGCGAAGTCGCGAGCAACAGCTAGTCTACAATAATTCTCTGTTTTTCTTTAATGAATACATTAGATTAAATACATAACAATGATCATCCACATAGAATTATGAAATTTTATTATATTGTCTACATTTGTTAAATTATTAATAACAAATGTCAAAATGACATGACATGACAAATCTTAGTCATCTTGCTTCCTTGATGTTGGCAGCAAAATATGGTCTCTTTACCACATTAGGGTTTTTATCCAAAATATATACCACCTAAGTTTAATAGCGTGGAAATATATAGCCTAAAGCGTAACGTAAGTGTAGGATTTTTATTAAAAAATAATTATTAAAAAACATGCTGTAATTTCTGACATCTTAGGCAACAAAGAAGTGTGTGTTTACGCTATTATAATAGTATAGATAAAATAAAGTTTTTATATATGAGGCGGAGCTAGTAAGTAGTGATAAAGCCAGCATTACTTGGATAACTTATGCGGCTTGATGAGCACGTTGTGGTAATTGCGCGCGCGCACCTCGCGCACTGCCTCGAACATGCCCGCAGTCAACGTACTGCCCGTTGACCTCATCTCGCGGGTTATTAACTCCACCAACAACTAACATCAAAATACATACCAATATTATTGATAAATGTGAATGAGTAATTAAAACAGCGCTTGCTTTGTGCAGACTGGTTTCACGTCACATAGACGTAGTCGTCGGGCGCATACATAACAATTATAAATGCAAAAGTTTGAATGGATGTCTGTTAGAGTTTGTAGCCTAAACGGCTGAATGGATTTCAATGAAATTTAGTATGGATGTAGAGGATAGTCTGAAAGAACACATAGGCTACTCACTTTTTTTTAATTAGTCGCAAACGGAGTCGCGGGTAAAAGCTAGTACATATGTAAATATCAAAATACTTATCTAAACTAATATTATAAATGCGAAAGTTTAGATGGATGTCTACCAAAAACCAAACGGATGTAAACCAAACGGATTTCGATATAATTTGGCATAGATGTCTACATAGGATAGTCTAGAAGAACAGATATGCTACTTACTCTTGTTTTCTTCTACGCAAACGAAATCGCGGGCAAAAACTACTTAGATTATATCTTTGAGTTTCATATTACTTAAAAAACTTACGTGTAGATTTTGGTTGTATCCATTAACTTTCAATGTGAGCCCTTTGTCCGATACGTAAAGTGAATGAGATAAATCCGCCATGTAGGCTGCGTATACTTCTTCCTGTAAAAAACATCCTTTTTTATATCTTTCAACAATTATCCTAAAGAAAAAACATACTATTCATATTTGATATTCAAAAACACATGTTAAAACAGCAACTATAAAATTACCTTCAAATCTTGTTGCAATACGTCCGTCCACAGATCTAATAGACAGGCTCTGAAAATAGTAATATTTTACACTATTTCATTAGAAATATCCACTGTTACAAAAATAGTAATACGTTTTTGTATTACCTTTAAAAATAAAATAGCAATATATTTTTGTACAATGACTTTTTCCTTAAAAAATAAAATAGCAATGTTTTTGTACAACATCTTTTCCCTTAAAAAATAAAATAGCAATACGTTTTAACGTATGTTTCATTAGTGTAAAATCACAGTAAAAAAAACAACTTACTCTTTCGGCGTCTTCAAACTTAGCGGAGTTATGAAGCAGAAATATAACAAAGCTGTTGGAAAGCGGAATTTAAAATCGGGCTTGTACCAAAGCTCCATATGTCTATTCTTACGCAGTAGATTCGGTTGATCCAACCTATAAAAAAATACATTATGATATATTTACATTAAAACACGATGAAAATCCAACTTCCAGTAATTCTATAAACAAACATAATTAAATAAACTAGAAGTCACTTTAAGACTTTTTGTTACATGAATGAGAAAGGAGATACGTTATCCTAAAGTAGAAAGAGAACAGAAATAGTATTTTTTTTAGTAGGCGCTATTTAAACAAAGTTCGTTATTTATACTAATAGGTAACGAACTTTGTTTGTTTCATTGTAATGAAATAACTCAAAAACTACTGGGCCGAATTCAAAAATTTTTGCACTATATAAAGCTACGTGGTCAGTGAGTAACATAGGCTATGTTTTATATTATTTCTTAATTTCACGCGGACGCAGTCGCGGGCGTAAGCTAGTTGAACATTTAATTTAGAAGAGTTTAAGTTTATATAAAGATTTATGAATATTATCATATAAAAGTTAGTCTCAAGTGAAATCAAAGCAAAACCAACCTAAAGTTGTTAACAGTAGCGATCAAATCGCCGTGTTTTAGCACTTTCTTGATCTTGGGAGCCGCGTTCACCTTCTTATGTACATCTTTAACAGAACTGGTCATCAAATCAACTCCTATTTCATTGGCGGCCTCAAGATACGCGGGCGCGGGCGCTATTAGATCGAAGTTTGTTGTCAAATATATATTCTCAGCAGGTAAATGGAAGTTTGTGTATGGTTTCACATTCAGCCAGCGATGTAGCCAGTTATTTGGTATATCTAAAAAAAACATAAATGAGTATAATTGGATTGATGTTCGAATCTCCAGAACATATTATTGGATCTCGGTAAAATTTGGTACAAATGTAGAGTATCTAAAAGAACGTAATTAGTTTTTTTTTTAATTTATTGTAGGCGAAATCAAGGGCAAAAGTTATTCAATTATACTAATATACAGGATGCTTCTTTACCGAGGGATCACAAGCTTTGGGGAGGTAGAGGACCTTAATAGCTATTGTATACGCACAAATTACGTTGCCCGATTTTAATAATTATAACTATAGAAAATCGGGAAACATACTTTACGCTTAAACGATGGCTATTGAAGACCACAAAGCTTGTGATCCGTCTTTTAAGAATCACAGTGCATACTAATAATAAGAGAAAACATTTTTTATTTGTATGTAACGCATTAACTCAAAAACTAGTAGACCAATTTGAAAAATTATTTTACCATTAGAAAGCTATATTATCACAGAGTAACATAGGCTAGTCAAAACTATTAATCTTACTAATATTATAAACTAGCTTTCGCTCGCGACGCTGTCCGCGTAGGATTAAAAAAAAAACAAAAATAAGTAGCCTTTGTGTTTTTCCATACTTTTACCTACACCCATGCCAAATTTCATCGAGATCCGTTTAGCGGTTTAGGTTTCACAAACTCTAACAAACATCCATCCATACATCCATCTAAACTTTCGCATTTATAATATTAATAAGATGTTTAGATGGATGTTTGTTAGAGTTTGTTACCTAAACAACTGAACGGATCTCGATGAAATTTGGCATAAGCTTTATTTTTTTTTATCCCACGCGGAAGAAGCGGGCGAAAGCTAGTTAATATATAGTTTGGTTACCTTGTCGTTTATATTCAGTACCGAACCATTTCTCCGTCATATCGTAGTTGACGGGCGTCGCGTACTTGTTGGACATCACCATTATGTTGACTGAGTCCGCGTGCATGCACTCCAATAATTCTCTTATACCCTGAAAAATACAATAAAATTACATATTATTAAGAAAAGCGTCAGTTGCTGAAAGGGACACTTTGAATGCGAAACCGGGTTTAAAACACCTGGTACGTATCGCTAACAGTGCTAAGATATGTATATCTAATATACAGGATTTGCTACTGGTATCGCTGGAACTGAAAATCTCTCAGTGAGGACGTATAGTGAGCTGGTGATGAAAAAACAATCTTACTTCTTACTAATATAAATGCGAATGTCGTATTATAACTATAGTAGCTATCATCCGCAACTCCGTCCACATAGAATAAAAAAAACAAAAGTGAGTACCCCATGTGTTCTTCTACACTATCCTCCACATCGATACCAAATTTCATCGAAATCCGTTCAGCTGTTTAGGCTACAAACTCTAACAAACATCCATCCATCTAAACTTTCGAATTTATAACATTAGTATGATTATAAACTAGCTGTTGCTCGCGACTTCAGTCGCATGAAATTAAAAAACATAGCCTATGTTACTCAGAGATAAATTACCTTTCTAACGGTGAAAGAATTTTTAAAATCGTTCCAGTAGTTTTGAGCCTATTCATTACAATCAAAGTTTTCCTCTTTATAATATTAGGATAGACTAGCTGGTGCTCGCGACTTCGCCCGCGTGATTTTAAAAAGTAATAAAAACGTAGCTTATGTTACTCAGAGATAAATTACCTTTCTAACGGTGAAAGAATTTTTAAAATCGGTCCAGTAGTTTTTGAGTTATCTCAATACTTACATAAATACAAATCTTTCCTCTTTATTATGTGTATTTAAAATGAATAAAATGCAATAATAAAAATATTTAAATACATATTTAGCGATACTTACTTGAGGATCGTATTTATAATACAGTCTGTCTCCAGTAATATAATGCTCCGGAGGGAAGAAATGCATATTCTCCGCTAAAGACTCCACATAATCTGAAGGCTGAGATTCCTCTTCGAAACGGAAACTCGTCTCTTCTATCGTCTACAATAAAATAAAAAAAAAACATAAGAAAAACATTTAAATTTAAAAATAACTAAACAAAATCAATAAAATACAAACTTAACAAAATTAAAAAAAAAATTATACCAAAAAATATTATTTTTCTTTTTCAAATTTGTATTTTATTAATCGTTTAATTAAATATGCAATTTCTAATATTTTTCATATTAAACAACATACCTTAATTTCATTGTATATCCGTTCCGAAGGACCAATTTCTCTAAGCATATTTATATATGAAAATATTGCTTCTAACACCTGAAATAATTAAAATAGAATACAGAGAAATATTTCTAAAATAAAATATAACATTATTAATTACTTAGTCAGTTTATAAACTCACTTCATCAACATGATCAAGTCCATCCTTGGTAAGTACCACTTTCGTGGAGAACAAACTGTACATAGAAGTATAATCGATACCACTTTCTGAGTTTCCCGTGTAGATACCAAGCGCCCATACTCTGAATTAAAAACATCATACATCTATTATTATTGTAAATTAAAAAAGGATGGATGGATGTTTGTTACTACTTATCAAACGGCTACAGATCTTCATTAAATTTGGCGTAAACTTAGTATAGTCTGGAAGGACACATACTTATTACGCTTTCGTATTTAATTTTACGCGAATGGAATCGGGAGTGAAAGCTAGTCTTTTAACAATTCTTTCACCATAAAAGCTATGTTATCACTGAGGAACATAGCTTTTGTTTTACTACTTTTTTATTTCACGCGGACAAACTCGCGAGCAGAATTTAGTCTTATATTTTTTTATTAATATAATTTAAATAATGTTTTAAACATTGCAGTAATATAACTATTAACAGTAAAATCGTATTTAACAAAACTAAAAGACGTGTGAACTATCTCGTGGTTGAAACAACAATGAGATAATTTACCCCCACTCCAATACACTGTGACGTCACACAATACATGTTCTACGAAATGTCAAAGTATAGTTTTCATTACTAATAAGTATACTTACTTTTTCCTTAGGTAAGAAAGTAGACTGCCTTTCCCTTCATGTCCTAAAAGGTAAGATATGTACTGGTGGGGTTTCGATTCGTATTCCGATAGAAGAGAACGCATGCACCAGGTTAAGGTTACCTAAAAAAACTCTATTTTAACATTATCGCAAATAATTCTATTATAATCGAATAAAGCGTAAATGTACACTTATTTGTTATGTAGAATATTAGCAATTACAGTACATTTTTTAATAGTTATTAATTTGAAAGTTTTACAATACAATAAAACAAAGTGTTTTGTTACAGAGAGTCGTTGATGCTAAAACTTTAAGAAACAACGTTATTTTTTAAAGTCACTATATATAGTATTTGCGAAACGAAATGAGTTACACCAATCTCCACATATTTTTTCAATGTTTTTTAGTTACAGTATAGTTTAGTCCAAACTAAGATCTAAAATCTGTAATATTTTGTGTACCTAAGTCTATCTTTATACCACGTTTATTTGTAAGGCTGTTGGGGTTACTTCCGAGTACGCCTAATTTTAGTCCCTTTTCCTTTCTACCCTTTTCTTAAGAGGAAAGGAAAAGTGAATTTGACGGTGGAGAAGCATGGGATGGGGAAAAGGCCTCTTTATGTGCGTTTCTTCCTCCGTTAGTTAAGGGTAGGCAACGTATCTGCTATTGCGGATGTTTATGGGCAGCGGTCGCTTTCCATTTCGATGGATTCAGGAGGTCACTTGCTCGTTTGCCACCTTATATTATATAAAAAAATTACCTCTGTGGTATCGCTGACGGGCTTGACGTAGTAGAGACTGCGGAATTGCGGGGTGACGGCTGCGGGGGAGAAAGCGTGCGGGGAGAAGTCTGTGGGGGGCAGGCCGTTGCTCTCCACGCCCCCGAACGTGTTCACCACGTACTGCTCCAGCTCCGATAGATCCATACGAGCCTGGAAACGATAACTAGTAGTTAATACGTGTTTGGAACCGATTTTAAACCTTAACGACATGTTTATAAAGGTGAATGAATTCACAGGCGTATCTCCAGAAGTTAATAGATCTCGATGAAATTTGGCATTAATGTAGACTATAATCTAGAAAAGCACATAGTTTAATTAATAAGGTTATATTTATTAATTCTACGCGGAATAGTCGCAGGTAAAAGCTGAATATTGAACGTTAAATCATAAAGAGGACGTAAAATCACAAAGGTAACGGTAACACTACTAAATTATTCAACCACTAGCGGGCGGAATTAATAAAATCACTTAGTAAGTATATGTGTTCTTCCAGATTATGTTGCGAATTTTTATTAAATTTTATCGAGATCTTCCAAAGACCTTCTAAAAACCTCCATCCATCTAAACTGACATCTTACTAAAATTATAAATGGATCAATATCCAACTAAACTTTAACAACTCTAACAAACATCCATGCGGATCGATGGATGTTTGTTAGAGTTTATAGCCTAAAGGTTAAAAGGTAGGCTCCGAGCCCTTCAATGGGTACGTATAGTGAGCTGGTAATGAATAATTGATTCCTACCTGTACAGCGACGGTCATGCGATGTGCACTATAATGTCGTTTCCTGAAGTCGTGCGCGGCGCGGTGCAGGCGCTCGTCATCATCCAGCTCGTCCTTGAGGCTGCGCAGGTTGCCCCACGTGAAGGTGCGCGCGGGGTGCCCCTCGGGGAACAGACTCGCCAGCAACTGGTCTTTGCGATTCGAGTCAGACGGTGACGCGATCGCAAACTCTATAGGAACACAGCATTTAAAAATATAAAATTATTGGCTGTTTCAATTTTTTTGCCATCTTAATAAAAGGTGCACTTTGCTCCCCCTACCCCAGCCCGCCTTCCCCACAACCCTATAACATTTTTTTTATAATATAAGGTGGCAAACAATCAAGCGGCCACCTGAATCCACCGAAATGGAAAGCGACCGCTGCCCATAAAATCCACAATTGCAGTTGCGTTGCCTACCCACAATTGACGGAGGAGGTGACGCACATAAAGAGGACATTTCCCCTTCCAATGCAACTCGTCCACCGTCAAATCCACTTTTCCTTCCCATCCTTTCCTCTTAAGAAAAGTTGGAAAGGGAAAGGGACTAAAATTAGGCCTCCGGCACCACACTCATCAGACGAAACGCGGAATTGCTTCCACTTCACGCCTGTTTTCTGTGTGGTCATGTTACTGGGGGCGAGTCAACCCATCGTGCGAAGATGTTAAAGCGGGCTCTACCACTGTGGAAACATCTCGGTACGTCGCAAAATTATATTCTGCACAGCGACTTCCGCGATTATCTGATCCGCTAAAATATCAAAAACCGACAACACTAATTGATTTGAAACAAAGTTTCAGGATTAGAAGGTCTCAAGTACAAATTATAGAGAACTGGTGTAATAAAAGTAATGTGTAATATCATTTTTCAACGCATAGAAATCTTTATGGTCTTTCATAACGTTACGTGCATTTGCTTAATCATCGACTATAACACGCTGTTTGTTGACAATTCATATAATTGGTCAATTTACTCTGACATAGACATACTACTAAAAGCAAACTGTATAAAAAATACTGGAAATCTGTACAGAATTATTGAAATACAGATTATTTGTTATTTCATTCATCATCTCCCCTGCCTTATCCTACTCCCGTAGGGTCGGCGCGCCGGGTTTTCGTTCTCCAAAGCACTCTATCATCCGTCATCTCAGTCATCACTCCCTTCTTCATCATGTCACTTTTCACGCAATCCATCCATTTCTTTTTAGGTCTACCTCTACCGGTGTACTTCCACATTCATAACTAACGTCCATCTTGTTACATGCGATTCAACCCTTTTCATAACATGCCCATACCCCTCTAACCTTTTACTCCTTGTGATTTGATTAAAACGTAATTTGATTAAAACATCAAAACTAGTATGAATCCAAAAGTTAAAGTCTTTTGAAATAGTGTATAATTTGCTTTCAAATTGATTACTAAACTTCTTATATTTTTAATAGAGTATACCTGACTCTATAGCCTCACGCTCCCTCTGCATAGCCTCCTTCATCATGAGCGGGCTGACGAAGAACTGGCTGAACATGTCCATAGCTTGAGGTAAGTACTTCTCCTGGATCTCGAAGTAGAACGTCGTCAGCTCGCAGTCTGTAGACGCGTTGTCGGAACCACCTTTTTTCTAATTTAACATAAATAATTAAGACAAATTTAATCTGCGTTAAATTTAATTAGCAAAACTATTAGACTTTACAGCAAATAATAATATTATGTCAGATGTCATATGTTTCAAAACGAAAACAATAACATTGATTTTATTAAACAGTTCAAAATTAAACAAAACATATGATGAACAATTTTACACAATAAATTGGCATGAAATCTTATTTTACCTTTATAAATGAATCAAATTCATTCTCCTTGGGATACTTCTGACTGCCCATGAAGACCATGTGCTCAACGAAGTGCGCCAGCCCCTGGATGTCCGGGGGATCGCTGTAGCTGCCCACGCCCACGCACAGCGCGCACGCCGCCTACCAACGAGAATACCATGTGTGTATACGAGCTTTAAGACAAAAGAGGTAGGGGCTTTTTATATATAACAGATGGCAAACAAGCAATAGGTTACTTTAATCAATTCAATCAATTGCCCATAGACATCCGTAAATGCAGTTGCCTATCCCTATTCGATGGAGAAGAAACGTACACAAAGAGGATTTTTTCCCTTCCCATGCGTGCTCCATCGTCCAGTGCTGAATCGTAAATCCACTTTTCATTCCCATTCTTTTGTTATAAGAAAATCGTAGAAAGGGAAAGGGCCTAACTTAGGGCTCCGGCGCACAACTAAAAAGAGAGCGTGTACATTTAACTTGAAAATTGTGGATTAGGTCGAAGAAACCTTTTCTAAAATAATCTTTTTGCCCAACTAACAGGAAGGTAATGTTAGCATTGTAACGGTCTCGGATGGTGAAACTCTACCAAGGCTGTCGTGACATTGTATTCACTATTAAATAAACAACTCTCTACAAGGTTAGTATTTTTTAGTATATTGTGTGAATTGAAATCAGATCAGGGTCTAAACACTATAAGTGAAAAATGTATTTGAAACGTCGCATATTCTGTTGTCTAACATGCCGTAACGTATATGTCCCTCTCTTTTTCCCCAGCATTTTTTATATATTTCATCTCCCTCTTGTAACGAAATTAACGAAAACGTGACGCTGTGAATGTTCAATGACCTACCTAAGGAGTTATTACGTTTTCGCGGGCAAAAATCACAAGTCGAACCTAAACAGGATGAGTCTAACTAATACAAATGATCAATAAACTGTAAACAATAGAATAATACAACTGTTTACAAACACTACTTTATACAATAAACAATGTGTCAAAACATTCTATCGTTATAGGAAAAAACCGCCACTACTTTTAATCAATTTCATACTTTACGTCTCACGAAATACGGTTAATATTACTCTAAACATAATCTATTTGAATCCTAGCGGTAAAAAACTTGTTTTGACGTTACATATTGGATACTAAATCGTACCGTGTCAAGTGAAAGTTGGTTAAAAAATATCTTGCATCGCTTTCTCAATAAAAATTTTTCACACGCGTCCTTCATGCATCTCACAAGATTACGACGAAAGCGGACCTGGAGAAAGCATGCAACGTCTTAGATAATAATAACAAAATATAATGTAAAACGAGCGTCGGTAGCTCAGGGGTTTAAGCACTTGACTTGTTATCTACAAGTCCTGGGTTTGAATCCTGCCATGTAGGGAAAGCTCCGAGCCCCTCAGATGGGACATATAGTGAGCTGTGATGATGATGATGATGATATAATATAAAAATAAAAATAAATAATAAGAATAGAAGCTCCCACTTGACAGTTTAAATAAGGGCCCGATTCAAAAGGCAGTTATTTTAGAAACTGCTTTCTTAGTGAGGAGTTTCCTATCTCTGCCCTGGCCACTGGTTGCTTGAGTCATTGTAATTTGCCTACTCTGCTCAATTTTTTATTATTTTGTATTTTACAAATGTAAAATGTATTACATATTAACTAAGAAAATAAAGATAAATGGAATGATTAGAAAAATGTGGGATATGCATGTTTTTGATATATTTACGTGTATCTACCGCACTCAGAGACATTTAGTGGTTACTAAAACAGTTAGTATGAATTACGAATACTATTAGAATAGATTAAACAGAAGCTACAGATATAACATAGATACATTAGTTTAGAGAGAGATGAATATATCTGGAGTGTAGTACAAAATATTTATTTTTAATTTTGAAAGATGTACTAAAATATATTGCCATTTCGCTCATTCTTTTTAAAATGAGTTAAACATTTGTATTTGAACAGGTGTTAGAGAATAGAATATGCCTTTAAAACATTCATAGAAGCCGCAACCAATTAAAATTTGAAGGTGTTGTCAACAATTCCTATTTAAGTCATCAAAAACAATACAATAGGTAATATAGCTATGGTCTATTATTTAATGATCAATGAAGTATATAATTATTATTATTTAAAACATAAATATTACTGCAAAAATCATAATCCTTGGATTCAGCCAAGCTGTTTAGTATAAAAGAATCATAAGTGTAAATACTATTCAATCTATACTAATATAATAAAGAGGAAAGATTTGTATTTTATGTATTGAAATAACTCAAAAACTAGGGGACTAATTTAGGAAACTCTGCCACTATTAAAAAGCTACATTATCAGTGAGTAACATAGGTTACATTTTTTATTATCTTTTTATTTCACATAAACGAAGATACAAACAACAGATGCATTTAAATAATTGAAAACCTAAACCTATTTCAAAAATTATTTTACTATTTAAGAGCTATATTATCAGTGAGTAACATAGGCTATATTTTTTTTCCACGCGGACGAAATCGTGAACAACAGCAAATAAAATGGGAAACCTAAATCAATGTGTACATTATCCTAGTCAGTTGGGCAAAAATAATACGAAATGAAAATTGCCTCAATTATTGTAAGTTGTTTTTCATGTTACTGTCATGATCTAATTACTCTGGCTTCATTTAATATACCTTTCACTAAAGTTATGTAATATCTATTATACATAACATATCTGATATGTCTTGCAAACCAGGATTTCATAGAGTAATAAATATGGACTGAAGCATATTTGCTTTAATACTGCTCAATTAAATATCAATGACCTTGATCTTGGGTTTTTTTTATTTTAATCTACAAATTAAGCTTTTCAGATTTCAATATCTTCTCAAATGTAGGTTCAAGGTCATTGACTGTGCCCTCTAAAATCAATAATTGCATTCTCCTCATTGTTCCATACAATATTGTAACACACCAAGATGTTTGACAACTATTCTACCACAATTAGAGAAGCTTGATTTTAAGCTTCACAAAATATTTACTAGGTATAGTATTTTAATATAAAAGTAATTACCAATTTTTCTTCATCAAATTCATTTCTTCTATGTGTACCATGGTGATCACTCGCAGCTGAATGACCTGATTTGCCACCATCACTTTCTGTATTCGAACTTTCTTCTGCACTACTACTTTCTTCTTCACTAGAGCTATTGTTTTCTTGGTTAACAGGTCTACTGGGGTCAGAGATGAGCAGTGCTGTTAAACCATTTTTCAATCGTATTGTTCTGTAACAATAGTGAATTATTTGAGTTATGAATTAAACTAGGATTGTTTATATTAACTTTTTAAGTACATAAGTTAAGAAAAATGTCATGCTGTCAAAACAATATAAGGACTGTATTGTACATTAAATTTTTTGCAAACTAAGAAATGCAATGCAATATTTTTATGTACATATTCTTTATTTTCAACTATATAATAACATCCATCTATCACCGGAATCAAATAATTGGGAGGAATACTTCATCCTTAAAATTATCTCATCATTTTAGTGCCATTGACATTCATATTATGAACTTAAAATGTGTGAACCAATATGACATTTAACAGTGAAACTTAAAATAAATGAAATTTCCGTATTAAAAACGTTAAACTCACTTGTACAGCTTTTTATCAGATGCAGATTTGATAGGTTCAGGTAAAACTTCAACTTTCTCCTTACGATTGACTGTAGGCACTGGAAATCCTGAACGATTTTTGACCACTTTCACTTCAGGTTTAAAATTCGGTGTCCTACGATAACTATTTCTTTTAGACATTATTGCTATTAGATGTTTCGTCTGCTGATGACCAGATGTTTTTTGAATAAGTATGGACAAAAATTTTGACATCTATCGATGGCAAGCGGGAAGGAAAAAAATATTGAGATAATGACAGATTGTCAATTCACTTTGCGTTGCCCGTTATTGTAATTTTTTACATAAATATTCAGAAAACTTCATTACAGCTATACAACAACAAAATCATAGATGTTTTAATTGAGTAAGATAATTATAATTCTAGTAAGTTAAAAAAAAAACTCTCTTGACCAACTTTGCTTTCATATTTTGAATCCAGGTCACATTGCTTCCATAATGTCAAACCATTTCAAGTCAATGTCATTTTTAAAGTTTCAATTTTAAACTGCCGAAGTGCTTTGTTTGTTTCTCAAAATGAATGTAGTGTTAATCTAAATAATTTAATACAACGTAATATTTAAATCAAAATGGACGAATCATATTCTGAAGGTGATCTTTCTATGTCTCCGTCCCAAATCTTAGGACGACTGCAAGTCCTTCGACAGTTACAATTATTACAGCGCGGGAAACTCCAAAAACAACAATCACTTTATCAGGACTCACCTGAAATGTCTGCAAATTTGACTGAAATTGTAAGTCATTTTAGCAATAGTACAAGTTATAATACCTTTCAAAGTTTATTACAAACGCACGAAGATTCTTCAAACGACGTATCTCCTCGGCCATACATAAGTACTTCGTCAAGAAAACTGATTGAACGTGATTTAATCGATGGAGTGTCGGAATTGAATCTATCTCGAGAATCTGAATACCTCATTAATTCTCCTGCCTCGGTAAATGATAAGGTTTCATCTGAAAACCAATATGTAAAATCACCTCCAAAAAATAATACAGAAAAGTCTTCATCTCGCAAACAGATTTCGGTAGACGAGATTCCCATTTTAACTCCAAAGAAAAATTTCGAAGCCTTGGTTGTAGAAAAATTACAATCAGAAGAAAATAAAGTTCAACAAAAATCTTTCCCTATACAAAAGAAACCATTCCTTAAGAGAGGTGAAGGTATGTCACGTTTTGGTATACAAAAGAAGGATCTGATAATTCAACATACAAAAACCTTGCCATGGGTTCGAAAGAAACCAAAAAGTAAATCCAACAATTCAAATATTGAAATGAACAGAAATGCAAAAGAACTAAGACCAAAGGATTTAGAAAAAGTTGAAGTTCAAATAATCACAAAACCAATAACCACAAAAAAATCAGCAACAGAAAAAAATAATAAAATTGAACAGAAAATCAAAGAACTAGAAAAGTATATAGAAAAACCTGTGCAGACAGAAACAAATCAATCAAATAAACCTAATCAGAAGAGTCCTATAGAAAAAGCTCAAAAACTAATTAATTTACCTAAAGGAAAGCATCCACTTAAAGCAACCAAAGGAAAAACTTGGGCAGCGGTACTTACTAAAGAACAAGATGATTTCTTAAGACAATTAAAACAAAGTGAATACTACAAAAACTTTTCTTCTCCATCAAAAAGCATTATATCTGATATGAGCTGTGATGATAATATGGATAAAATACATCAAGATATGGAATCTTCTGAACAAAAGATGTTTGAATTGCTTGAAAACAAGGTATCACATGAAAGTTTTGCATTGGAGAATTCTTTTATAAATCGATTTCTTCGGAGAAATAAAGCTGACTGTTCCGGAGAAAGTACGCCATTAGTTATGCAGAGATGTTTATCTAATAATCCTGATTTAATGCATATTGGCCCAAATTTAAGTCATGAAAGTGGTAGAAATGATGATTGTGATACTGCATGTCAGAGTGAGTGTACAGAATGTGTAGAAACATGTTCTACTGTATCAAGCTGTTCTTGCATTACAGTAGAACAAGCAGATTCTAATTGTCCTTGTTGTAGTGAATGTAGACCAAATCATAAAGGACAAAATATCAAAGACAATAAAACAAAAAAGGATAAACCGGAAAATGTACCTGGCATACAAAATAAAAAAGATGAAAGTCATAATGACAACTGTAACAATGACAGCAATAAAATAAAAGCAGACATGGTGGAAATGAATAATAAACTGATTGCAACAAGTGAATTACTTAAAGAAAGACTGACTGAATTAGAAGATGAGATAGAAACGTTTAGGAAAGAAAATGCAAACCTGACTAAAATGCGTGAAGAAATTGATCTAGAGAGGCAAAAGTTTTTTGAAGAAAAGGCACAATTTGAACAAAAGTTTAATGAAGAAAAAGTTTTATCCGAGTACTATATAGCTGAAGAAAAAGAAAAACTAACCAAACAGAGACAGCTCTATGAGAGATATGTCAGGGATATAAGAGGGAGATTGAATAAAAAAGACAAAGATGAAGTTGTTAATTTAAAGAAAGAAATCAATGACCTTAAAGAAGAAATAAGAATAAAAGATGCTAAATCTACCTCAATGATTGCAAGACTGCGTAACCAACTAAAACTTGCAGATAAAGAGAAAAAGGATTTACAAGACGAAGTTGAGAAGTTAAAGAAAGAAAATAGACGAATTCAACACAGTAATGATGTGACAAGACGATTAACCAATTTAAAATATCTTGAGCAAATAAATAAAAAATTAACAAATATGACTTCTAAAGAATCAAAATCAGAAGTTAATATAGAACCAAACATAAAATATAAAGCATTTGAAATTGAACAACAAAGTAGAATGAAAAAATTGCAACCACAGAATAAAGGTATGAGGGCTAGAGCAAAGAGTGTCCCCAATTTAAATATAACTTCTAGATATGCAAAATACTTTAGCCAAAAAGATTCTTTAAGTGAAATAGAAAGAAATAAAACAATAAATGTAGATGATTTCTGTACATCTCCAACAGATTATTTGACAGATACTGACAAAATTGAGAATTTAGGTTATACTAATTGTTCCGAAAAAAGTGCATCAGAAAGTGAAGATGAGAACAATCTAGAAAAAATATATGATGAGAGGTTTCGGAGTATTTCACCTGCAAGTAAAAAATCTAGTTTAATCAATTCAAGTGAGAATAGCAATTCTAATGACAATAGCAATTATTTTATTACTAAAACTAAGCAAAGACAGCCTTCATTACCTCTACATCAAACAAACTTAAATGATAAGCCTATATTGCAAACAAAATCACATACTCTAGGTAATAGGATAACAAGAAATTCACCAACAAATCACTCCAGAAATTCCTACGAATCTGGAGATTTTATTTCAAATTATTCAAAAGAAAGTGGGAGATACTCAGGTAGTAATTCACATACTTTAACAAGATCTCCGACTTCTACATTAAGAAGTAATTCAAGCCAAAAATCATGTACAATTATCGACCAGTTTCAAGACCCCAGAATTATTGTCACCCCAGAACCATGTACAAGCAAAAGTAGTTTAACAAAAACCAATTTAAATCCTACCGAAATTTCTAAACATGATGGTTCAAAGGAACTTAGATTTCCAAACGGTAATGTGAAACTCATATCAGCAGACGGCAAATACAGCAAGTTTGTTTATTACAATGGTGATGTTAAAGAGAATTTTTATAATGAGGGTAGAATTAAATATTTTTATGCTGAAACAAAGACATTTCATACAACACATGCTGATGGATTAGAAGTATTGGAATTTCCTGAGTAAGAAAAAACTTTTATTTGCTGTCTCTACTAGTCTCCTTTAAAATCAATATCAGTATATAAGACACAGGAATCTTGGCAAACACAACTATGTAGATTATTTTATTCATTTGAAAATCCAGAAAGATGGTATATTAAAAATCAATCAAAACTATTTACAGTGTCCAAAATAAAGAAACAATTTGAATCTCGTGTTAATTAATTTTTAATTTCAGTGGTCAAGTAGAAAAACGCTACAAGGATGGTTCTTCAGAAATCCGTCTGCCCAATGGCAGTGTACGTTACTATGATCCTAAGAATGTGCATGTACGTGAGGAGTGGCGCTTCCCAGACGGTGCGGCGCTAACTGTCTCAGCTAACGGGGAACAACGTGTTGTCTTCAGTAATGGACAAATTGAAGTTCATAATAAAGATCACAAGGTTAACTTTGTTAAACTTTTAAACAATGTTGCTTCTCATCACTATCTACTGTTTTAAATTTAACAAGTGATAGGCCCTGTCCCACCACTGGCTGATAGAGGCTCAGATAGCTTAAAAATGACGTCACTGTCGGGAACAAAATCCGATATTTCCATCACATATGTTAGTTGGATTGATATCAGACAATTTTAAAATTTGGTAGGACGGGCCCTTAATCTTACTTTGTAACCATATGTACACATTCTTACTAAGTGTCACATATTGCACTGTGTGATCAATAAAATGACTCTTATGTATTGCAGGACACAATTCTGTGATTTAAACTTTGTTTTTGTTTTTGAAATTTACTTGATAAACACTAATTTTCGTGTAGTAAAGTAACCCTAAAAAGAACTAAATTCGTGTCTATTATATGTTCATGTTAAATACGTCATAATAATTCATATTTGTCTTTCAAAATGTGCATTTCAAACATATCACATAGGAGCCATCAAAATGTTTCATCAAATCTGTAATAATGGTTATCCTTATTATAGTTTGGTAGTGATTTTTTTTTTTTATTTGCAGCGTCGAGAATTCCCCGATGGTACAGTTAAATTTATTTACAACGATGGTACATCAGAGACTAGGTACGCGTCTGGCAGAGTTCGCATCAAGGATAAACATGGAAACCTTATAATGGACTCGGCACCAAGCTAATATTATGTCTACAAACCCATTGTCCTACAAGACGCAATAATACTGAATATGGTGATAATGGAATATGGAAAAAGGTATTACCTATTTCAATTTTGTTGTCAGCTTATATCTTAATGTTACGAGCTACCAGGATTTTTGTATCAACCTGTTAATCTGATTGCACTATAAATAATCTATGTTTGTTAATATGAATTTAGTGTTTATGTGTAAATGTATGACTTTTATTGTATTTTTTGATGTTTTAAACAAATATACAAACTTGATTAATGATATTTTTTTTATTTGTTATATTTATACTATATCTATTTAACTGTGGTTTTAATTTAATTGGCAGATATTTGTTTCCTTTGACTCGATTTTGGTATTCCTTGGAGTTTAAAATTAATCGGAGCCATACTGTCTTCTGTGCCGAATATTTTCTTAAGACCTTCAATTGCTGCCATTTCTTTTGCAGTTGATATATTTTCACCAAAACCTGGAATGTAATATAATTGTGTCATTAATTTAATATCAATGTCAGTTATAAATGCCATCATCATCATCATATTATCTAAACTAATATTATAGACTAGCTGTTCTCGTGCGATTTCATCAGCATAAAATTATTTTATTGTTTACATGTGTCAAATTGTCAATTGCAAATGTCAAAATGACATGACGAAACTTGGAAGTCTGGCTTCCTTGATGTTGGCAGCAACTTATGGTCTCTTTCCCACATTAGGGTTTTTATACAAAATATGTACGCCCTAAGTTTAATGGCGTAAAAATGTATAGCCTAAAGTGTGACATATGTGAAGGGCTTTTTATTAAAAAGAGGATTATTCAAAAATATGCTGTGATTGCTGACATCTTAGGCAACAAAGAAGTGTGTGTTTACACTTTGTTATATTAGTATAGATATCGAACAATAAGGGTTACCAAATAATCAGGTCACAAACTACCGGGCTCAGAAATTTGGAAGGCATCAGTAGATTTTTGTTATTACATAAATTAATATTAATATAAGGTGATAGGTTGGAAAAAGGGGCGAACGTAAGTTTTGAACTCCACGCAGACTAAGTCGTGGGCAGCAGTTAGTAGGAGATATAAAGCTTCTAATGTTTTATTTTATTTACTTACCCGAAGAAAGCATTTTCTTGTCTATATAAAGTCCAACTCTGTAGCAAGCTAGCAAAGTATTCTTGCCAACTTCACCAATCAGTCTAGGTTCTAATTTACCTCCTTCCTTCTCAATTATACCAGAAAGCATTGCCCAAGGATCTTCTATCTTCCAAAAATCATTTACATCCTTACCTGAAATATGCAATTTTATTACAACAGAAACAAGAAGATTTAAAAATCTAACTAATATAAATGCGAATTTAGATGTATGTTAGAAGGTATCTAAAATAGGTTAATCTCAATAAAGGCTTACTAAGTTTTTTTATATTCCAGGCTAAAGTATTTTCAGCCAGTATTTAGGTTTAAGTCAGCACTAATGAGGTGTAACCTAACTAATTGTTCTTTTTGTTCATAAAAATGTTATAAATTGTATAATATTACACAAAAATCACCTTGTAATTGTGTAATAACAAAGTCTCTAACAAAATGAGCTGCCCTTTCCTCTCCCGATGATCTTAACAGAGCTCCAACTATTGCTTTAAATGTGTTTGCTAAAGTAAAATTATCTACTGGGTATTCCTGAAACAAAATGTTTTATGCAATCTAGGGTATATTGTTAATGTAATTGGGAAAGGCCTATATTCAGTAGTAAACAGATATCCAGATACTTAAAACAATTTGTAAAATGGCTGAACTTACAGATGCCAAGATAATGTCTTTAGTACCAAGATGTTTGGATATATTTGCAAGTGTTTCTTCACTGTTTAGGTGTTCCTTAATTGCAGTAATACCTTCCAAGGGTAACCTCGGAAGGACAGCTTCTAAATACAAGTTTGTATACTGATTGATAAACTTGTCACCTTAAAAGAAAACAATAACAACATTAGATAGTTTAATGCCTTTTTAAATAACTGGATGGCTCATTTTAATCTCCTCCGTTACGTATCTTTATGGTCCATTACTTTGTGTTCTACACAGCAACATTATGCTCAAAGCAACCAACATATTTAACACCTATATTCTCTAGATTATTGATGCAAAATTAAAAAGACAAAATGATATCCCTTTTATCCTCTTGATATATAAAATGATGCTTTATTACAAGTAGTTCAGCAGGAAACATTAAGAAAGTAAGTTTTTAATTATAAAAATAAATTACCTTCTTCAGCAAGCTCTCTGTTATCCTTCATTTGTATTGTAAATTCCATTTCCTTTTGTTTCATTTCTTCTTTTATAACGTACGATCTATCCGTAAAAGCTTGTAAAAGTAAATCCGAGTCGAATTCTTCATTGAGTCGCTTTCCGAATGCAAATAATTCCGCTTCTAAATTCCATTCTATGAATGTATTCCTAGGGTTGGTTTTTTTACCACCCGCTTTGTTTTCGCGTCTTTTAAACTCCGCTAACGTAGGTGCCACCCATCGGTGAATCTTTGGTGCTAAAAATGGAGAATCCAAAATTCATATCAAACCAATAATGATAAAAAAATAAAAAAAAACGACGTGATATGACTGTACCTTGTATTGTTCCAGGAAAATATTTAACGGCATTTCTTAAAAGTGGAACTGATTTTCTTAAAAGGGACATTTTGTTTTATCTCTTTTAAAACATTTCTAGTTTCATACATAAATACAAGAAAACGTCAAATGTCAATTATTTTGAGGTTATAAACGCACAGACTATGTATAAAGTTAAGGCAATACTCGCAAACATTCTGCCAAATACCAAACAAAAATTAAAAACATGTAAACTACAAATTACTAGTGATCAAAAATATTAAATTAAAAACATTTGAGCCCGGCTATAATTTAGAGTATTACTGTAAATTGTTAACAGCAATAATTCAAAATCGAAAGCCGTGAATGGAATCGGAAGCGAAGCAAAAAACAATCAGTACTGGTTTTAGCAGACGAATGTTTCTGAAATTGGCAAGTAAAATGAAAAAGGGTGTAAAAAGGTAAACAAGGGTTTAGCAAATAAAAAGAATTTTTTTATTCCACGATTATAAAAACAGTAAAAACGTCATGTAAATTTATACAAGCAAAAAATTGTACATTAACAACTCACTTTAATTTTGGAAACGTTAACTATAACAAAACAACAGTAACTTTGTTGACTAAAGGTCGTTGTGATAACGAAGGTAGTTCTGATTAGTAATAGTTCTTGTTAAGTTTTAAACATGTTTCTAATAATCATTGTCGCTTTTTCAAGTTTCTGCAGCGTAATATATATTCGCCGTTAATAACCTTTCTGTATACTCGCCCGCTCACTTATATTACCTCTCTCAAAAAGGTTTACGTGAGCATAAGGTCAGTTTTATATTCAACTACTCAAAACTGATACAACTTTACAGAGCGAGTTAATAAATTATCCACTAATAAATTTCGACAAATGTCAACTTCTCCGGCTGGTAAGGAAACCACGCACTGAACTTAAAAACCCTCTTTTAATTTTGTTCACAGGTACAATTGTGTGATTACTGTAAAACGAAGCCGATGTGTCGTACATTGATGACGTCAGTTCAATTGCCTGAAACAAATATTTCGTTGGAATGGAAATGGAAATTTGTACCCATTGAGTAAGGGTAAATTACATTTATTTCAATTTTTGACGAGAGGTTCCGCTGTAGAGTGAAAGCACAGATAATACAAGACTTCACTTGTAGTGAAAGGAATGATGCATTGATGGATCTCAAACTGCTATTTGCTAAGTTTCTTCTACTACTTTCATACCGCTAATATATTCAGTATCCGTACGTCAAATTGATGCTGGCTATGAAAACGTTACACTGACAAAGTATTGGGCGATAAATTTCACTTTAACATTTTTAGGTCATTTAAGCGCCAATAGCCTAATGGTTTGGTTCACGGACTTCCGATCTTGCGGTCGAGGGTTCGAATCCCACCATTCGACTATTGTCGTGGACCATATCCTAGCATAAGCCTAGAGCTTAGTTGGAATAGTTAAAGGAAATATCAGTAAATTAATAAAAATGTACTAATATTAAAAAAAATATCTTGTAAACACATATTACACTTACTCCTAGAGACGTGCTGATATAGTATGAATCAATTGAACTGTTGACGCCTGAAACTTTACTGGTCAGACCACACGGAAGTTTCACGTTTGACGGCCTTGCTGAGTGCATCACTAGACAGGACATGAGCCTTCTGAGGAACGGCCTCTTCTGTTTTGAGTCTCGTGGCGAGAGAAGGTACTTGAGGGATTGACCTGACCCAGTCGGTTCAGAGTATAATGAGTACCCTGACGTACCAAGATTTGGTGTCGCCGATTTTTTGTTTTCTAAAAAGAATTAATTATTTAAGTATCTATTTTATTGTCTGTCTTTATAGTAATTGACACATCGATAAAGAGGAAGTTAACTTACTTTTGGGTAAAGAATGTACTGAGGTGTTTTCCAGTTGATTTGAGTATACAGATTCTGTCGGCAACTGGTCGACATTGGTCGATGAGAATGTTACCCGTTTAAAAGCGACATTCGCGTACCTGATCTCTAGCGATGACATGGTTTGTCTCGGTACATTTTCTTTGGATGTATTCGACGTGTCTTGCCCGACTTGTCTATCTAGCAGCAAATAATGACACGTCTGTTTCTCCAACGTGCTGCATATAGTCTGTACCTCTACGCACACGCACGATGTAGCCGGTGACACTTTGCTACTCTTCTTTGACACTTGTTTAGGTTTTTTCTGACGTTTGGCATCTTTCTTCGTTTGCATACCTCTGTCGCGATTTCCGCGGCATTTGCTTTTGTTCGCCTTTTTAATTTGCCCTTCCGATACAACACTGTAAGCCTTGTATACGTTTTTTTTGCATTTCGGTGCTTTCGGAGTTTTTAATTTCACCGTGCTCTTTATTGTTTTTTTCAATTTGTCGTATTGTTTCCTTGTTAGCATAATAGGCTTCTGTTTTGTGAACTGTTCTATTTGTAAATATACTTGTATGTTCCGATTCAGTATCAACTGATTGTCGCGCGGTTCCTGATGCGTCAGTGGGCTGCACAGGGGGATACACGGGATAACGGGTGGTTTCAAATCGTATTGAGTTGGTGTAGTTTTAGTTTTGACTAATTTACATACTCTGTTTTTAGGCGGCGGTGACTTTTTTTCTTGATTGCAACATTTGCACTCAAACGTTCTGGATATACGGGCCTCCACGTGTTTCGTACAGTAATCACTGAAATATAATAATACATTTAAATTTTATTTTTAACTTAATATAGAATATTATGCACGCTTGGGGTTGTAATAAGAGGCATTAAATTATAAGGAAAAACTTACTTTTTTTTTTTAGACCGCGATTCGCGACAGAACATATCCGAATAATATTCCTGGAACATACGAGTGTTAATATAAATTTTAGACGTGTATTTTCTCATCCTTTTTTTCTTATTTGCGGTAGATATTTTATAATTTTTGTAAAGAATTCTAGGAATACATTTCTTGAATATTTTGGCAGTGATTTAGTTTCTTGTACGAAACATTGTATCCCAACTTACATGCGTGATTGGTCGAGGGAGAGTTTGTCGATATTCAAGTCCCAGTAGTTTTCTGATCTCTCTATCTCTTTCTAATGGGTCAATGATGTTGCAGCTGTCTCCGTGATAGTGTTTGATGGGAGCTGGAGTTAAAGAGATTCAACTTAATCAGTTATAGAGCGGACATTCGCAACCGTTACCTACAAATACTTCTGATACTGACAAGTAAAAAAAAATCCTATGTAGTAACAAGTTTGGAAACATTGGTAACAGACATTTAAAAATGTTGTAAGTAATGGAATAGAATTTACCGAAAAAATTAGTATTACTCGTAGATTCATATAATTCATCGTAGCTGCGACTGGTTTGTGTGAATTTCATGCAACATCGAGGTTCAACTTCGCTGCTGAAATTAGAAATAAAATATACAAATCAGACTCTTTTTATTATTTTGTTATCTCAAAATAGTCGCAAAGTGGTAATAAAGTATTAGGCATGTTAAAAAAGTGATCTTCAATATTGAAACTGTTTTTTTTAATAATAAAAAAATAAAACAAATAAAAAAATGGCTTCTACCTGTCTGTATTACCTACAGCGGTGTTAGTGTGTTGGGAAGTTTCATAAATTGCGGTAGTCGAAGGCTGAAATTTAAAAAAAAGCACTGAGCAGTTACTTGATTTTCGTAAAAAATGTAATCAAACTATAAAAAACCTTAAAATCAAATATGCAGGTGACATGGTTTGTAGAATTGTCAACTGTTGGATAACAACGACCGTCGTGTGACCATCCGGTACAGACGAACGATGTCTGTGATGGTCGTTCATAAGTCGTACCCACGATCTGTCATTTGGAGGAAGTTTTACAGTGGTAGAGCCCGTTTTAACATTTTCGCACAAATGGGTCGGCTTGCCCGGTTTAATACTACGACCACACACAAGACAGGCTCGAAGAGGGAGCAGTCCCGCGTTTTGTCTACTGAGTTTGGTACCAGAGGCCCAACTTTAGCCCCTTTTCCCTTCCCAACCTTTTTTTATAAGAAAAGGACAGGATGGGAACCTGGATTTGACGGCGGAGGAGACGCATAGGAAGGGGAAACCTCCTCTTATGTGCGTCTCCTCCGTCGCTTAAGGGTAGGCAACGCATTCGCTATTGCGAATATATATGGGCCGCGGTCGTTTTGCTAGTTTGGCGGATTCAGTTGGCCGCTTGCTCGTTTGCCACCTTATAATATAAAAAAGATGATCATCATTTATTGATTACTAGTGTACTGAACTTCCACTTGGAAAATGGTCTTAAAATATGTTGCGTTTATTCAATCAATGTGGTTGAAGTTCCGACTGAAAAATACTTACGGAATAGCAAAGAGTTTGTGATAGAGATCGTGTATTCGCGTCTCTATTATCCTCTGACAACATTAAGAAATTCTCCATAGAACCATAATCATCATCACTCGATCTATGGGAATCTTCATTATATTCTCTACGATTTCTCGACATATTGTTCAAATTACGTTGCTCCCTCACACCATTGTAATTCTGTTTTTGACTATCATTTCTTTTTATATTTCCTACTTCGTTCCGTGACACATACGAATAATTACCAACCTCTTTTTTACCAAACGGAAGTGACTTTTGATTATTATCATTGATTTTTTTCTTTTTTATAGATTGCATATTCGTATCCCTCGAATCTCGAGATCCGAAATTGACAGGAAACTTTTTAAAAAACTCATTTTTCGTTTTAGATTTCGTCGTTGTTGTACTCAGATCGGTTGGGGAGGGAACTTTTTTTTGGTTAACTGGTGAAGTCGGTCTAGCGTTGTAATTTTTCTTTTTCGTGTTTAAAAATCTGGCATCGACGGTTCTGTTAAGTGGATTCTCTCTTGAATAGTTTCTATGTTCAGGTGATGGAGAACGACTTCGGTACATATTCATTTTGCTCTTGTTTCTATGCTGATGTGGGGACTCGGATTGTCGTTTCGGTAAAGCTGGTCGTTGATCTATCAGAGTGTGGCTACTGGTTGTATTTTCCGCAGAATCTTGCTTCGAATATACTGATATAATTACAAGGGGGCTTTTAGTATCTTTTGTGGTACTGCTTTTGTTAACAGCGTCTGTGGTACTGCTCACAATTTCTGTTGCTGTACCGTTGCTGCAGTTACAATAGCACTGTATTGTCTGATCTCTGAATGTATATTTTTTATTTTTATCTAATGGTCCATCTAAATCCACTTGAGTTCCTTGTGACTCTTGTCTAAAAGTGAAACACAAATAAATTGTACAGGTTATAAATCACTATGATTGAATTTTTACATGTGATTAATGATTTTGTACCTTACACCACGATTTTTTGAAAAAGCACAGAATGTAGTTGGCTCTAGAAGATTAGCCTGAACATTAGAATCACGATGAGTTCTAAAGGTGATAAAAAAGAATTATTTAATATAGACATACAACACTGCCGGAAAAAATTAATACAAAAAAATCGAGTTTAAAAAATGTACAAGAAAAATCTTACCGAAAGTAGCTTTTATTATTATAAATAACATTACTCGTGCTGTAACTAGATGAGCAATTGGTGTATTCTCTGTAAAGAAATTTTTATTATGTAAAATAAGTTAATTATTCGTAAGTAAACAATATTATGTCAAACTTACTGTTGTCTACTAGTCAGATCTGATGCTTCGTTAGACTTCAATCTTTCGTCCGTTCGCGAGTAGTTTCGTATACCTAGAAAAAATTAGCATGTGTGTATTTAAAAGACAATTTAATTTGCATGCTGTGATTTTCTCCACCCACATGTTCCATCTAGCGAAGACATGTGCTCATAATCTGTGATAATCTCGAGCTATCATAACGATTGAATCTCATTATACTTACCCGTATCTCCATCTACAGTAGCCGCATAATTTATAACATATTTATCGTCATTCGTAAGACCAAGTTCGCCGATGATTCGCAGCCGACTCCTACGGTGTTTGACATTCATTGGAGCCTTTCTTTTCGCATTAGAACAGATGCATTCTTGTAATGTTATTCCCGCACCTCCGAATATCTCGTTCACTAACGACGTCCTTGAATCTTTACGCTGAGTTGCCGACTTCTTCTTCTTGTCTCTTTTTTTCTTTTTGTCCATATTTAAAGAATCTATAACGTGTTTGTAATTATGTAATTTTTTCAATGATATATCTTCATATTTTATTCTGCTAGATGATTGGTTCGTTGATAACTTTTCACTGCCTGTTGTTTTTATCTCGTATATCTTGTCAGCTTTACGTCCGGTTACAACTAAATATATGTTTTTCGATCGAAGTGAACTCTCTTGGTTGGATACTGTACTTTGGACTCTTTTGACAGTTTGTCTTCGCTTATTAAACTGTCTCGATGTTTGTGTGTCCACGTGTTTAGGTATAACAGTCACTTTGATGAGTGGTATTTCACTGGATGTATCGTCTTTGTATAAAGTATCCGGGATAAATTTTCTTTTAGAAATCTGAAAGCATTAATTTAATTCACCTTTGTACTCTTACTAAAAGTAAAAGAAGTAAAACATGGAGAAACATGTTTATTTGTTTAAGGGTTGGCACAAAAGATAACTTATTTACCAAGTTCTGGCATAATCAATTGTGCCACAGCTGCTGCATAACTTTTTTTAACAACTAGGCTAGGCTAGTATCGCTTGTCGCGTGGGTAGTAGTTGTACTCACTAATGGTTGTTCAACTAATTATAGTAGTTATAAATGTACCTTGGCAATAGCTTTTTTTATAACAACCGACGTGGACGGCGCCCCATCCGCGACGTCATTAGGGTTATGTTTCGTATGTTTCGCTTTACATAATTTTCTTACAATATGAACATCAGGCTGCCTCGTATACTCGGAAATGTAATTTTTCTCTCTATCTCTATTCCTGTGACCTTTTCTCACTGAAGGAAATGAAAAATCTAAAGAATCTCCGACGAAAAAAATAAGAAAAAAACTCTAATGACAAAATGAAAAACTACGAAAACAAATTAAAAAAAAAATCACAACTGACCAAGTACGTCGGATTCGACACTGTAACAGTCCATTTTAGTAAAATTGTTAGTATATCGAAAATCTTGAGTAACCACCGCATGAATTGTTATTATATGTTTTAATTTTGACAATATAATGTAATTCTTTATTACAAAAATAATATATTCCCTTTCATAATGTCGGTTGACAATTTCTTTATGTCTTATAATGTACGTCACAGTGACAATAACCTGCCAGTACCCTTAAAATATAATTTAAAAAATCAATACGATTTAAATCATTAAACTTATATTAAAATAATCGTAACATAAAACAAACAAGAAAAAAATATATATGAATATAGTGTTAAATGTATAATATTTTTGCTTTCACTCGTGTTGTCCTTAAATTGTTGGTTTAATTGTGGTGGTCTATTATAGGCATTTTACCATAAGATACATTATTTTTCTTAATTAACTAGTAATATAATAAATATAACTGTTGATGCAAAAAATATTCCAATATTCCTTAGCATTTTACAATTTTTTTAGCAACAATTGTTATTTCCGAAAAAACAATTAGATTATCTACGCAACTGTCAAATCAAATAAATCAATCAACCTTACATAAAACATAACACATTTTCTAAAATTACAATGAAATAATATCAATTTTAAGTAAAAACCACAACAAAATGTCCCGTGAAGATTATCTATACACTCAAATGATTATTCCTGTATCAAAACAGACATATTTCAATATAAAACATGTGACGCGAACTGCGAAACTGTGCGCTTACGATATGCTCTACCATCCACCTGACTACAACCAGAAATCGGCAAGATCAGATCGACAGGAACCGAAAATAATTAGAAAAAATATATGGGATCAAGTATATTGTTTAATTATTTATAACATTGACATCCAAAGTTTATGGCGGCTCGAATGTAATGTTACACAATTTTAAGCGTTTACGTTAGGAAATCACTACGTAGCACAATGCGGTCGCGTTAAAAAACGAGCCGCCATGAAGTTGGAATCTTTTTATACATTTTGTGTATTATAACGTTTTTGTAGAGTAGAAATGTTCAATAAAATATAGTAATCTATCCGTTTCAGTAGCCTACAATAGGAAGTTTTTCTCATGAAACGGAGGCTAAAAAGTAATTCATATGTTATAATCGGTCTGCCACACACGTGACGTCATCATTCACAGGTGTTATGTTACAGTACTAGTACTTAACATGTTAGGAGCAGGCGCACCCCTTTGACTAAACTATCGCTCGACTGTAGTCTCGCTTTCATTCCTATGAGCTTATAAGGAGGTGCGCTGCGCACACAGATCAATTGGCTGCGAAACAATCGATAATCGCTCGCTCCAACTATGCAGAGGTAATGATTACCGAGTTATTGATATCTTCCTTCTTATACAGGAATATCCTAAAGGGATAGCTTCAACGACTTACTTTCAGCTCGGACGCCCGAAGTGGAAACCAGTAGATCTACCAACCAAACAGTTTGTAAGAGTTCAAGGTAAACTCGATTTTAGTCAAGATTTAGACGATAATCATCGAAATTTTTACTTAAAAAATACTGAATCCACGATAGATGTCGCTTATCCATGTGACTAAAATTATTCACGTCGTCAAGTTTTTTTTTATATCATAACGTAGCAAACGAGCAAGCGGCCATATGAATCCGTCAAAATGGCAACGGAAATGACTGCTGCCCATAGACTATTGCGAATAGTGGACTCGTTGCCTATCCTTAATCGACGGACGAGGAAACGCACACATATGTTTGATATATTTTTAAAATACATTGCATTGATGATTTTTCTTATTTCAGCGAAAAACGAAAATCCACATATGCGTATTTACAACATTTTGGAATGGGCCACACTGATAAATGAAGGGAAACCAAGTCTATGCGAGTGAAACTAAATTTAAATAAAACTACAATAAAGATTGAGAACGTAAAAAATGTTTTTTTACTCTCTTCTAATAATATTTAACAATCTTTTTAGCCAAAGTTATGTACGGTAATAAATGTAACACCCTTGTAATAAAGAAGTTAAAATGTCTATATGATTTACATCACAAGAAGCACATAAATAGTGAATTAACAATTGATTTTATTAGACGTTTACTGCTGTTCCATTTGATTTTAATAAGATAATAAATATCAAATGTCTAAAAATGAATTCCCGATGTCCACATTTACTTATATGCTCTTTGGCACTGCGCTTGAGGGTTGGCGCAACACTAGAATATCGGCATAGACGTCCGTCCCTATCTGACAGCTGTCAATGTCATTAGTCGTACTAGTAAAGAGCGCCATCCTGGCGGGATCAGTAGCGCCGTTTGTTTAGTTAATTACTTTAATATAATTAAAATCATTTATAAAAATATCTCGTTTCCATTCAAAGTATAAGTAAATAGAACCTCAAACACCGTACATAGCAGCTATATTTACCGTTTGCGTTTATTTAGTCAAAAATGTGAGTTAAAGTGAAATTAACCAAAGTTTGTATAATTAGATAGGTGTTTGTTAGAAGATATATCCTAAACGGTTTAAAGGATCTCCATGTTTAGCATAGATGTAGAGCATAGTCTGGAAGAACACATAGGCTACTTAATTTTTTTTAATTACGGGCTGATCGACTTGACAGCTATTTTTGTTATAAAGGCATCTGTAGCTAATTATGTGTGAATAGGGATGTACCAATAAAATTTAAAAAGTAACCAGTGCTAACGTAATATGTATTTTATTAGTAATGAGTTTGGATCCAAATGAAGTTTTACACCCCATAGCATCAAAGCAGGGAGGAGCAGTCTCGTAGCAACCCCTCCTTTCTTGGGCTCTCCATAGCTAGATCGATAGTATTTAAAAAAAATGAAGGCATTATGTGCAGAAAGCCGGGATCGCTTACTAGTCATAAAACATCTTCAACTGGCTTGTTAGAGACTAACGAGGTTTTTATGGAATGTTTTTACCTTTGCCGGGGAAAAAAATAATAAATCTAACTTCAAAAGTTGAGAAAAAACAACAAAACTATATCACAGTGCTTGTTATGTTTTTATTTTAAATAATTATTACCCAATAAAATCAAGTGGCGCGTTTTACGATCTTGGTTTGTAAACATTTTGCCCAAAATATACGAAACTAGCAACGCTCGCGACTTCATTTGCGAGAAATTAAAAAAATAGGTTGTTACTCACTGACAACGTAGTTCTTAATAGTAAAAGAATTTTTGATATTATTCCAATAGTTTTTAAGTTATTTCAATAATATTAGTAAAGATAAGCACCATAGTTATGAAGTTCTGGTTAGTTCTATTTTTTTTTTCTTTTAAAAATCGAACCGTAAAGGGGCCTTTCAAAACTTCTTTAAAACTAGTTTAAGTAACTCAAAGGACCGGGCATATATTTCAATTATAACAAGTGACTGCAAGTTTTAAATTCAAACAGATATGTTATTGGCAGTTGTCATTAAATCTATACTATTATAAAGACGAAAGATTTGTATTTTTGTACGTATTGAAATAATTTAAAACTATTAGGTCGATTTTGTTTTATTCTTCGTTAAATAAAACCTTTAATAAAAACTATCCAGATGAATACAAAATATTGTTTAATTATATATTTTTTTTATTTATATGATGTCACATCCGTTCCGCTGCACTAGGAAACGAATGCAGATTCCACATTTACATAAATTATGCAAAATGTAAAAAAAAGACATTTAAAAGTCAAAAATTACAGAAAATAAATATAAGCACAATCCAAAAGTTTGTATTTATTTCATTTTACTTTATTTTTCCTTTTGCTAACAGGCGTGAATTTAAATTAAAATGAGGAACAATGAATAATTATGACTATTTACGTAGTTACAAAATGTTTGGTTATTCCCCTTTTTCGGTCCTTTAGTTAAATATTTTCCTTATTAAATTATTTTTAAATTAAAAGATCGCATTATTGTTTAAGATATAAGTGCCTAACAAACAAAATACAAGCGTCTGGTAATATGAACGTATAAGGTTTTTCGCTATTTTTTTATAATAATAATAATGAATCCACAGAAATGGCGAAGCGACCGCTGCCCATAGATGTCCGCAATGGGGATGTTTCCTAATGTTACAAATCCAAATAAAGTTATGTTTAATATTTTAAAGAAAGCATTTTAAAACCTATAATAACATTTAGAGACCTTGAATGTTTGTCTCAAATTAAATATAAATTAAAAACGCTGCAATATTTTTTACCCTCCATTACTCGATCTCAAACACCAATGACGTCACTTTCTTGCATATAACATGGCAGTGTGACCAACTTCAGTGAATGTCAGTGCATTTTGTAGTTATATTTTTTTCTAAATGATTGTAATAATTGAGTTTGCGTGTTTCATATTATGAGGACTCCATTATTGAGTGTTTTTATAATTACGACATAAGTTATGAGCAAAACATTTTATGAATATTACAAAAGAAAAATATATCAAAATTCATAAGAGTAGCTTATAGTACAATTTAATTTATACTCGGTCACACTTTTGTAGGACGCAGTCACTGTTTACACACAAACATAATCTTCCACGAGAAGCAACAAGTGTAATTAATACGTTAAAAGTATCACCTTCTGTTCATTTTGGTTTTTTCATTTTTATCTCCATTACTAAAAACAACTTTAGACAACAAAGATTTACGAGTATTATCAATCAATGGTTCTTTCAAATTGACAGTGACAGGCCGTGACGCGAGGTCGTATGCAAAGAAGTGACGTCATGGGACGTGTTGGGGGGAAATGAAAGAGTTGTTTATATTTACGTGTTTTTTTATTGAAATAATGAGTATTATATTTTATACTATTTTTTGACCGACTTCCCAAAAGAAGGAGGTATTCAATTCGACCGTATGTTTTTTTTTTTTTTTTTTTTTTTTTTTTTTTTTTTTTTTTTT